AAAAAAAGTGCACAGGGTACATTCAAGTACTCAATGAGTACAATCCAAACCAACAAAAAAAAGTTAGATTTTTCAAACTTCGATGCCAACTTCACATAGCTATTTATCTCCTGATAATTCAATCGGTTGGAACCGGCGGAGAGGTACATTGAACACGAGAGTTTGTAAGGAAAAAAAGATCGATTTTGCAAATTTCATTTTTCCTGAGATGTGGGAGAGATCGGATGAAAATCTTCCCTCTACTGTCTTTTATGAAATATAAATAAATATGTTGATACAGCGAGCGTCAGCAGATTGAGATCTCAGTGGTCCGAGGGTCCGGATTGCATTACATTCATTTAATATCGCGTCGGAGAATTGCGTGTGCATTCAGCGATAAAAAAAAACCTCAATTGGCAAAAATGGAGGTCAGAGTTGCATTAAAATATTGATAGAACCGCAGGGAGGAAACGCGTGCATCTTCCCTCACATGTTGATCGAATTTTTTTATTTCACTATATGGATATTATCATCACGAATATTGCAGGATGAAATCAATTCAAATTGCCCGGATAATTCCTCAGATAATCAGAAACCATTATACCAGTCGAAAAAATTATACTCTTGAACGGATCTGCCACCGAAAAATTCCCCATTACGATAAATAACGATTAAATAATTAAATAATTCATATTAAATTGAAGAAATGAGAGAAAAGTGAATTTTCGAAAGCCTAGAAAAATCCTCAACTGAAATAAAACCCACAGTATTGATAATTCCAAAGAATTCTAATCGCTTAAAAGTTAAAAATTGCATAAAGAATCATGACTCACAAAGCCATTAGTTTCCCACAATTGTAAATTAATTTTTCAATCTAAATTCAGTGATTCAGCCGTAGTTTCTTTCACTCTCCATCGAACAATTGCGAGCTCAGTGTTCAGGGAATTCTTCCACCTTCAGAATGGCGAAAAAGAATTTATTTTATACCGTCGGTATGAAATAAATTGTCCTTTCAAAACGACTCCTGCAATGTGAGAAATCCTTTCGACTCCCGAGTGAAAAGAAACGAGAGAACAGGCCGAGCTGTTCAGGCCCGGTTAAAAGGCACGATTCGTGCTGAGACCCGGGTAGGGCCTGTTTTTTTTTTTTGCCACCATTTTTTACTCCATCCTCAGCTCAATTTTTCCCCCTTTATTTCCAACTGCGAATAACAGTATATCTGGAACTCCTCTCGGGAGCCACGCAGAGGTTCATAATGCGAGTGAGCAAAAGGAAAAAAAATGAAGGAAAAAAAAAACAAGATTGACGTACAAAAAAGGATGAAAAAAACGGATGGCGGAGTGAGAGAAAGAGATTGAAAAATGCCAAACCACTCTTGTGGTTCTCATCGAATTTGATACAGCATCACGATAGCCACATTTTCGTTTAGTTTACGGTGGGATATTGTGTGTCCCTTCGGCACACCGCGAGGCCATCGGCTACACCATCATATTGCGTAATTGTTTTTTTTTTCACATTATGAGATCACTCGTTACTCGATACTATAGCGCAATTATCTGCGTCATCGGTTATCGGATTGTCCAAAAATTTATGAAAATTCATCTGAATATTCCGAGAGGAATTCACGGTTATATCGAGTTATTTATCAAATCATTCGTCACCTGAATACACCGATGAACGAGATGGAATAAACGAAAATTTTTGTCCCGAAATTACATCCAAATATTTTGAAGGATTCTGCGGTATTTATCTGACCGAGGCGGAAGTGATTTAGCTGATCCTAAAGTCAAATATTATCCAGAGAAAAATATGCAAATATTATCTACAAAAAAAATTATCTCCGTTGTGATTATGATAGATCAATATCTCTGGAAATCGTTAATGGTGAGAATTGAAGGGGAAGGAGGGGAGCAAAAAATATCTTGACATCTTCTTTTTGAAAGTCTTTTCACTCGCATGCTGTGAGCTACTCCTAGATATTATCATGAATTATCTTTAGTTCATCGAACTGCGGTGGAAGTAGTCCAGCCGAGTTATCCTGAAACCAGCTGTTTTCAGAAATTGAAACCACGATAATTGTAGAATAGAATAAAAATAAAGATCGCAGAATGAACGTCAACCGAGATATAATTCAATAAAGAAATTGAAAACTCCTTGATCGAGAACAATGATCCATGTAACGTAACGGTAATGGGATAGATTTTTAACCCGTCATCATTCCCGAGAGGAGAAAGTAATAATCCGATCGACAGTATCAAGTCCTCAGTCCCCATCATTCCCCTCTAAATCCTCATCTTTTTGTCTCAACAAAAGGAAGCTACATTGATCAGTGGCTTTGTCCCTTGCCCCCAAGTACTCCATCACGTGTGCAAGAGGAAAGATCTAAGCCACAACTGAAGAAAGAATAAAGCGAAACAATTCCCAATAAAACACAAATAAACCAGCAAGGAACGGTTAAAAAACGACAAAGTGCGTTATCTTATCTAAAAGCCGTGTAGAAACGATCGAGTCTCAGCTCTGGTGCAATGGTGCCCCGATAGTCGATAACAGCTATCGTTTAAAAAGACGAGTTGAACGTCGATACCTTTGAAAAATCGTCAAACCCTGTTTTCCATCCATTGTGATACAGTAATGCTTCCGTATTGAGAAATAATGGAGTAACACTTCACCCATAACGAAATACATTTCTCAAAAACTTGTCAAGAAACAAGAAAGACTGAGACTTTCACCTCAAATCATCACCAACAATATTAATTCGTAGAGAAGAGTGACCTAAAACAGTCTCTTTTGATTAATTGTCTTTTTTGTAATACGTGCCCTCTCAGAAATAAATTCATTACGGATATTTGTTCGAGATGGCAGGAACTCAATAATTTCTTTTCTTTTACCATTTACACAAAATAAAGCAGAAAACCAGGAAAAGCCAGAAATGCTAAAATCGGTTAAAAAATGATTGACAAGGTCGTCTGTATTTATTTTTACACGTGTTTCTAGCAAATCTGGTCTTCTCAGACAGTCACGCCAGTCGAGTCTTCAAGTACGTATCCAGCCTGAGGGGGCAATGAGTAAATACCTGTAATACATTCCACTCAAGTGCAGAACCACAAGAGACCTAGTCGGTCGCATACTTTTATTTTTCCACTCTATCTTCAGCAATTTTTTTTCCCCTCACTGTTAAAAGCTCGTAACGGATAGAGACACATGGGTGCCAGGTCGGCACCGCAATGCAGTCTACAACCGCTTCGAGTAATCACAGGACAGTCTCCACATGTGTCTATACAAACTGTACCTGAAGACTCAATGCTGGGTGTATTAATGTCAACATTGAAACGCGATAATGAAAGACAAACTCCAGCGATTACGATTTATCGACTGAAAAAATAAAGATTTTATTATTTTTTCCGTGTTGTCGCACTCGTCTTCGGAGGATAAAATACCAGACAAATGCGAGTGAACAAGGACAAGGAATTTTGTCATACTCGAGTGCACCCAACAACTATTTTTAGCCAGATCCAACTTAGAACTTACTCGAATAACTGATTACCGACTAATCTCAAAGGCTATGGATTTCAGAGGAAAATATTTTGAGGCGTATTTCCTCGGAAATTTAATTGGGTTGCAAAAAAAAATCGTCTAGATTTAACAGAATAGTGAAAAATCCTGGTAGCTATGGTTTCCCTTCCACAACACAGTCCCCCCAGGTCATAATGACCCCTAAAAATCAAATCGCCATTAATCCCCCGAATTTTCACCCCCAATAACGATCGCAACCCAAGAGAACGTCACAACCGGCGCCTCGTGACTCCACAACGACCATCCTAACATCATTATTGCGGTCGACATGCACGGTTTGTTTGTCCGTACATTATGCCCACTCTTCCCACCAAGAGATCATCTCCACTCGTCCTTGGTAGTAAAATAATTCTCATGAACTCCGAGATAAACGCTACGAAACCCAGTGGAACAACTCCCCACCTCTCCAATGAAAATAAGAATGAAAAAAATGCAAAATAAAATGACTACTCCAAGAAACGTGCAAAATAACAAGTTTGGTACGTTCAAGAGTTTTCAGGGAATCGGATAAAAAGAGCAAGATGGATTGGAGTTGTACTCAAGGCCGTGTGTGTGCCTCGAGAGAAGGCTACAGGTAAAATACCAACTTGCAGTATACAGTTTGATACTCGGGGACTGGATACATCTCCAGGGGGCTAGAGGAGAGGAGAGGAAGATCGCACTCCTTATGGACATTCGGATCGGCTCACCGAGTGTTTTCGTATAAAAAAGGGTCCCGTCGGTTCGTGCTCTTTAAAAGGGGTTCCAGGCATCCTTCTTGATCCCCTCGAGTGTGTCCGGACGATTCAGTCCAACCAAGAGAGACGCACTCGAGAGGATACCAAAGGGAATGAGAGAGACGAGAGAGAAATGCACAGCGAATGTACAAGAGCCACGAGAACCGAAAGAAGAAAAAAAGATGAATAAAAAAAAAAATATACCCGTCGAGATTTTTTGGAGGCTTGAGCCCGGAAAATGCGGAGATTTGAGGTCACTTCCGTGGCAGGGGACCCAGAGGATGAGAAAAACAACCGGCAATGTGCCTCTGGTTTTTTTCAGAGCATCCCTCAGGGAAAAAAAAAATCCTATCCCACCCACCAATCTACATCAAGAGTATTTGTTTTGCTCTCGACTCACCAGGAAGTTTTTCCAAACGATGGTTCACCAGTTGTTGTTCACCAGACTCCCTCATCGACTTCCTGGGGCACTAATTGAAATCACGATAGTCGTTTTGCACTCCCGGAGACCGGGACGAGTAGCACGACTACTGTGGCACACGGGCGTCGCGTCAGTACGCATAATTGAACTAATTTAAACCCAGCATCAACATTTAACGAGTAAACAATGGTGTTGGGTTGTTTATCCCGACGGGGGGAGAATTGCACTTGTTGGAAACAACTTTGTCCACGATACACTGCAGGGGTAACAATGTTTGGCTGGAGAATAAACTACACTGTCAAGATACGTCCGCACGCTAGCGTATATTAATCGTCACTACGGTGGCTCGAATGCTGTGGAAACACACACCAATGCACAACTAGACGTGCATTTGCTGGATTTTGAGAGCGGGAGAGAACGAAAAACACACGACATCTGTCTGTCATTCAATGCAACCACTTCTCAAGCATTATGCTACCCTGGAGACGCCATCCTATGGTTTTATCAACAGGTCGTCACAGAGAAAATTACTTCAATCTCATTGCCACTTATTTGAAAAACAAAACACTACAAAATCACTGATAAAATACCTCATGTCCATTTTTGTTATTCACTTAACACTTTTTTTTATCATTTATTATTAATAAAAAATATTACTCACTACTGAAATCCCGAAAACACGTTTTTTTATTTTATGAAATTCACCACCGAAAATCCCCTCACAATTTTCAAAAAATGGCGATCAGAGATGGATATTTTCGTTTTGCGAAATTTGATATCGCTCTTCTTCGCTATTTACTGATATATACACTTGAATTCTATTATCAAACTGTCGCCAGGTGTTAGTAATTCTTTATTATTATGTTCTTGATATTATTTTGTGAGTTTAATCCTATTTTTAGAGGAAAAGTGGAGAAGCTTCCGACAATGACGCCACAAGACTATACAGACCTGCGGCCATTTTGACTACATGCGTGGAGACAGTGCGCGAAGGACCGAGTCGTTGGCGCCTAAATTTTCTATTTCCGTTTGCTAATTCTCCATTTCGATGAAATAATTATGAAATCGATTAAAATTTAATGCCTTATTTAAACTGATGATTTTAAATGCAGTTTCCCTCAGAATTGGAGAACTCAGAGTAAAATCTTTTGTTTTACTAGGCCGGTAGCATTTTCCCGCCTGAACATGCGTACTGTGAGTGCGCGGGATGATGAAGCCAGTCGACCGGTGAATTTAGCACGGGAATATCCAGTTCGTGTTGTTTTTCGGGTAGTTTGTTTTGAAGTGATAAAACCATGAATATTCGTGATGACATGACTCTAGTGAAGCAAGACGCTTAATAATGTGATATGTGGAACATCTGTGAATCGTTGGTTGTGAATTTTGGAGAAAGGACGAGATTTTTTTTCGTTGTCTTTCTGACGAGATGAGGAATGCAAAGACAGGACGAGGTACGAAGTATGATTCAACAATGTTTTTATTTTCATCTGCTATCCAGTCGTCGTAGAACGTAAAATCGTTATTGATTGCAATATTAAACACATTCGGGAACGTGTGAGGATTTTTATTAATTATTTATCGGATGACGAATAAAAAAATGGCGTAACGTCGAGTGGAATGAGTACGGATATTATTTTGCTCGAATTCTCCTCCATAAACACACGTACCCCAGTACGTGGAAGCAAGTGAATAAAATAGCCATGGAGATGAGGTCCAGCCAGAAGTGGTTCTCGTCAAAGTCGTACATCTGCATGACTTCAGATCCATCAGTGACGCAGGGCAGTTCGGGTTGAAAAATTGAGGAATCACAAGCTTAAAAAATCGTTCAAATAATTGATCAATTAAAAAACTCGTCGCCAAGTCGAAAATTCAATAGAGAAAAATGATAAAATGCGATAAAATAATATTTCTGGAGGACTCACAAATATTTTGTACTCCTCGCCACTGGACGATCGTCAGAGCCTCTGTCGAATGCAGAAGCCAGGAGATGTACCTGACCCATTTGATGTAAAGTGGAAGAGAGCTGAAAATATTTTGCAGTGAAGTCAACCCCACAGGATAAATCCCAATGAATCCGAATAAATCCCGTACCTTAATTTGATGAAAGGCCCCATTGTGATCATCAGAATATAATCAAAAGGCACAAGATACGCCAACGCCAAGGGAACCGTCTCGAACGCAGCCGAGAAGAAACATCCTACAATTTTTATTATTTCTAACGAAGTGTGGGGTAATAGCTAAAAAAATTGGAATTACTTGCCACAAGCTGTGGAGACATTCATCGTGAAGATCGTTACGAGAAGAGTGAGTCCGAATGCCTGGGCTGTATTTCTGAGACCTGCTAGCCAGTAAATTATCGTCGTGAAGCACACAGGCTCGACAATTAATCCAGGAAACTAAAAACAAAGAAATCACCAGAAAATAAAAATAAAACACAGAAAAAATGGGGAAAAATGACAACTGGGAATGCACTAGACTCACCAACGATATTAATCTGGAGATATAATAAAGATGTGTGGAGTACATGCCAGCCTTGTTTTCCCTGAGAAACAGCGGTAATTCTTGAGGGAAAAGGGAGAGAGTGGCATACATCGGGAAAAACGTGTTCTCTGTTACGAGGATAAACAGGACCCCTTGGACTGCCTGAACTCCCAATTGGTTCATACTTACTGCTCCAACAAAGCATAATCCAGCCATCGTGGCAACACACTGAAAAACATAAATCATTTCTCTCAAGCATATCTCGTAAAAATATATTTATTTTAATGCAAGTGTCTATTTATTCGGGAATTAACGAGGAGTTACGAGTTTCTGGAGGATTCTGATGAATTCTATGGAAGGATCTCGCAGCACTTGGAAGAAGCCACGGTGGGTCAACCAGAAGAGCCTTGTCCACCATCTTGGATGTTTACTAGAAAAAAAATATCCAGATTGAGGAAAAACGAATGAGAATGGATAGAATTTTTGAAGAATCGGACAGAGTTACTTACAAATCATCAAAAATATCGCTTTTCCACTGCGAAATAAAAATTCACTCTTTGAATGGAAAATCAATAAACCTCACTTCTTGATTATTGAAAATTTCAAGTTTTACACTTGAAGATTGATGAGTAAACTGCGAATTAAATAAAATCCTCACATGGTATGCCTTCGAGATATGAACCTCCAGTTGTAACGTGACATCCATTTCTTTACAAGAGTCACTCGTGAGAAATGCATCGCAGACCCTCTGAGCAGCTCTTCTGCAGCTCTCCTCATCCCTGGGGGCTATCGCCAAGGTAGCCACGAGGAAATCAGCTGGGTTGTAATTACTGGGACACTCGTAGCCCTGTCTGAACCCAAAAACACAATCTCAAAATTTTCCGCAATGAAAAAAATGAACAAATCGCGTGTGATCGGTTAGTGCGTGGAAGTGAGTGAAGTTACCGTGAAAAGAACACAAGTGCCTGATCTCTAGTCCCAGCAAATGCAATTCTCCCATCAGCCACGAGTATAATCCGATGAAAATTATCGAATATAGCTGAACTCGGTTGATGAATGGTGCAGAGAACAGTTCTCCCTCGATTTGCAAATGCAGTCAAGTGAGATATGAGGACAATGGCTGAATTTGAGTCTTGACCAGTGGTTGGTTCATCCAGGAACAGAATTTTGGGATCAGTGAGAAGCTGAGGACAAAGAGAAGCAATCGAGTGATCGACTCAGACGACCGGTCAGTATAAATTAATTTCCACAAAACGCAAAATACAATTTCCCTATCTCTGTTTATTTACTTCAGTTGCAAATGCCAGTCTTTTTTTTTCTCCTCCGGACAGCACTTTGTCGTCCCCTCCGGAGCCAATCCTCACCCCAGATCTCTCGAAAAGTCCCACTTCCCGTAACAGACCGTTTATCTTTTCTCGAACCTCTCGCGTCGCTATTCTCCGATCCAACTTCATTCTAGCCTTGAGAACAGTGGCAAAACGTCCGTTGAATTTTGAGAAAGATCTATTTAAATTCAATTGAGCGAACGTTACCATGAACCACAGGTGCTCCAGGACTGTCATCGTACCGATGAAGATGTCTTCCTGGTGCATAAATCCACTGTGATGTTTCATGTATTTGGACTCCACTGGGTGGCCGTTCACTCTTATGTCCCCATGCACCACCACTCCGGCTGAAATAATTAATTAATTCCAATCGTGCGTTAATAATTCTAAAAATTCAATGACCAAATGAACTCACGAGCCGTTCGATATGCAAGGGCGGTCATGAGAGAACTTTTCCCTGCACCGCTCCCTCCCAATATCGCCGTTAAATCCCCAGGTTTCAAAACACCACGAACTAAAACAATAAAAATTTCCATTTGCGGTTATTGTAACTGGGAAAACTACTGCCGTTGATCTTCACCATTATTAATTATTTGTTTGCAAATATTGCTGCTCCCCCGATCCACAGCATAAACCGATAAATCTCTCCAGGATAATGTAACTCCTTGATTACTCCCCGAAGGTCCAGGAGTCATTGATCTCCTGGAAAATCCCATGGGTTCTTCATTTTTCGGAGGTTCCAACATCTTCATTAAAAAAAAATTTGTAACTAGTTAAATTCACATTGAATTGAATTATTTCACTCCTTAATTAATTAATCAATTATCAAGCGATAAAATTTTGTGGTTGGATAAGAATAAAACATGTCGTCAGTTCAATGACACTGAAAATGTGCGGATAAATTAACAACACTGGCACTGGTCCCTTCGGGAGGAAACCTTAGCGCTGAAATGCGACTGGGACCTCTTGGTTACCGCAATCGACTGCCCTCACGAGGGCTTGGGACACGCAGCACCAGTTGAGGCCTCCAATGAAGGGGGAAACGACTGATAGACTGTGTAATTCCCAGACCTATTAATGAGTCTTCCGACAAATCACTAGGGATATTCCACTCAGAGTACAAAAATCCCCGTTCTCTCCATTTTTTTTTTCATATATTTTTTTTTTATCTCTCTCCAGAGGGATAAGTATCTGGGGATTACTGTAACTGAACACTGAAACCCTAGACTTGCATTGCGACGACGCTGCAATATTCCTTTCTGACGAAGTAAACAAATAAAGAACAGTCGATCAAAGTAAAAAAAATATTAAACCGAGGAAAATGAACAATTTTTATAAAATCATTCAAATTAATTCATTGGTTGAGTCTTCAATTAATTTAACTCGGAATTTTTCATTTAATTTTCCATTTATTTGGAATAATTCAATTGATTATTCTCTTGACGGAATTTTTTAAATATTTTGAATAAAAATGTTGATGGGTCAGAGTTCAAAGAATTTTTTTAGTCGTGGTGATATCAGATATCACTTCCTCAGCTGGTGCTGAAAATCCCATGCACTCCATTTTCATGGGGCGGCATTCCCTCACCCACAATTGTTTTTTTTATTCATATAATACACAAAAAGTGATGTGGTCGCACGGTGTGCCTGTCAACCGGTTTGTCATGACACCGATATCGACGTGGTCAGAATGTCTATACAACCTGGACAGGAAATTCTCCTGGAAAATGTGCGATTTCAAATTTCAAGGGACAGTTGTGGCATCAGAGCAGTCGAAATCGATTACGAATGATCATCGAAGATCAGAGGACAAGGGAAGGAAACAAATATTCAACACTAGAGTCAATTAAATCTTTATTTTACTCTTCCCAAAAATTCAACCAGAGAACAAGTCGAGTTCGAGACTTCACCTGTTCATACAAGCACATTTTTGGAATGCATTTTTTGATAAAAATGTAAATCGATTCAAGTTTTTCGTAAAGTTTTCGATAACAACGCCAAAAACGCGATGAACCTGAAGCTGACGATGAGAGCACAGAGCGCGATGATATCTCTGTAAAAATCCCCCTATAACAATAAAAAATGAAGAAAAAGTGAAATAAATTTGGAATGACTCCAATTTTTTGAAGACAACAATTGATATTGGATGTCAAGAATTAGCGGATCAGAATGATCACGAACCTCATCGAAGTTGTAGGTCTGCAGGACCATGTGGCCTGTCTTAGGACAGGTCGCATTACTGCGCGTGCAGGCTATTGTTTCAACCTCGGACCACTGGTTAATGAGCAGTGCCTCATTACCGTAACGAAACCACGACAGATAGGAGAACCACTCGAAGTACACAGGAACAGATCTGCACAAAAAAAAATCGTGAAACCAAACCCGACGGACAACACGAAATAACGAACAGAAAAAAAATTCCATAATTTCCAATATGAATAAATTAACGAATAAAAATATTGCCATCAATAAAAAAACGAATGCTCACGCAGTGTTCAGGAAGAATCCCCCGAATAACAAAAATGGGATGATCACAGGAGGACCGACAGACAAAGCCATAGAAATATTAGTGCTGGCACACGAAATGAGATATCCTGCAACAAAAAAATGAAAATCCTAGTAAAATCAAACGTTAAGATGTGCATTGATTTAATTCAATAACAAAAAGAAAATCCCTCATTGGAATAAAATGTGGATTATTCGAGATTACCGATTGGAACAGTAAGCGTTCATGCAAGAGCTCTTGTAATGCGATCACCGTGTAACTCTATCAAGTGTGAGTGAATATAATCCAATCCCACTAGATTCAAATAACTCGCACTGGATAAATCTCCGTCATTACCCCACTAAACTCAGCCAAAATCTGAAATTCAATTTTACCGAATGAAGTCGCGACGTTGGCAATGAGCGTCATGACTCCAGCGGCGATGAAGAAGTGATCGACCCCAGGATATAATCCGACCATCGGGTAGACTATCGTCGTGAAAAGAACGGGGACTGCCACGAAAATTGGTGCCTCTGCAAGGGTTTTGCATATGAAATAAATATCTGTCCGGTACATTCCATTCCTGTGCTCTCGTAGGAATATCGGTAGCTCAGCGCAGAAAACCTGAAACCATCAATTCTCCATAAAATATTGAAAATTCGATGATTTATTTTCCCGGGAAATATTTCCAAATTGAATTCAATCTCTTTTATAATTATATTGGGTAAATGAAACCTCGAAAATCAGGGATTTCTCACACTGATAACAGCGAAAACATTCTGGAAGGTCATGTTCGTCAGAAAAATAAAGAGTGCGCCATTTATGTTCATCACACCGTCTTGATCTAGCCTCTGCCCATAGTAGATCACTCCGATCAACAGAGACACCATCTGAGAAAGATTGGGCATATCGATGAATAATTAATCAATTAATTGATGGATTTACTCAACTCACAAGTGTCTGAAGTAATCGAACTTTGATGAGAATCGGCTCCTTGATGACGGACAACCAGGACCTCCAGAGGACTGCGCGAAATTGCTCGCACCAGGAGGCCTTGTATGGCGACCTCCCATTATCCTTTCCCTGAGGGTTCCTCAGGGACTCCTCGAATTCCCCCTGTATCGTCTCAGCCTCGAGAGCGATTTTAGTTCCGTTGTCACTCCTCTGAAATGCGTCGCAGACCGCGTTGATGGTGTGTCTGCAGGAGGCCTCACGTCCTGGCACCACCGCCAGAACCTGTACGAAGTAATCTGCCGGATTGTAATTACTGGGGCAAACAGCCCCCATCCTAAAAAATTAATTTGTGATAGGAATGAAAAACGTGTAGCTTTCCACGGGTTTCGTGCGCGCATACAAAACTTTCTTATTGAAAAAAAAATAATAATGGATTGACGAACGTTTTGAAAAACGCATAAGCTTGTTCAGAAGTCCCCATGAAGGCGACACGTCCTTCGGCCATGAGGAGGATTCTATCAAAAAGGGCAAATAGCTCTGAAGACGGCTGATGAAGGGTCGCGATGATAGTTTTTCCTCTGGCTGAAGAATAAAAAATTCCTCCACAAATAAAACTAATACACCCCTCTTTTTCTGATTGTTACAGACCTGTTAGAGCCTTCAGCACGGACACCACCTGGTGCGCCATGAAGGAGTCGAGTCCTGACGTGGGTTCATCGCAGAACATCAGTGGCGGATCGGTGAGTACCTCAGAAGCAAATGACAATCTTTTCATTTCTCCACCGGAGAGGCCTTTCACCCGCCCGGGGACCCCGATGATCGTATCCCTGCATTTTGTCAGCGCCAACTGCGTTGTGCAAGTCAAACGTCGAGAATCATTTATAATTGATGATTACTCGAATCGGTTATACGGTTTTTCGGATAATTACATAGTTAAAAAAAATTTACTTCGGATATGACGTCGTTGACTCTTTTAACCCGCTGCTTATACGGTATGTCCCGGTCCATTCGCACCATAGCTTGAAACAATAAATGCTCGCGCACCGTGAGAGTCCCTACGAATATATCATCCTGCTGTACATACGCCGTTCTCGACGTAAGAACACTCGATGTGACTCGTCGTCCATTCGCAGCCATCGTCCCCGAGACAGTTATACCTCGGGATGAGCGAAATGTCAGGGCATTCAATAAGGTCGTCTTCCCCGCGCCCGAAGACCCCATTATCACCAATAATTCCCCAGGATAAGCAACTCCACAAGCTAAACCAAACATTTTTTTTTTAACAAAATAGAAAAATTATTGGCAATTAAATTCTGCGCGGTAATTCCAATTTTTAATAGCGAAAACGACCAATGAGATGAAACATCATAAATGTTTTTCTATAAATAATTCACCAGTGTTGTGTAATTGCGAGTGTGTGGTTGCGTTAAACCACGAGTCGGAGCATCCCATCGCAGTGGCGAATTGGAATTTCAATTTTTTTTTACAACTATATTTTATCCCCCGTTCGCACCGAGTTTATTGAATTCTCACCGTCTTTGAGAATATGTCTCTGCTCAACCGGTTTTTTCCTCCGGAACATACGATCCCAGGCCCTGCCATTACGCGACGTGTAGTAGACGTTTACCTCACTCCAGGTGTAGGTGATCCTGTCGTTGGTATCTGGAATGGAATGGGTCTCATATTTAGAGACCACTGGCTCCATTCGGAGGATAGCCTCGGTCCTGGGTGTGTGGGTATCGGGATGATGACCATTTTCCTTCGTCTGGAATTAACTCATTATTTTATTAACAATTTCTAACGATAGACAATCGATAATTATGAATGGAGAACAGGGGAGTGACTGAGGAGAGCGAATTTACGATGGATTCTTATCAGTTATTGCCTCAATTATCTTCAATAACGGGTGTTGCATAATTTCAATGGGTCTCTGGGGAATTAACGGATAGGATTTAAATGCACAAGGATATGTGGAAAACATAAAAGAGTGCAGGAGAACCCTAGGCTCCGACGCCTAATCTCCCCATGAGTTCTCGATTTTCAGTGGGAAGCCCTCCGGAACCACTACGGCTTCCGGTGACGATCTTCTTCGGTCCTTTTCTCTTGACATTTCTCGTTAATGTCAATCCCAAATTTTTTTGAAAATCCCCTCCGCAGAAATACAAATACAACGCGGAATTCTTCTCATGATGGTTTATTCAAACGTCACTTGAGTTATTTTTTTTGTATCTCTCAACTCACGCCACAAAATATAAACAAATTTAATTATTACGATTATCTGTGGGGACTTATATATTATTCTCTGGATTTAATTGATACTTACGAATATCACGGAGTCGTAGGAAGTCCTCTGAGTACTCGTAGAAGGGGTGGGGGTGGTGATGAGGGGTTGATTTTCCTCAGTCGCTGTCATTTCGAGCCGAAGAATCGGTTTTTCCGTTTTGAAAAAAATGTCGCTCGCGCAAATTTATTTTTTGACGGATATTTTTTAGACTGATTTATTTCATTACGTCATTATGCGAGTGATTGTGTCACTTTGTCACGTTTCATCTAGTCTCGAGATAGTTTACAGCAGTGTAAATATGGGGAGAACGAGATATGAATTTTAATGATAGACACTGTCAACCTTCGCGAGATAAAATACTGTCTTTCCGGGGTGAGAGACTCCCGGTGAGGTGTCTTCATTAAATTTAAAGCCTCGGGGCAAATTTTCCACGGGGGAATATCATTACCACAAATTTAGTTTAACGAATTTTTCTTGTGACAAGAGTTGGAACGAAAGTTTGTAGAAATAGTGGAGTTTGAAATTATGGTAATGCCGATCTGTCGGGTTCGGCGATCACGGTATGACTGAATTCCTCCCGCCACTGGGGTAAAGCCGAGCTGGCACCCAATGCGTGTGAGAATAATCGACGCTACGTGTAATAATGAGATTATAGCGATTGCAAAATTCGACAGAAATATCAAAATTCGATCTGAAAGAATAGAATTATTGAAAAACGGGATGTTATTTTCTCAGCAGCAGACAAATGTCAGTAGGAAAACAAAAAAATCACCACGAGTTTTGTATTTTGAAACCATAAATTCCATTTATTTTTTCTCCTCCACTACGGACACTCTCTCTAGCAAAAATATCAATTCACAATGATTAGTATGAGGAAACATATCAACAGGTACGGCTTTGACAGGCACCAGGGGATCTCCACTGTATTGTTTTGACGTTGGTCGCGCTAAATCCACGAGATTTTTGATCGCAGCTTTGGGGTCGCACGAGATGTAGATCAACCTTTTCAATGAATTTGTTTTGCGAAGGGCGAGAACTGCCTGTTGCTCTGAAATGTTTTTTTAATTCGAGTCATAAAAAAATTTTCGCATTTCACAATCGAATTCATCTCGTTAAAGATAAAATCGCACAACATTATGCAATAGAAACTTACGCAATCCTGCACGTGGGGGGTCGACAACAGCCACAACGTCAGGCTTTGTAGTTCTCTGGAGAACAGTTTTAAGTATATCCTCGGCTTTCCCCACAAAAAATTCGCAATTGTCGACATTATTCGCCTTTGCGTTCTCCCTCGCGTCTTTTATTGCACCCGGTACCATTTCCAACCCCAGAACTTCTCCACAATGCTATAAAAAATATCAGTCAGTAATAAATAGTGAAATTCGCATTTCAAAATGACAAACCTTCGAGAAGGCTAGTCCAATAGTTCCAGTTCCACAGCAGACATCCAACACCGATGTATTTTTATTCGGTTTAGCTAAATCTATCGCTGCTTCATAGAGAATCTCAGCTCCTTTTGAATTAACTTGAAAAAACGCCTGAGGGGAGACCCTGAATTTCATGTCCAGTAATTTCTCTTCAATATACTCAGAGCCACTCAGATGCTCGAGTGAGCCGCCTCCTTCTCCCCTAGGGTCTCTAAAAACCCCAAACAAATTCTCAAAAAATGTTTTAAACGAATAATTGACATCGAGTGATTTTTTCCACTCTCCCCGAATTTACCTTCTCGTGATTGTCTGGAAGTACAAGGAAGTCACGTTGGCCTCCTTTCCTTCCTCCTCGAAAAACCTGCAGATACTTTCCTTCAAGGTTGTCAACTCTCCATCACTCAACTCCTGAGGATGAATAACGATAATCAACATGAGATGATTCAATCTTGTGGTTCTGGCAGTGATTTGACTCCAGTACCCCTGATGATTGACAGGATCGTAGGGTTCCAGTTTGGAATCCCTGATGAATTCTTGAAACAATTTGACAGCGGTTTTCATGCTCTTGGGGATGTGACACAGGTCATCGATGGGTCCCACTGCAGTGGATCCAGCTGCATAGCTGGACAACCTGAAGCCTATGACGATTTCCTTACCGTCTCGACTTTTTCCAACTGTGAATTCACACTTATTTCTATATTCCTCAGTCTCATCTGCACTGAGTATTGGCAACAGCTCACAAATCAGGCCATCATTCTTGATTTCTTGTTGCTGGATCCACTTGGAGAGTGGGGCATTCTGCTTCCAAATTGTTTGACCCAGTTTCTCCACGACTGATCGTATTTCCTTGAATTTTATCTCCAGTTGTTTGGGGTACGGAATGTTCCAGAGAGGAGTTGTGCTGGCTTTTACTTGAAGCTCAGGGGAAATTGTTTCTGACTCTTCAAGTTTTTGTTTCTTCGACGAGTCATTTTGGGACTCGATTTTTCGTTTTATGAAGGGGTCCGGTGCTGGTTTCGCTTTCCTTGCCATCAGTTTGCAATTTTTCCAAGTCATTCCGTTGATCGTGTTGATAGCCCTCTCCACAGCTTCTTCACTCTTGAAACAAACAAAAAGCCATCCACTCCCTTTTTTTGGTGGTTTCACTTTGCTCGAGTCCAATTCCAATTTGTTATTCAACAAATTCTTCAACTCCTTCATCCCGTAGTACTTGGGCAGCCCCTGAATCTCTATTTTGTACTTCTCAGAGGTGAAATCCTCCCGATTGAGGTACTCGTATGGATTCCCATTTGTCCCATCGTTGTCCTCATTTGAAACAGTCACTCTAGGATCCTCAGACATTATTCCAACGCGAGAAAAATTAATTTAAACTATTTGTCAACAACAACTATTAAAAGGACAACAGTGAACACGTGTTGTGCATGAACTGAGGCAACGAGAATAGCCCCGCGTAGATTAAAGCCAGATTTCCACAGGACGAAAGAAATTTTATTCCCTCACTTCTCCAAAATTCTTGTTGCTGAGCAATATAAATAATTTCGTAAACATCCCCAAACGATTCTCCAACGATGGGTAATAATTAAAAAGAATTAATTTTTCGTTTGCCAGGTGTTTCCAATTTTGTATTTACCTGCAACCGCTCGATGGCGCCGCCATTCATAAAAACCTGTCCTCCCTCTCTCTCAGTCAGTGATTTTTGTAGCTGGGATTGTTGGGAATTCGGTTCCTCATATTCAACCACTCGCATCTGGTCACCAACATAAACACTGTCGAATAATGGCGGTCGAGTGCAATAAAGTGTCTTGCGACGCTCAATGGCCTATCTTTTAATAATTTTATCGTTCAAAAAATGGCCCACCAATTTGCCACATCCACCAGTGAAATGAATCAGCTTGACTAGTGTATGCTATCAATATTCCAGTGAAAAATGAGTGAACGAAAATTCACCCGCGCCCTGGGCAAACCCGGCATGGCCGCACAACTTCGAGAAACTGTATCCCAAGTTGTGCGCGAAAGTACAGTTCAGGTAATTATAATAATCATGATATCTGTATTTATCAATATCCAGGATACCAAACAATTCCATCAAGTTTATCCAATGACACAACAATTGTGCCACCTGACAGTTTACTATTTCCAATAGAATAAGCCGCGCCTAGTGGATCCCGTAGACTTTGAGAATTTTGTTTTGAAAAACCGAACACTTTTGCAAAACGATCCCCAACGTGAACTGCTGCTCTACCCACAGGATGATGTATCCGTGAGTTATTTTATTAAATAGATAACTTAATTATTGATTTGATCAATGATAATTTGACGAGCCCGGTTATTCCAGCAAGTGGAATTGCCCAGGAAATCCAGAACAGTGCAACTTGTAGCTCAGAATATTCTAGACGAGATTGACGGTACTGAGTACCTGTTCACGAAAGAATGCCTCAAAAGTTATGCGTCAAACTGGAACGTGATCCACTACAAATACGCCGGCTACAGCGGCACGTACCAGGAATTACCTAAATCATCTCCAAAGTCGGACGAGTTGAAGGATGAGATCTACGAGATTGATACAGAGGTGGATCAAGTCGATGAAGACATGATAAAAAATGACGGCATCACCAAAGAGGGATATCTGATGAAAGGACCGGAAATAGGCCTCGAGAAGAGCGACAGAATGTTCGCAAATATCGGTTCCAAATCATTCAAAAGACGATTTTGCAATCTTCATCAGGAAGTGGACGGAACTTACATCCTGGAGCTATTCAAAGACGAGAAGAAAAACGAGGCCAAGTTGACGATCGTCATGGATTTCTGCACCGACGTTGTGAGAAATTCCAAACGCGGAAGATACTGTTTCGAATTAAAAATGAGTGGAACTGAAAAATCGTATACATTTGCAGCAGACAATGAGACAGAAATGCAGGATTGGTTATTGAAATTAACGTCTGTGCTGCAGCATTACAAACAACAGGAGGAAAAACGTAATTCCTCGTTGGAGCGTGCAGGTCACGTGACCCCACCCTTGAATCCACCGTCCTCTCAATGTGTGCCGATGTACGGTACCCTAAAAGGTCTGGATCAGAGTATGAATCCACAGTTGATCAAGTATTCCAGAGAGACTGACACGAGCATTCTTCTTGCAAGGAGAGAGAACAGAAAACGATTGTTCAATCTTTACACAAGTGCCAACAATAGTAACATTCATCACCACTTGGGGGGCAAGACCTCATCGCCTTCGTCTGGATTACCGACGCTATCCGACAGTAACAGAAGTATCAATCCCTACGAGGAGCACTTTGGCCAAAGAATATTCATAAAATGTGAGGCATTGAAATTCCGACTGCAAGCACCAATCGACGATAACGAAACATTGTGTCAGGTCGAGCCGTATCAGACTAGTCTGTCATTATTTGATGCTCGACAAGGTCGAAAGTTATCAGAGAATTTTTACTTCGACGTCAACAACGACATCGTTCGCCACCTCATGGAGGAATCCAGTCCGATCGATTTTAAAAGTCATGAAAATACAAATGATTCAATTCAATCGAAAGGGGAAAAAAATAATTGCACCTTTGATGGATTTAGTAGAAAAATTCCTGACAAATGGCTGAAATACGTAAACCAGGCTATCTTCAGTATTAGCAACCCCCACCCAGACATATTTCTCGTCGTGAGAATCGAGAAAGTCCTCCAGGGAAGCATCTGTCAGACATCGGAGCCCTATATAAGAGCAACCAAAGACCCTCGTCTGGGCCTGAAGATCCACAAAAACGTAAAGGCTTGCTACCACAGACTGGGGAATTATCGAATGCCGTTTGCCTGGTCTGCACGCCCGCTCTTTCGGCTGTACAGTAATGAGCTCGACACATCCTCCGATTTTCCAGCAATCTATCGACAGGAAATAAACAGGATGCGCGATGATGATATCATTAAATTATTATCTGAATACAGGAAACCCGAGAAAATGAGTAAATTGACTGTGATACCCGGTTGGCTGAAACTCCACATCAAACCAATCACTGAGATTCCAGATAATACATTGACAACATCACTGGAGCCCCTTCGGCCCTTTCCAATCCCTCCAACTGCCCCTCCAACACTTGAAATCTCAGAATTTGAGAGCCCATCGGAGAGAGATGTTCTTCATCCTTACACGAGTTATATTAATAATCTCTATGTGTATCCTCAGAGCTTGAATTTTGATACCCAGAAATTTTTTAATCGAGCCAGGAACATAGCTTGTGTGGTGGAGCTCAGAGATGACGACCAACTCGATGAGGTCGGTGGAAAGCCCCTCAGGTGTATTTATAACAAATCTAATTCAATAACATTATCAACGAGAGGAAGCTGTCCAGTGTTACATCACAGTGTGACCCCCTCCTGGTACGAAGAGATAAAAATTAAACTGCCAACAAAACTCCACGCCAAGCATCACCTCCTCTTCTCATTTTACCACATAAGCTGCGATATGAATAAAAAAAGGGAGAATGGCGTTGAGAATTGCGTCGGCTACTCGTGGATAAATTTATTGAACAAGGGAAAGCTTCTCGTGGATATGGAGGCAAATATGCATGTATTACCAGTGGCAACTCATTTGCCATCGGGTTATCTTTCGATAGAGCCTCTAGGTCTGGGTCAGGGTAATGCTGGGCCCGACGTCATCTGGATCGACGCCCAGAGGCCGATCTTCACCGTCTCATTTCACCTGACGTCAACGGTTTTCACGCGAGATCTTCACTTGCATAATTTTTTCGTTCACGCTGAAAAAATTCTCGACAGGCGAATCTCCACAATTCTCCCGTCAGACTCCGAGACCTGCAAAATATTGAAAGCAGCGCATGCCATTCAGCTTGTTACTGCGATAACATTCCTACCAACGATACTCAATCAATTATTTGCATTATTGATTTGTGATCTTACGGAGGAAGTTTGCCTCTGTGTTATCAGGCTCCTCATTCATATCATCAATTCACTGCACGAGGCTGAAAGGAGAGACATCCTTCAAGCTTATGTAAAGTTTGTATTTGTTGCACCGTCCAGTGGTACGAGCTCACCGTCTAACAGCAGTTGCACCGTTCACGAACAACTCGCTAAATATCTTCCAACTCTCCTCCAACCCAGCAACACTGACTTTCTCATTGTCAATAAATTCATGCACCACTCGAGCTTCTTCTTCGAAATTATGGTGAAGAGCATGGCACAGTACATGCTCACTACTGGAAGAATCAAGATGCATCGCAATGAACGATTCTCACACGATTATTACAAAGCGATTAAAACATTATTGGAAGTAATTATGCCTTATTTGATGATTAAGTACAAAGAGATGCCGACGGAGACACACGAACTCAATAAAAGTCTCGCCCAATTTTTCAAGGTAACAGCTATCGCTTCATTCATCTTTGCAAAGTTTTATGAAATAATTGGGTCATTTTTTTTTTCATTACTGTGTTTTTTTTTTTCAATGTAGAAATGCCTTACTTTCATGGACAGAGGCTTTGTATTTACTCTTATCAACCAGTACATGAGCCATTTCTCACCGGGGGATTCAAGAACACTGCAGGACTACAAATTTATTTTTTTACAAATCATATGCTCACACGAGCATTACATCTCTTTCAATTTGCCAATGATGCAGACCAGAGTCACGACTAAAGGTAACGCTAAAAATTGAAAAAAATGTGTGACATTAAATGTTCCTCATTTCTAATCTATCCCCGAATTTTCCAATGCAGAATTGGAAACTGATGGTATGTAATTAGGTCGGGAGGAGTTTTAACAAATATTGAATAATTTCCTTGATGATTATGTTCATTGATAACATGAGGAATTCGATTATTCCAGATTTATTACTTGAGTACTGCCTGTCCCAAGAATTTTGCAAGCATCACTTCCTGGTTGGTTTACTCCTGCAAGAAGTGAAATCCTCTCTAAACGAAATCGTCCAAATAAGAAAAATTGCAATAGCCACACTTCGAGATTTATTAGCAAAACACGAATTGGACGACAGATACGAGAACAAAGGCCAAATGAGTCGGATAGCAGCGATTTACATACCGTGGTTGGGGGTAGTTCTTGAGAATTTGAACCGACTCGAAACTTCCTATGAGACTGACGATAAAAATAGTAAAATTGAACTATTGGAGAATCGGGCTAGTGACACTCTCTCGAGTCATATGCCACTGAGCAATTCATTCTTCAATAATAATAAAGATAAGGATCAAATAAATTCAAGCAATGAAACCCCAAAATCCGTGCACAGATTGACTCTCCATTTGGATGCAGCCTCTCCAAAAAGGGCGTCGATACATTTACGCGATTCGACGTATTTTGCAGCAATAGCAGGACAGAGTCTTGCCAATGGATTCTCATGCACTAGTATAGAGTCCACAGCCTCGACATTATCGAATGCCTCTCATTCCCACGTATCCCAAGAAACCACAATCGCTTGTGAATCGATGACAACCCACGAGAGCGATGCAACGAATGACAATCGTAAAGGACATTTACGATCATTGAGCGTAACCCAGACATCGCCGAGATGCGATAAATTGCAATCCTCAGAAATGAAAGACCTACTCATCTGCTTTCTATTCGTTATGAAATATCTGGGAGATCATCAGGTGATTGCCTGGTGGCAGCAGTGCTCTGATAACGAAATCATAAGTTTCTTTACAGTCATTGAAATGAGTCTCCATCACTTCAAGTACACAGGGAAGAGGCAGATCATTTCAAAAATCAATGCATCCACTCAAAATTCAAAGCCTAAAACAGTAAAGGCCATGACACTGCCAGCTAGAATAGCGCCACCAAATTTTTCAACAGATAATTCAGCAACTGGGACACTCCAGCCTCACAATATTCCATCATCAACGAGGGATAATTTAATCGACGAAGAGGAGAACGGAAAATTTCAGGCTGCACTCCTCGAGGCAAACATGTCCAGTGAAATTGGCCTGATTGTTCTCGACTGTCTGGGATTATTCTGCATTCATTTTAAAGAAGTACTGCTTGCCAACGACGGCGATAACAGCATAATGCATAAATTATTCTGCATTTATCTGAAATTCCTGGAGATTGGACAATCCGAGAGTCTCTCTCGTCACGTATTCGCGAGCTTTCGAGCATTTTTGAATAATTATTCCATGGCGTTATTCAAGGGTAACGCAGTATTATGTGGACGTCTCTGTTATCATTTACTCAGATGTTGCAACAGTAAACTCAGTTCGATAAGACAAGAGTCGTGTGCATTACTCTATCTTCTAATGAGAAGTAATTTTGAGTACACGAACAGAAAGGGATTGACAAGAGTGCACCTTCAGGTGATAATATCAGTTTCACAGATGCTCGGTAGTGTTATCGGTCTCAACAACTCGAGATTTCAGGAGTCATTGTCTCTGATAAACAGCTATGCTTCCTCCGATAAGGCGATGAAAGGAACAGGATTTCCAGTTGAAGTCAAAGATTTGGTGAAGAGAATTCGCACTGTTTTGATGGCGACAGCGCAAATGCGAGAGCACAATGACAATCCGGAGATGCTGGTGGACCTGCAGCACAGTCTGGCAAATTCCTACGCTAGTACACCAGAACTGAGACACACGTGGCTGGAAACAATGGCGAGGAATCACCTGAGAAATGGCAATTACTCAGAAGCTGCGTGCTGTCAGCTGCACATTGCTGCACTGATAGCCGAATACTTGAAGCTGAAAAATATTCATAACTGGGGTGGCGAGGCCTTCGACCAGATATCGATAAATATCAGTAAAGACGAGAGAGGATTGAAGCTAGATGCTGGAGTCCAGGATGTTCACTACAACAGTATGATCCTCCTGGAGCAGCTGGAGAAATGCGCAGAAATTCTGGAGAAGGCTGAACGTTTTGAATTGCTGGGACCACTATACCGACTCATTATTCCCATTCTCGAGGGCAAACGGGACTACAATGCCCTGGCAACTTGCTACTCTCATTTATCTCAAGCCTGCAACAAAATCGTTGAAGTCACGAGAACTGGTAAAAGACTACTCGGGCGATTCTACAGGGTTGCATTCTTCGGTTCTGCTTACTTCGAGGAAGAGAATGCCCAGGAGTACATCTACAAGGAGCCTAAAGTAACTTCACTGTCTGAAATATCAGAACGCCTCAATCGAATGTACGCCGATAAATTCGGCCTAGAAAATGTGAAGATGATTATGGATTCAGGGCCGATTGATCAATCCCTACTCGATCCTAAAATAGCTTACATACAGGTCACCCATGTGACTCCTTACTTCGAGAGTACAGAAAATGAGACGCGAGTCACAGAATTCGAGCACAATCATGATGTTTCGAGTTTTATGTTTGAGACACCCTTCACCAGAGAAGGAAAACCTCACGGTGATCCGGAGGACCAGTGGAAGAGGAGAACAACTTTGTACACAGAATATGCATTCCCTTATATTAAAAAACGTATATGTATTATTGAGAAAAAAGTTATTGAACTGACACCGATAGAAGTAGCGCTCGACGAGATGAGGCAGAGGGTACAGGAGCTTCAGGATGTCTCTCTAGTCCTTCCAACTGATATTAAAAAATTACAATTACGACTTCAAGGGAGTGTGTGTGTTACTGTCAATGCTGGACCACTGGCCTATGCATCGGCCTTTCTAGATCCTGCATTATCACCGCAGTATCCCGACGACAAAGTTGAACAGCTTAGGGACGTCTTCAGGGATTTTATCAAAATCTGCTACACAGCGCTCCAGATAAATAGTAAATTAATCACCAGCGATCAGCAGGAGTATCAACAAGTTTTGAGAGAGAATTATCAAAAGCTCTGTGAAAACTTGTCGCCGTTGCTCGGTGAATCCATATGGCCTGGGGATTTACTTGACAGTTACAAGAGAAATAGTTCAGCGCTATTCAGTGCTATCAGTGGAGCTAATAATAATCCAGCGAAAGGTATTGTCTCGAAGAATTAATTTTTAATGAACGCTTTCTGCCCTCGTCGAGTGACGAGTTTTATATACATTTATATGTACATAGTAATGGAAATTTCATTGGATTATTTTGTAGTTAGACGGAAAAAAATACAAAATCGTTTTATATCCAGTAACAAACTGATTCTTTCAGTATCGTATTTACTGTTAATTAATTAGGACAATATTTTATAATCTCATGGACATTTTTTAACGAATTGTATACGCACATGAGCGATTGGTATTTTAGACGGTGATATGTATATAATCACGATTGATATGAAATTTTCTTTCGACAAATTGAAGCGTAATGAGAGGAATTAATAAATCTACGATGAAAATTATTCCATGACAGCGCAATAACCTTTAAATGAGCATTATAATATATCAGCACCTATTTATTGTATTTTTTTGCAATATTCGGCTTCTGATTGTTGAAAAATATGTCAATAGATGTACCTTGAATTCAACGTATTGAACTATTCGCATTGGATAATTCCAATTGAGTAAAAAATACTAACGATACGTCCAGTACTGATTCGAAAGAAAGAGAAATGACAAATTATCGAGTCATGACTGCTGCATAAATGTATTCGCCCTGTGTTTTATACAAAAATGTTGTATTTATATCGAGCAAGTGTATTTTATCACCAAATTGAATAAACAAGAACGCCTTTTATTGATTTAAAATTACCGCCTGAATTTCATGAACTACTCCACTATTAATTGCTTCAATTTTCAATTTCCAAAGCTTGAATTTATTTTCTATTACATTTTTCATATGATTTATAAAAAAATACATGACAATACTTGACGCGCGGGCAATTTTTATGACACTGTCCTTTGAGTGGAAGGAGGTGATCGACTCCGAAGCCGTTATCATCGTAACTTATTATTATATGTATCATTCTCCATAACTGCGCTCTTAAGAGCGATTCTGTGATATTTGACTGCAATATATAATGTGCAATGTCCCTGATGCGTATATCCTTCATCTAATTATTCATTATTATGTCGTGTCATCTCTATTTTTATCGAGAACAGTAATAATTCACCCGGTTAACTCGAATTCGTTATAGTTTTCTATTTGGATCGATTTTCATACAATTGCCTCTCGAGCTTTCTTCATTAAAAATGACACATTGTCATACGAATCAATTCACAGAAATAAAGTTTCTTGATGTTGAAAACAAATTTCTAAATCTAAGATAAATATTTTCTCTTATAAAACTCACGTTAATAAAAATTTCTCTTCAACCCAAAAACATCTTTTCAAACACCAAGAAATTGTTTTTCTCTGTGCCGATATATTTTACTCAATAACTGATAATAGATATTTTTTCAAATCAATTTTTTTCACATGTTCCTCACCGAAATACGCTGCTACTGAATTCAAACATGAAAATTCAATTAATTTTATTTCATTGCACGGTTTACGTATCAAATTTAATAATTCCACTGTTACTCCAAAAACTATTAAATATCCCATAATATTTAAATTGAAACTCTGCACCCCCGGAATCGAGTGAATCTTCACAGCAATCGTACATGCGAATAAATCTCTTTATTACAAGAAAATTACGGCACCAATGGAGGGCAGTTGAATCCATTGATCTTTCTACGATAAGAGCCTCAATCTATCCGAAAAAATCACCGATCAATCGAGACTCGTCTCACCTGGCAATTTAGCAGTCGTGAATGTATTAAAAAATTGTGTTTAAAATTTCGCACTTGCTAAAACGGAGGCAGCCCCAGCTGATGATTTCAATAAATAACATACGACCCGGATGGTCATAACTGTTGTGGCTCTTCCTCGTGCTCATTGATGGCAGGAGCTGCACCAGAGGTCTCGTCCTGCTCAGCAAGTAGAGGAACATTTTGATGATTATAATTACCAGTATCCGATGGCCTGAGTGGATGAACAGACATAAAAGTCATGGGCATTGTGCCAGACGGTGTAGTTGGAGCTGATCTCGACAGCCAGCGTTTAGGTTTATTGTTTCTCGTGGCCATCTGACCCAACGGCATGTACGTTTTTCCCCGGGTCCGTCTTACTCTACTCTGTAAATACTCCCCCGGGCTGCAGGACTCCTGAACTGGCGACTGAATTCCCAGGAAATTCAGTGCTTGCGGACGATTCTGACAGTTTATACGATTTATCGGTGGATCATGGGGCAATTGTTGAATTTTATCAAGGAGTTCACGTAATTCGATAGTCGGACTTGTTGCGCGTGGTGGAGAGCAGGGAGATTGTGCTGCTAGGCTCGATATGTCAGAGGTTGTTCGATTATTGGCGAGAGATACGAATGATCCAGCAGCTATTTCCCCTCTCTCGCACTCCATCGTTGAGAGACCATCGATGCTGTTGTTGCAGGAGTCAATTGAATACGGGGGTGGTATGATGGTATTGGCTTCATTCACGACATTGCACATGAAGCTCGAACTCAGGGAGTCTAGGGTACTCGTGTGAGACAGTGTCCGGAAGTAACGCATCACGAAACTCGATGGGCCCTTGCCAGTGCCCTCATCACCGAAACCAATGACGAGGGGATAGAGATCTGGCTTTGCTGTCACCTCATTGTACGGTGGTGGAAGGGTCTGAATAAATGATGAACATCGACTGTAATGAGGTGGAGGATAGCAGGTGGTTGAGCATCTCCGGTCGGATGATGATATACTCTCAGTGGAGCACGTTAAAATGCTTTTTCGTCTCTGCCACAACCAGCAACAGCATATCCCAGCTAGTGCCAACCCTGCGAGTATTCCAGCCCTGGAAACAATTGCCCTCGTTACATCACCCTGATAATTCCCGCGAAGTTATTAATTTATGAGGCGTACCACAAATACCAATAATTCCAAATCAACAACGTAAACATGTCAGTGAGTTGTTGCGTTGACTGTGAGTACGTGTTACAGCACCCAAGTGAACAGGACTCTTGTGGAGAGCAACTGGACATTGAAAGAATATTGTAGTTAAATCATTATCGATTTTTACGATTATGCAATTGATGGCTATTACGAGTTCAACTTACACATGCTCTCCATTGCATTATTCAACCGAGACCTTGAACAAGTGGAAAAAGACTAGTTTATAGCGCTTGATACTTGGGATAAAATTGCTTGAGTTGATTGATAAATTTATTTGGTCATCACTGAGCGATGGACACACGAGTGATTGAGATAAAATAAATTATGGAAAAATGAAAGAAAAACAAGGGACTTACACATGTAGACAGGGTAGAGTCTATCGGACGGTATGGGGTAGTGAAGGTACGTGTATTGATCGACTCTCGCTTCAGATGCGAATCGAAACTCACTTGCACTAATACCTCGACAGTATCAACTTCAACGAGGAAGTAACTCCGATAATTAACAATCATTGAGTACTAAAACCTCCCTGAATGTTATTATCACTGTGATTATCACGGACACGAGAGATGCGATTCTTCCGCACCTTTCAGCACTGCATACCCTGCGTGCACACAAAGGGTTGAAAAAGTGATAAGGGATGTTGGATTGAACGCACGAGGACAGCACAGTGGGGGAATTTTCCTCTGCTGGTCGCTGGAATATTCCCAGGATTCTGCGCATGAAGCATTTTCCAATAATCATCTACTGCATCAGATGCGGTGCACCCGAAATACGAGAAAGTGACAAGATTAGTACCTGTTTGGATAATCCGTCATTGGGTGTATGGATTATTCTTAATCATTCAAATGGTGGCACGTGTTAACTTCGGTTTGAATGAATAATATAGCACGGTGTGAAGATAGCTGGGTCTGAGGCTGACCAATGGGACATAAGCTTGAACCTAAATCCAAGATTGATGCTGAAATTCTCACGTGACAACCCGCCCACGGTATTGAACTGGAAGTCAGATAGTATTCCCTGGATAATAAAGATTCATCTTGTATCTAGAGTGACAAATATTATCTGAAAAACATCATATGACTTTTGCTGCACGTGACTTTATTTACTGTTTGGATATTTCGTGGAATATCAGCGAATACGTGTGCACAGTGATTTTTAGTGTGCACCTGTGACAGAGACTTGGAGCTCCTGGAGATCGATGCAATGGACAAGCTCGAATAATAATAAATAACGGGATATATGGGTTCATTCGTTTATGTTCGTGGACGAACGGGAGAGAGAATACATATGTACTTGATGTACAGACGATTGAACATTATATGTATTTGGGTTAAAGCTGTGTATGTATGAGTACTTGTGTTTTCATTTTTTGTTGAGCATTGTTGCACTGTGAAAATAAGAGAAATGTGGGGCTAGTGTATGAGCGGTTCTTCAACTTATAATGCCTCTGATCAACAGACTCTTTGCTTCGAGAAAAAATATTAAAACTAATGCTGATTGTAAATTGCCAGTGGACATTGGTACAGGATTTCGTATCAGGTGAGCTGTCACTTCGTCTCTTTTAGGAATTTAATTATTCTCTATTTGAGAATTTATTTATAATCAACTGATGAACATTCAATTAAAATATGTAATAGATCACCTGTAGAGTTGATCGATTTGATAAATCATAACCTTTTTGGATGAAGCGCCAGTTGATTGTGAATATCCAAATTGAATAGATTATTGAGGTGTTTTATTTCGTAGGAATACATTGAATTTTGGAGCAGATCAGATAAGAATTCTTTTATTTCGTGAGTGCGAATGGCGAGGTAGAAAGTTACTGTTCGATTCTGTCACTGCTGGAAGAAATAATGAATCGAGCTCAACAACTTGCAACGGAGCAAACACATCGTGTCCCAGGAGTGGAAATGGACTTCCTCACGAGGTGAATAAAGCCATCAAGACTTCCCTCAATCCACAATCAATAATATTTTATTCGTTTCAGTGTGAGAAAGGGGTCTGCGATAACGTAAATCTCCTGAGTGAAATGGTATTTGGAACAGTAGCAATGACATACAGAGGAACCCTCTTCAAAATCCACACATTAGAATTCCCACGTTGTATCATGTGCACCAAAGTATTTCCAGCACCAGACCACGTGATTCGCCGAAGCAACGATAAATTCGCGGATGATACCCTTAGAATATCATTCTTAAATAACAACAACAGTCATATCAACAGGAATGACTCAATTTCGAGTAATGGAAGTACTCGAAACACCTTGTCATATCCCAGTTCAGGAAATATCTCTGGCAATATTTCCGGCAACAGCTTGAGAAAGAGCTCGACGTCTTCGAGCACTTGCAGTGGCTGGGATTTCGAGGTGCCCTTATTCCCAGCGTCACCTCAACCAGAAAATAATTCAAAACAATCACTGGACTCCAACAGCAACAGCACATCGTCATCAGGTTTTGGTAGTTATCCAAGTCTACGAAGAAGATGGCTACGAGCTGTATCAACATCCCTAAATCACACGGACATAAATCATCAGATGGACGATATTCTTGGGTTACAAGTTTGCGGAGACAACAGTGCACAATCATTATCGATCTCCACGTGCGATGATATTTACGAATCCAACAGAGGCCGGCATAAAACAAGATTGGGGCTCACCATAATGATTAAGCTGACACCCGACAGAGAGAAGGAGATGGAGCTCAGGCTGTTTGAACATGCATCGCAATTGGAGGCAATATTGGACAGGCTCTGCCAGACGTGTCTGAATACTGGAAAACAGAGGGGACTCATTGAACGACTGCATCAAGCCTCTTTTCGTTGCACCTGGTGGTTGCTGCGATTACTCGTCACCAAGAAGGACAACGAAAAAGGCGACGGATTGTCCATATGGCACGAGATTATTCTCAATAAATCGATGTCAATGGACAGGCGAAACAGTTTGCTTTATCGAAATTTTCAGCAGATGTGTCAGCTGCTGGATACAGTCGACACTAAATCGACGAATTTTTTTTTAAGTAGTCTCATTACGGCGGTATTGACTTATCACCTGGGGTGGGTCAACAGCGCTATGTCACTGGAGGAAAAAAAATGGCTGGAGGCTGTGAGGACGAGGTATCCTTGCAATCCGCTGTGGATACAGTTGAGCGACTTGTATGGAACCCTGGGGAACCCATCGAAGAGGGTCCACACGATTGTCACCGGGGATGCAAGCAAATTAGACTTGATTGATGGAATACTGAAGTTTCTTTCGTATTTTATTCGCAGTGCTATTGTTAAAAGGCATGATTTTTATCGGAGTACTTCAGGGGAGGATATCCAAGAGAGTATTCGAATTATTGAAAAGAAAATGAAGAGGGTAGTTTCACCCTTTTCACCCTCCATGGCATCGGCCTCGTCCTCGTCATCGTCCTCCTCTGCGTCTTCGTATTCCTCTCGTCTTCCTAGATCCACGTCTCTACGATCTCTCGTAAATGTCAGCTCGACGGGTTCGTCCATCGGTTGCTTGAAGAAAAAAACAACCGAGACGAGCAAAACATTGAATAAGTCGTGTGCAATTAAAAAAAGTGATGACTCCAACATTCCAAGATTGAAAAAAACCATAAGTTTACATAGAAATCTTGATTTAGAGAGCTTGAATTGTATGAAACTGGAGGATAAATTAGCATTGAAGTTAGACTCGTGCCAGGATGATTTGGATGGAACGGATAAGGATGTAAATAATTCGAGTCCAGTGAAGATTGTTGTGAATAGTGATAAAAACATGACGAATGCATTGACACTGGATGAATTTGTTGACAAATCGGACTTGAGGAGCTCTCAATTATTCGTCACATCCTCGAAAACAATACCATCGATATACCTTCAGAATGATTTCGACGTGATGAAAGAGGTCAGTCAGAATGCCAATGCCACCGACGAGACGGATGTGTACTTTTCCCAAATTGAGTACGAGAGTGATAAACAGAGTCAGGTTTTTTTCACTGTTGGTGGTGATGAGAAGAGCGCTGACGTCAAACCAGAAGTGCAAAGTAATCAAAATTGCAGCTGTCAATGCTCGTTTGCATTTACACGAGTACCGAGCACTTCAGCTCAACTGCCGGAAGGGGTATTGCGGAAAATTCTTCAGAGAAATTTTCCCGAGTCTTCCAAAAGCATTCAACGGCCTGGAACGTCGTTGAGTAAAGACAGATCATTCGGGGTGACATGTCCAAAATGTAATGGTTCGAATGGAAATGGAAATTACGAAAATAGTAAGCTCCTATTAGAAACACCGACGAATGCCACTGAAGTTTTGAGGACATGTGGAGTATCGACTATTGGGATACGACGGAGTCGTCGAGCTGACGGTCTCGAGAAACTTTTGGAGGATAATAACTTCATCGAATTGCCAATGCCAAGGTCCAACAATGATACATCAGTGGAAAATCAGAAAGAATTTGAAGAAATTTCTGGATACACCGATACACTTTTGCAGAGGGCAATGAAAAAATTGGAGGGAGAAATAGTATCGCCAGACCTGCAGTACACAGCAGGACTTATAATCCAGGGTTTGATAAAAAAATCCAATCAAAGTAGTAGCAAAGTAAAAAAAGAGATGAATCCACCAGCGATGGACAGTCGATTATCAGAGTTGCTGGACGACATCAGTATATCCAGCAGATACCCTTTTTTCGATTGCTCGATATCGGAGACTCTCTGTATCGTTGCGGATATCGATAATTGGCAAGTTGGACTCATCTCCAACACTTCGCCCAACGCTGCACCATTGCCTGTTGGCATGTCAAGGCTAGTCTCTCGAATGCTAGAAGCATTCCTCTACTTATGGACAAGGGACAAATCATCAATCCACTGTTTCACTATTCTCGAATCGAAAATGCGAGAGATGTGGCTCAGAAGTGGCGCTTTAGCCCAGATGATTATGACAATGGACGTCTGCAGCATCAATCTCGATAGTTTAACTAGTGCTCTGGACCTAGATGCTGCAGATGTACCACTTTTACTAGCCGTCGCCACGACACACTCTCCACAAATTGCCCAGAGAATCGGCTTCACGTACACTTGAATAAATTAAAACGAAAAAATACACTGAGAAGAAATTTGTACATACGTTAAATATCGTTAGTGATTCTCATGCCAAATAATTGATTCAATTTCAATCGCAAGTGATTTCACACTCAAGTGATGCTGTCCCACTCTATCGTGAAATGAGGATTGTAAAAATATAATAAATTACTTTTTATACTACGCATTTCTCCTCATTATAATCGGAGGAAACAAAACGAACGAGAAAAAAGTGAATGCCTGATTACAATTCCATCTGTGATTTTGTCTTCAGTCATTTTTTTATTTTATCCACTTTTTGGGGTTGGAAAAATTGAAAATTCTATTGGAAACATGGAAATTTGCCCTCCGCCGTGGTGATTACCGACGATTATTTCCAATTATTCATAAATCTAGATAATTAACTCGTGAATTTGATTTTCTCGCAGCCCTCAATTGAATTCGCACCGGCCAATAACTCTGGTGAAAAAGGCCATTTGCGTATGTTCAATGAATCTATTACCAATCACTCGAATTACTCCTCATAATTCAATGCAATCTAAATAGGTGGATCATGGTGGTAATTGCAATTGTTGCTGCTGCTGTGCGTCCAAGAAGAAATTATTCAAGTACGTGCAGCCAGAAGTGCCAAAATCCTTCGCGCCGATTCGCGTACGCATTTCAACATTAAAAAATTATAAGGACTCTCATTTATTCGCATAAATGAATCCTTGATTGATATTTAGACCTATTGGAAAAGCGGCAGTCCAATGGAAAGATATACAACTTACGAAAGGTCATATTGGCGGCAAGACCCAACGTCCTCCAGAGTAAAACCTTTTAAACACCAAGTTTCACTGACTGTTGGCGATGGACCTATAACCGACGATACAACTCACCGAGTACTTGCATTTGAGTCCCATGTATCTGGATTAAAATTGATGTATCCTTTCATTGACCTTCTAGCTGAGTTACCTGGGCAATTGGTGCCTGCGTCAATCCGAGCCCCATATGGTACCGTGTGATAAGCAATGGCTTGGGAGAGGACCAATGGAAAATGCCACGACAAACAGATGCGATTACACCTGGAAATTGTTACCCAGACGAATGCCTTTGAAAAATCGGGAGAACTTATGCTTTCCAAATGCCAACCTCTCAAGTAACTTATAAAATAATATCTCATTCCCCTCTATTTATCGACTCCAGGAGAAAATGCGATAAACCTTTTTTATCAGACATTTAATCACCAACAAAAAAGGTTCTCCAAAATTTTCATCTTGAGCCGATAGCTTTCGGGATAAATCGTTAATTGAGGGAAATGGTAAACAAGATTTATATCGCGATGGAATTTTATTAATGAAATAATTGATGAATTGAGGTGACACGACTTATAAACTCAGTTATTATGGATCTGGATGTACAATCCCCGTCAGCTCCTTCAAGCCTATTAGAAAATATATGAAAGGGAATGTTCCATTTGAAGAATGCACGACCTATAAGCTGAGCTATTGGCCCAACGAGGTCCAGACGAAAGTACGAAAGAGATTTTTTAATTCACCCTCTGACAGTAATAATTATTGATGTTGATTGATGTTGCTTTCGATTCTTGAATAGCCCCCCAAGAAGAAAGTCAAATACTATCCGCCCTTAACGGCATTAGACGGTTGTACCACTTATGGTTTGAGCTATTGGCCCAGCAGACAACCGAGGCGTAAACCCATCCTCACAAAAAATACAGAGAACATATTAAACGCCGGCTGTTGCTCCGACGAAAACACAACGTATAATTTGAGTTATTTCGGGTGTGGAGGTGCTAGACGGATGCCAATCAGGCCTTCTCCATCTACGAAATTATCTACATGCCCACTGTCCCACGACACAATTCACAGAGTACAATTAATCTCTTGTTCTTTGCCATGGCACAATGTTGCTGGATTTCTCGTCCACTCCTCTCTAATATTTATTTCGAAATTAATTTTTTAACATCAATAGATGAGTTATTTGGGAAATTGGTGCGTCACCCCAGAGGTCCCCGTCATACCCTGCCCTACGTCGTGGTCTGGGAGGGGTCCAATTCAGGACTTGACAACGCAAAAAGAAAGTTTCATTTGGAAATCCTCTGCACCTGGTCTTCCCATTCTTCCACGAAATAATCTGCGACCCTCTGACCAACCACTCGAAGGCAAATCCAAAATACTCTCCATACACTTCACGAATTTATTCCAATACCAGTTTTATATTTATAAAACAATTATAAAAATTCAGAGAGCCAATCTAATCGATATCTTTCAAGACAGAGTCGATGTAGAATTCACATCTCTCAGATGTTGAATAGATTATAATCTGTCGGTTGTATTTTCAATTACAACAGGCTGTACAACGCAGAGATTATCGTATTTCCCAAATGACTTGAAGGATCTCACGAAAAATAAATCATTCAAGCCGATCCGAGTGTACAAACCATTTGATATACCAGCGGAAAATGAGACGACGATGAGACTGAGTTATCAGCCAGTCGAGACTCCAATTCCCACCAACCATTCACCAAAACAAATATACAAAAAACCGCTGACACCTTCAAATGACAATACAACGTACCATTTGAGGTAAATTTCCTTCATTAGAGAAGAAAAAAAAAATTGAAATTGCCATTCTCTCATTGGTATGTATATTCATACAGCTATTTGCCTCCCGGAAAAGTGGAGGAGTTGGATTGCGTCCCTCAGTGCAGATCGTAGTAATGGATTTTTCAATTCCTCACTGATCTCCCTCGTGGCAATTCATCTTTTACCCCCCCAACAATTGCCGAGGATCCACTAATATTATTTGATGCTATAAATTATCGTCGGAGACTGAACGACTGATGTGCCCGAGGTGAAGAGGAAAGTTTCATAGCACAGGTCATTGATACGCCAGCTTCTGAAATCTTCATGCATCTGCAATCGCGAAGGCCATGTGAAAGTAACAGTGCCTTCCTCACTGCTCGGATGTTCTCACATATATTTATATGAAATCTTACGAAATAGTGCATCCCATGCAGGACAAGGCGTAAAAATGTGAACCTTTGTTGATCAAATCAATAACCAGTTAGATCATTTTAATTTATGTCCGTACACTCGAAAGATCGGGTGATTGTACATTTTTACTGTAAATATATCAAAAGAGAAATCTCGAAAGCTCAAAATGGCGAATTTTTCATCTCCCCGACGCGCAATTTTCGAGGCTTCGATACGCATCATCAGTTGCCGGTAATTACCAAAAAATAATCCTTGTGAATTGCGATTCATGTAATCCCTAGCTATTTACGTTCATAATTCATGAACTCCTCAGAATGGAGGTGGTAAAGTGAGAGTCCGTATAAAAGCTGATTTCTTTCCTCTTGCAGGACACAGTACTTTGTGTTTCTTGAGTGAATCTCTTCGAATAAAGTTTCAAATTATTTTCCACGTCCACCGATATTTTGTATTTTCGCGGTTTTAAATTATCGAGTGAAAAATCATTTTCAAAAAACATTTTCCCGCAAGGAATTAAATATGAAATTTTTGGTAAGTTCAATTTCCATTATTCTATCAATTCCTATTCCAATAATTAACATCATAATTTGACATTCAATTACAAGTATAGCCGCCAATTATTCCATTTTTTGATTTGCAATTTCGATGGTATAAATAATGAAGAGTAATTACGGGTGAATAAAACTGTTTCGTGCTGGATATTAATTAAAACGAGAGAACTAACGAAATACCGGAAATGGGAGATCCAAATGATATGCAAGGATGGCGAGATAAAAATGGCGCTCTGGGGACGAATTGTTTAACAGGTCAGGAGTTAAATGACCCGGGCTGGCATTTTACTTTTCACTTTCACTCATCTCCAGTGTGATCTCCCTTCTTCGATTCGACCACTGACGCAAATCGACAAATGGAATAAAATCTCCCGGATTTATAGTGAACCGATGCCAATGAATTATTCACTCGACAATTGATTGGCATTATCGAATATTAGAGCTATCCAATCGCTGATTACATCTCTTATGCCAGGTTTTAGTAACAATTATCGGCACGGTAGTCGGCCAGAATTTCCATCCAGGTCGGCAGCAACATTCACCCCAACAGGCGCAATCAGGACAGTACCAGGAGGAGCAGAGGTCACAAAATAATGACAGACAATTCAGTACAACTACATACGTGCCCATTCTGCAGTGGAACAAAGAGCAGGAGCACGATGGAACCTATAGAACGAGGTTGAGACAAATTCCGTCAAAAGACCTCCAAAATTTATCAATTTTAATTTCAATGGCAATTAATTATCGCTATTTTTCCATTTTTTCATTGTGTCTAAATATGTATTTTGATATTTGTCCGATCTAGTTATGAGACTGGGAATAATATTGTTGCGGAAGAGAGTGGATACGTAAAGACCATCGGAGAAGGTGAGAACAAGGCAGAAGCTCTGGTGCAACAGGGGAGTTACTCCTACACCAGCCCCGAGGGCCAACTAATCACTGTGCATTACACAGCCGATGAAACGGGCTTCCATGCCACTGGAGAACACATTCCCACCCCTCCCCCAGTGAGTGAAGAGATCCAGAAGGGTCTGGATCTGATTTACGCTGGGATACGCCAGCAGGAGGTAAACAATAACTTGTCAATAAAATATTCGTGCAGATGTGAATTTTTTGGATTTTTAAGGAAACCGATGCTCGGGAAGCAGCTCAAAAAGCTCAACAACCCTTCAACCAGCAGATTGATCGGCAACAGGACAATAAAAATTATCGTTTATAAATTTTACATCTGAAAGACAAAACCACTTTGAAATACTTAAGAATCATTGGATAACCAGTCAGTTTATGAATTATTTATCAAATATTATAGTAGGAAGTGTCTGACTTTCAATATTTCTTTATCACCTTCTCTGAAACATCATCAGCCGCTGATAAACCACGATTCAATAATACTGTTATGTAATTACTGATGCAATACAGACGAATTTTATCCAATAGTTTTCTCTTTGTAACCTTTTTGCTGAAAATATCAATTGGAATGTTTGTTTTGGGTTGAACGTCCATTATATCATTCAAGAATATTTTTATTCTTCAAATGGAGTGTTATCGTAATAAATGATCACATTAAGGAGTCAGTTGGTGTCGACGGACTTTCTAGTTACTTTTAATGACTATTTCTCTAATTCCACACTGAAAATGTTACGTGTATAGCAAAAATTAGTGAATAAATATAATGATAAACTGAGAGATTTCGCGTATGTCAGAGTCGAAGAGGTAGAAAATATTGTCCATCTATTTACATACTAATAATACCCGCCTTGAGGCCAGAATTCATTTTTAACGTGAATTTTTCAACTACGAAACACTAACATAAAATAATTCACCACCAATTATGAAAATGCATTGTGGCCATCAAGGCGATGAGAGTGTATTTCTCAACTAAAAAACTTATTGGTGCTTCAATTGATCCGTTAACAATGGATTGATCCTAGCAACTGACGTATTAATGGCCGATGGGTCAGTCCCCGTGGCCACGAAAATTTGATTTATGTTAAATGAAAATTGATTCAATGAAAGCTTGAATATTCGTCGCGATTACACAGAAAAGAAAAAGTTAAATAGAATAATATTAAGTAGACTATATCAATAACATCCAATGACTCTCCACGGATTATTAATTGGGATGAGGATGAATTTTAATCTGACGAGTTGATCGGTGAGGGATCGTAGGGTGTCGCAGCGAAGCCGACGTATCGGTTATTCTTTTTATGAATAAATCCGTTGTCGCCATCAGCTTTATAATAAACGACCCTTCGAATTCCGAAAGGATCGACGTACCCGAAGGAGCCGATGCTCTCACCAGGTTTCTGTTGCTCTTCATGGTATTGTCTCTTCAAATAATACTGAAATCCGTCAGAAACGGTGTGAGTCCCATCATACCGAGGATATTCCTCGTAAATCGGACCGCTATCCTGGAAGCTGTCAGATCTGTCCCGTATCTGGTTCCTCCTTCCCTTCCCTGGGTTCAATCGTCCCGGTCGGTATTGCCTGCCGATTGCTGGAACTCCAGCTATTGTTCTCGATCTACTAGCTATTGGAGTATTTCTGTAATCGTTTAACGGCGGCTCGATCTCCAGGGCTGGCCCCGATCGAGGGAAATAATTCTTCGAGTACACGGGCTGTTGATAATTCCTCAAGGGCTTCGTCAGCTCGTTGTAACTCTCGTCGGGGGTAATCGGGGGATTCGTTCGTTGAGTATTGCTTCGATAATTTGGTTTTGGTACGTTACCCTCGATGCTGTTGTCGGAAAATTCCTGGAGCTTCGTCTGCCTGTGAATCATCCCAAATAAATTCAATTAAATTCACCAAATGAATTCCCCTCGTATTTTTCATTATCGAAGAATTAATTTTTACCTGAATGGATTTGGTGGTCGTCTGGGTTTCACCAGAACTCCAGTCTGAGCTGGAATACGTCGGCTTATTGCGACAGCATCTCCAATGGGTTTATCTTTCCCCACGAAAATAGTCTTAGATCTGAGAATTGTTCATTCATCATAAATATCTTTGAAATATTTTTACTCTACCCCTGGGGGAAATTTTCAGGGAATATTCCTGGATTTTCTCACTGACCTGAGTATTCTGTACCCATTGCTATCAGCAATGTAGTCTTTAATCCTCAAATACCCGAGAGGATCTAGCCATCCCTCGGTGCCAATGACAGTCCCATCCTCCAGTCTCTTCTCTTTCCTGAATTGTCCATTGAGTGTCTGATACCGAAAATACCTCTCAGGCCCCTCATCCGTTTGGATGTGGTACTGGGTCTGAGGATCGGCATTCCATCCACTTCTTTCCGCTTCTATTTCGTCTGGGGTCAGACCATAAACTGAGATCTACCCAAAAAAATAACGGGAAATAATCAATAAATAATGGATTAACCATTAAATTATTTCATTAGACTCAGGGACAGACGTCGTAATTATTCCAGATGTTGGGCGGGTCCAAGGATCTTCGCTTTTGTTATAATGATTTATTCATTGAGATCAAGTACATCGGTATTCAATATTCCCCGACAGCGGTAAATTAGTGGGTGCGAGGCCTCAAAACACAAGGATGCAATTCTCGAGGATAAATTCATTAGATGTAAATGTTGCGCAATGGAATACCGTGCGAGAATTGTTCGAGGTGAATTTTTCGGCAATAACTCAATGGCCTAATATGGCGCCAGGTCTGTTAGGTTTTATTACTTCTTGGTCAGAGACATGTGCGTGGGTTTGCGAAAGTCTTACCAGTCGAGAGGTCCATATAAAGAGGCCTCATATGACTGGTCGTCTTTCTTACCGTTGGATAATACCCATTCGCAAAATTCGATTCGACACGTCTTTAATCCGCGAAAAAAAAATGGGAAAGAACGTCAGATATCGATTCGCACTTGAAAGAATTGCCGACCAAAAAAAAAATGATTATGAAATACAGAGAGTATTAAGAGATGGAACGAATACTTCACGAATTGGCATCTCATAATTTACGAGTTCGAAATACTAATTCACGATTTTAATGTCGCCGTAATTAGCTTGAATGGAAAACTCGGAAATAATTCTTCAGAACACGTATTTTACGATTTGTTTTTTGTTCTCGTATCTCCTCAATCGGGTTTTTCCTGAAAATCCGCATTAGGTTCTAATTATGACAATTATACTGCTCTAGAAGTCGATCCCGTTAGTCGCTCCCTTGATTGACCGCGATAATTAATCCCATTAAAAAATACCTGACGATTCTTCTCGCAACAAAAAACGAAATTCAGAAAAAAAAGAGGACTAGTATCTAGAGCAACGCCGAATGATCTGGAAATGGATATAATATTTTTTTCAATGCATTTAGTCCATAAAAAATTATCTCTTGTGCACTTCGAGAAAATAAATATGATTTCCAGTATATTGTATCGACAAGAGACTAGTGTGCATCGGAATGACAATTTATTGCAATTGCATATGCAAAAAACATTACGTGATGAGAATCAATCCCTCTGATTCATTGAGAATCTCCGTCTTGAGAGTTTCTCATAATCCCAGGGCTGATTATGTCGCACGGTCAGACAATAATCACCTCATTACACGGCTGATGGAAAAGTCATGCTCATCAGTGGCTGACAGTGTCCATCAGCCCAAAACACGATAGCTCTTCACTTTCACGGGGGAGCGGAAGCCAAGTTTCTATTTTTGATCATAACCATCATAACTGTAAGCAACGCTCACTGAATTGAAATAGGGGAATAACGATGAGCAACGATGTGAATCATGCCTTGGCCTCTCCCGATACATTAAATTGCAATTGACACACTTGTCGATCATCATCTTGAATGTAAAGCGACGAGATTAGTTGGAAAATCCAGCGAACAATGAACGATCCACTGTGATTGCACTGTTAGAAATTATATGAACCTTCAGTCGCACCGCCCCAGGAATTTCCAATTAAATGATATTCAACTCACTCGCAACGGAAAACCCAAAAAATGAAATTGCTCATGAAAATTGAATTTGAAATCTAATTAGACATTCGATGCATTCAAGTGTAATTTTCCGACGTCCCGCAGGGGAATACCCTGTTTATTTTGTTTCACTCGTCACTGGCTTCTAATCGCGATGTTGTCAGTACTGTGGGCGGACTTATTTGACATGAAAAATCAAATGAGCAATTAATAATGGAGGAAAAGGACTGCTGATGGAGTCCTGGCTGATATTGTGAGTCAGAGGTTCAAGATAAGACACGAGGACATGTGTGAGAATCCACACATGACCGCAACCGCCCACTCATCATGAATTGCTATGGCAAACTGAGCAAACCGTAATTGGAAGTGAACAAGTCGTTTTGAATTAGTGGTTGTGTGGGTTCTTGATTGGTCTTATGTTTCTTATTTCGTTGCATACCGCGGCTTTTGAACGCGAATCTGCACTCAACGTTTCAGGATATTCGACAGTGATTTATGATCTCGACCGCATTGTCTGCGTCATTAAAGGGTTGAAGAACACTGCGTGAAATTCATTATCGAGGTCAGTACCGCGTGAATACCTCCGGCCGTTGTTGACGAATTTGTTTATAATTTTCCGGGAATTCATTAATGTAGGATTCTTCGGGATGTTGTGCGGGTAATTGGTACGGATGAAGGTTACGTACTATTAAAATGAGCCAATGCCAATGCGGAATACCGATAGTATTACGTCTACATCGAACTTGACTTATTACATAAATGTAATCTAGGGAATTATAAGGTAACTTGTGGGAAATTCGTTTCCACATGTGGCATTTAAGTTTCAAGTTGTTGGCATTTTATGAACTCTCACGAATTAATCAATCCCAAACTGCTCTGATTTCATGGTCTCACCAGAATTATCTACTACGATTTTCATTAATCAAGTGAACGTGTAATTATGAGGAGAAAAAAAATTAATATTTCATTTACCCCGGCGTTTAATAATCGAGTCTCGACTCTCCCAGAATTTTTACCCTGATATTTTCATAAAAAATGCAATGCATCTTCTGAAAACTTGACTTCAATCTCAAATAAAAAAAAAGTATTGGCAAAATATTTCGCACTTTCTCAGAATGTAATTGAATTAATTAATTCAAATCATTCACAATTTATCTGATTATTGCCGAGTGATTGGATTGGAGAATTGGATTTCGGAGCGATTGATAAATTGTCATTAGAAAAAAAGATAATCTCACCATAATTACGTTGAAAAAAAGTATTATCCAAAAGATGGCCATGGTGAAAATCACATTGATAACTATTCGATTAAGAATACGATAATGTCATTGTTTTCCACAATTAGCTGAAATTTCTGGGTTATTTATTAAATAGTTAACAGCGATTTCTCTTTTTTTCTCGACTTTTATTATTTCTCGATTACAGTGTGTGGATTAACATTCGAAAAGAAACGGGACCGGCTTAGAGAGCTCTCGGTATAAACTCGACACTTGTAAGCCTGAGAATTAACAAGAAAACACTGAAGTGTACAGCGACGTTTCCTCGCTATCACTTGGATTACGAATAGTGTAACACACGTTCTTTCCCTCCACTTTTACACGGGTCCGCCCCAAAGGTATCCGATCTGCTTTTGCAGAGGGGAGATCTGGTGTACAAGTATCAGATCCTCCGGAATCGACTGACGCTTTTAACAGGAGTCGAACACCCATAATGCCCATTGTTTCCTCAACAATGCATCTCTCCTCACCTTCTCATTATCCCCGGTTTATTTAATTATTTCATTCAGCCGTCCCATTCCCCCATTATTCTCTCTCAATTCCAATCGATTGTTTATCATTACTTTTACGTGAGCAAATCTCTATATGAGACCGAGAGTTTTCTCTCTCGTTACCACTACGAATGGGCCGAATTACTTTCACTTTTACGAGCTTATTCAGAGGAGACAGTGCGATACTACGGAGTTATGATATCCCTAGGTTGTTGCCACACGCAATCCGGGGAATGAGACGCTCTTATCGAGATGATATTGAAATTAGATGCTGTTGCTATTTAATGCGTTTTGAAATTCCCCATTTTTGGGTATTACATTTCACCTGTAAAATTCAAAAATTGCGGAAAAATGAGAAAGTCTACTTTTCGAGGGCTTTTATTTTATTACACGTTAAATATGCTCTCCGGGCACGCTACACGTTTATGACACATATGTACACATCATTCATGACACACCTGCGGCGATGAGGATTTTCTAATTTTCATTTTTTTTTTTTTTTGAATTTTGTTATGGCATAAAACCTGAGAAAGTATTGTGGGGGTTGGGGTGTTAGAAATCAAATAACATGATTGAATATGAAGATGGATAATTTATTTTCCTTCTTGATTTTCTCTCAACTCCTTCATTTTTCGCTACAGAATTTTCACATTTTTAGTAGTAAATACAAAAGAGAAAGATAATTCTAACCGTATAATTCAATAAAAAAACGATTCAATTATAAGTCATGTATTTAGGAGTGGCTGAGAATTTAGCATAGGATTTAATAACTTTCCCCACAGCATCGAGGAAGTCCTTCTCAGTAGCAACTTTGCGGCGAGCGCGAATGGCGTACATGCCAGCCTCAGTGCAAACAGATCGAATTTCAGCGCCAGTGCTATTGGGACAGAGACGTGCGAGCAATTCAAATCGAATATCTCGCTCGACACTCATCGAACGTGCGTGAATTTTAAAAATATGGGTCCTCCCTTCCAGGTCAGGCAGGCCGAATTCCACTTTTCGATCAAGTCTTCCAGGACGCATGAGTGCGGGATCGAGGGTATCAGGTCTGTTGGTGGCCATGAGAACCTTGATATTTCCACGAGGATCAAACCTTAAAAAAAAACCAACGAATTACTATTTCCATTCAAATTACGCAACGTATTAATCTGAAACTGATAAAATACCCATCGAGTTGATTAATGAGCTCCAACATCGTACGCTGAACTTCATTGTCTCCACCAGCTCCATCATCAAATCTGGCCCCTCCGATAGCATCGATTTCGTCGAAAAATATCAAGCAAGCCTTCTTGCTCCTTGCCATTTCAAAAAGCTCCCTGACCATTCTGGCACCCTGGGCACATCATCGGTATCAATTTAATATAATTATGATAGAATTCTGATTATAACCACATCGATTATAATAGAATCATCATTTATATTTCCATTGGAAGTTTTAAAGGGACAAAATAATTACCTCTCCCACGTATTTTTGGACGAGTTCAGAACCAATTACACGAATGAAGCAAGCATCTGTTCGATTAGCAACAGCCCGAGCACAAAGTGTCTTCCCAGTACCAGGAGGACCAAAAAGGAGCACCCCTTTTGGTGGCTCAATCCCGAGATTAACGAACTTTTCAGGCTGGGGAATAAATAAATTGGAAAATAATAATTCCATATGATTTTTCACGTTTCGTTGTGATTGGATGAAAAACTCACATGTAAAAGAGGTGTCTCCACGACTTCTCTGAGTTTTTCAATCTGTTCCTTGCACCCACCAACGTCACTGTAAGTGACATCTGGTTTTTCCTCGACCTGCATCATTGTAACTGTGGAATCAATTTTCGGTGGTAAAGGGATATGAATTTGATATTTATTACGATCGACCCCGACTCTCATTCCCTCCTCGATATCAGTGGGTGCCACTGAATCAGCCAGATCAACAACGAACTTGGCGAACTGCTTGACATTTATAATGTACTTGGGATCATCAGAGTCAGCATTGATGATCTTGGTGCAACGTGCCACTTGCAAGGGCTGTTCATTCTGTAAAGTCTGTTTATCTGCAGCTAAATCCCACAGAGCAGGTGGTGCAAGCCCTGTATCAGACTCTTTAATTCCAGTCAATTCATTAACTCGTTTTATTATCGTCTGGATATCCTCCTCCACGGTTTTGATACTCTTCGTGTATTGCCCTTGACCCTGAAAAATCCTCAGGGAGTAAAACGACGTGTTGGGACAATATAATTACAACACCAAAAAATTCACTCACATATGTCTTCAAGAGTTGAATGTCCCCCTCATCCAGAGCTAAATCGTTTTTCAAAATAACAGAATACAAATTATAATATTATTATAATTATAATTTAATTAATAATTGTCAGGAGAAACTCACATTTGATCTCCTTTTCCTCCTTCTCATCGTCTTTGATTTTTCTCATGTCATTTCCCAAATGATCTGGCATTCTGTTGTTGTGGATCGACTTCTCGACGTTTTATTCAGAAAATTATCTCTTCGAATGAAGTATTCTAGGTTATTCCTTTTTTTGTGGATAATACTGAACGATTACAAGCAGTTATTCGGCCAGTGGTGATGCGACATGAAATGCCAAAAATCGGTGATGAGTATCTGAATGGCGAAACTTGAAGGAGCGACGAAGTAGTCCACCATTTTTCCAAGAGAGCTCGCATTATATCTATTTTAACAGCTGATAAAGCAGAATGTCCAGGAAAACCAGTCATCAGCTGCTGCATTCACGTGGTATTTTTAACCGGCGGGAGATTTAAATTTCTCCTGTCACGCCAGATGTTTGTGACTTGAATGTAGAGATAACTAATATTTTTCTCCTCCTCACTAATTCACCAGCTGTTCACCTTATAGAAAGGAAATTGCAATTATAACTGTATCATTATTGTTATTAATTGCAATTATATAATTGAAATAATTACTTTGTTGCAATATCATGAAAGAAGTTAATGAAAATTTATATTTAGATCGAGATAATTATTAAATTTCATTCGACTTATTCATATATTCCAGCAAAAATACAATTATAAATATTACAAATTCATGTTGTAGACACTCTGATATATCTCCACAACTGTCGACATATCCATACAAATACATACTTCCTCGTCTTTTTCTCGCATTCACCCGTGCTATCTTTACAATATTTCCCTATCGCAGGTGTTATCACTGTGCAAACAACCCTCTACCAGCAGTACCCACACCCGCTCTCATATTCTACTTTAAAATTTATCTTTCTCATTCGATGCGCTAATCACGTATGCACATACCTGTTGAATTTTTCATCAATTCCACAATTTTCTTTTCAATTTCCCATGAAAATCGCATATCAAATGTGAATTACAATGACTATATTTTATCGCAAACGTGGACATATTGTCCGGATAATCTTCATTGTAAAAAAAATGTTCGCCTTTTTTTTTTGGTAAAAATCGGAGAAACAATTGGTGCCCCAGCGAATTAGACTTGGTCCATCTAAATCGGAGAGTTGCAAATGAAGAAACGTTAGTGAAAAAGAGTATGAGACAGGAACATATTCACCATCTCCGTCTTACCCGAGATTCAAGCTGTAGGCGACCCAGGACCTCCATTAAATTCATTAGACCATTAGTGGTGGCAACCCTCCAAGATGGCCTCCGTCGTCGTGGCAACGGGTGGTGGAGGCGGGGTGGATCTTGGCTGTGTAATTAGATTCAACGAGAGACCGTACGGTAGGCAACAGGGCGGAAGGCAAATTCCAACCCAAAGAGGGGAATCGAGAAAGATGGAGATGGTGGAGATGGGGTTGGTGGTTTGAGAAAACTCAAGAGGATCTCCCCCCGTCCGCACGTTTATACTAACGAGACCCTATCCCAAATGCGTATGCAGAGCTTGATATATTTACGCTTGTATATGCACTTACGAGCATTAAGGCTGATTACAATAAAATTTGTTGGTGTAGCTGTATCTTAAATGGAGGACTTCCACCCCCGGTCGAGTTAATATCAAGCACAAAAATGGACTTGCCTTTAATCAACAAATTAAATAATTCGTGAAGCGTAAATCAAGTCTAGTCGAGATATCGATAGGATTTTCATTAGCGGAGAGAAATATTTAATAGATTATTTAGAATTCGATAGAATAAATAAATGATTTTTGAAATAGGGTAATTGACACACGTTGGAGAAAATTATCTCCGGTTTTTGAGTTAACAATAGAAGGGGACGGAGGCATTATCCACTTTCCCCAATTCGTTTAAGCTGAACTGAGCCCTCAATTTCACTAGAATAAAAGCTCAACGAAAAGCGTGATAAAATGGCTTCTTATTCTCGCGTTTATATTCAATCTCATGACGACTCGGATATAGGTAAAGATGGGTACAAAAGAATAGTAAGGGTAAGGTGATGGTGGCTTCCATTTGAAACACGTTAGTATCCTCAGGACGGTTATATACACATTGGATGAAAGACAGGAAGAAGGGACGTAAATCGGTTCCAATGCATTATGTAGTATCCACTCTGATCCTTTTGTAATGCATCAATGTATGGAGTGGGGGAGAGCTTATTTGAGTTTTCCATTTGCGCTTATGAATTTATGGTTAGTCATCCAGCAAAAGTCATTGTCGATTTCAATAATCTTTCGATAAACACTCGCACCATTTTCATCGGATTAAATAAAAAAGTCATCAGCAATCGAAAAATTCTAAAAACGCTGAAAAAAATTCCCCGCGATCTCAAAAACAGAGAGAAGCAAAGGGAAATTCAAAAAAAGTAAAAAATTTGGAGAACCGTGGAATTATTGGAGAAATTTTGAAATTTCTTCAATAATTTGCAGGCTCTCTTGGTTTCCGATGATTTTCCTAAATTTTCGCGATTTTTTAATATGCGCGTTTTTATTCTCGATCGGTATCTCAAGTCCTACAGAAGTACCTCTAGATCCCATAGCAGATACAGTAGATACCAAACCGATAATCATAATGATAACTGATCATAAAAATGATAAAAAATAATACCAGTACCCCAGCGTCTTATCAACTCCCGAATTCCGACAGATTTTTCACTGCCAATTAATGACAATAATTCACCGCTCCACTCCCCGATTTTCAATTAAAATTCCAATTACGACATTGAAAAAGCACATTGTTTATAATTTTTAATTAATCCGCATAAAGCCCTTTGATTTCATCTCGACTAACCACCGAATAATAAATAATAATAAAAAAATAAATTGCAGTTAGAATTTAGAAGCTTGACCGGCAATAAATAATCCAGTTATTTAAATTTCCGAAATAGCAGAGGAGTCGAAATATCTACGACGAGTGACGATAAATTTCATTTATCTCCCCCTTTTTCCTCAATTACGGGACTGCCATATTGTATATCGCCCGAGGGAGGGAAGTAAAACGTCTCCTGTGTATACCGGGTATTCCTGCACACGTAACCCGGAGAATATACACCCCTTTGCTGTACGTAGTGTATACAGCATGGAGTGGATCTTGAGGTAGACCTCGAGGGTAGTACTGGTGTTATTTATCGACGGTACGCGAGCATTACCGTTACGAGAGAAAACCACAGGTCTAAACCAAAACCAAACCGACAGACTGGCGAAAAAAAATATATCCCAGTCAAGAATTGATATTCTTGACAGGCAGAAAAAACCCCCTTTTAAATCATCCCTCCCAGGACCTCACACCTGTAAACAATTACATTGAACAATTTGATAATCAGCTCTTCATTATTTTTCCTGACGAGGACTGACAATCTCTGACGACTTCAACTCTCCATAACTCCGCGATTTTTCAACTTAGAAATTTTCAGTTGGACTTAAAATACGACTGATACCACCAGGTATGTGCCCACGGCATGTATGCCGTATATATATATGTATAATATATATATCCATATCGACAAAGTGGGCCCTTATTACGCGCGCGGCCACAAATTAGGAATTTCTCTCGTAAGGGGAATTTTGGTAAATAGCAAATCTTGTTATTCATCATTCCAATTTCCCCGACGAGGTACCACACATTATCCTCCTGGTATCTACGAGAGCCAAGACTGTACCGTAACATCTCGTAATGGGAATAACCTTAACGCACGACGATAGTGTAATATACGTTAACTTTAGCTTAACGTTGTTACCCGAGTTATTCTCTGTAGCGTCTCCCCTCGTGGATCACCTCGAGTAGGGGTGCATAATTTATCTCCACCTCTCCACCCCCAAAACCCTAAACATGATGATGTACATTATAGGTCTGGTATGCACAAGAATTCCAAAATTATCTGCATTAAAATCATTATCAAATCCCCAGTTGTGATTGATTAATTATTGGACCCATACGCTCTCGATTTTTTAAATCAATGGGGAATAGTTCAATTAATTTAAAAGACGGTTTTAGAATAGAATTGATTTTTATTGTGACTAGATTACAAACTGTGCTCCTTGTAGATTCACGAACGACTTCAAATAAAGAACGTACACACAAGTGAATTTAAGGTGACAAATAACAGTGATTTTTATTTCTTCATTCACTGCTCGGATTTTTTTGGATATGTGGAATAGGTTTTTTTTTTTTCGACTGTGACATTTGTACGACATCGGGATTCATACAAAATAGCGGTCGTTTCCTTAGTCTACCTTAGGTTCTATTCAATTCTATGATTATTCCGGTGACAAATGTATTTTCTCATTCCTCGAGAGTTCACGTTAATTCTTTTATTATTCATATATTTGTTTTGTTTGATATTTTTAATCGTGAAGTCCTGAGGTATCACGAAATACCATTCATTCCGTAGTTAAATTTATTGAATATTATTCAACTCTACAGTTCGTTAATAATATTTATAACGTATAATCTAGGTTGATATAATCTTGCTCATACACTGTACATGGCAGACTGAAACGGATACACAAATTTTCGTACCGTTTCACTCATTGGCTCAGACTCTCAATCATATTTTCATTTTACCTACAAATAATGTTTCTTTATTTGGTATTCCGCTGAATAATTCACCTTCTATTATAGACATTAGAATATTACAGTTGATTTATCTTTGAGTTGATTTACCTTACAATTCTCATAGTCATTTTAATTTTTCTACTATACAAATATCTACAGGAGTCGTCGGTGTACCACGCGCATTCATTCTCGTACCGAGGAGTTTTGAAAAAAAAATTTTTTATTTTATTGCACAGAGCTTTGGTCACAAATTATAGTATCAGTATCTTACAATCAATGAAGAACTTCAATCTCAATAAATTCCATTCAATAAATAAATCTCCAAATCGTCACGCGCAATTAAAAACGGATCTAAATAATATTCAATTGATTCGAATAAACAGTCTACATGATGATCCGATCATCTGCATTCATCATCATTCAGAAAATATCCAGACACTCGCGAAAACTCGTTTCTCATTTACTTAAGGATTTAATTCGGTGTTCAGCCCCGATTTTCATCCCAACTGAGGGAGAGTGACTGTGAGCCTGTGGCAATGGGATTTGTCGTCCAGGAATCAAATAGAGAGGACCAGTATCCAGCGGCTGAAGTAGCCGCATGTTGCCAATACCCTGGAATTCTACCCCCAGTGCCAGGAGCGCTGGTCCCCATTCCAATGCCAACCCCCATTCCAATACCGGTGGAATCATTGCCATTGCCACTACTCCCCCCAATCATTCTCGTCTCCTCATTAGCCTTGTGATCCGCCGCATTATTGTCCTCATCATACATGAGATAGTGTGGCTGTGATGTTGTGGATGATGGTGTTGACGATAGCATAGGCGATGCAGCGGATCTTGGCCTGGGTCACTCGCTCGTTCTCATCTGATTAACTCCCTCATTAGCCTGAGAATTGCAGTTACTTTGGCTGGACGTTACCTGATTTATGGAACCTCCAGTGGTGGTATTGTTATTAACAGAGTGATGGGGGCTGGAAGCAGCCCCCGGCTCTCCTCAAACTTGAGCCCTCGCCGTTTGATTGTGCTCAGATCCAGGTGAATGTGGATTTGTACTGCTCGATAATGCATACTGACAGGCACTCAAACCACCACCAGACGATGCTCTTGAACTAACTGGACTTATGCTACCACCACCAGTTGCTGTTGTACCACCAGTGCTGAATGAACTCGCAGAACCATACTCACTCGTGTGTTGTTTAGCCTTTAAACGCAGTGTTGCTAGACTGCTGTTCATCACCGAGCAAGGCTCAGCAGGACCAGCAGCACGATGATGAGAGTACACTGGTGGCCCATAAGGATGTGGTGGTGTTGGTGCAGCATAAGGACACGCTGCACTCGACGCTGCTACTGGTGAACCAGCGACACCAAGACCTGAACCCATGCCAGGTAGCATTGATGTGGCTGCCTGACCCACTGACATCGACATACCACTCACGTGACTGGAAACTGATGTCGATGCATTGAAACAGTTAACTGGTGCTACCTGGGCACCGGCCAGCTGATGGTGATGGTGATGCGATGCTGTGGGAACAACTGTACTGAGATGTGCCCAATTGAATGGCTTGCTATTCAAGGGTGATGGCACCTTGGCCGCCCAATTGTTGTAGGAACTGTAAGGGCTGTACATGGCATCAACGTCTGCACGACCAATGAAACTGTTAAGACCCGCTGCACCAAAACCCGCTTTAAAATCCGCAGCTGCTGCGGCCGCTGCATTCGCTGCATTTCTCTCGCGCTTTCTCCATTTTGCTCGACGATTCTTGAACCAAACCTGAAGACAGAGTGCAGACATGCATGATTAGTTCTCGAGAAGGCACTTGATAATTGAATTCATGTACTGCAAGTATTATATCTTAGCTGTACAAGGGAAAAGCGCAGGACTGAGCTTTTGCCCTTTTCGTTGAGACAAATGGCCATGGGAAACCCCCTTTGTACTCTTATATATGTATATATATGTATATATGTATATAACGATCCTTTCTCTCTTTTCTCTCCTACTCTGAAATATGACGGCGTTAATTCAAGGCGGCGCCACGAGAGAACTAACGCTCGATACTGTTGTTATATGCCTGAGGTTCAACGAGAAAGAGAGAATGATTCTATACGACCTCGTCAGCCTTTTTCCAGTCCCTCCCACGGCTTTATATTCTCCATTGGTGCACGAAACCCTCTCCGACAATTATACGGGTGGTTACGCACGGATACAACGTCGAGCCTCGTGAAACTGTGGGGCAACACCGACGCTACGTCAGACAAGGATATAGATATCAGACTGGTTTCTTGGTGGAGGGATGCGGAAGAATGGTTGGGGTGGATGGAAGAACCTGTACTACCAAGATGGATGGCGGTGGAACCGCTATGTGGAAAAGGTAAGAGGCGCGACGATTCATTGAAAGTGGAGAATTTGGAAAAATAAGGGGGAGTCAAGGTGGGGTAATGATGAATAATGCTCAGACCTCTAGGGGATGCCTTTTTATAAATGAGAACTCCCGAGCATAATTGATAATTGATTTATCCGCGGTTCCCCGGAATTAACGAGGCAATTAGCGAGGGAATAAGCTAATTTTTAGTTATGGATCTTGACAGTTGGTACTGGAATTTGGAATTTTGATTTTTTTGCTCGTGCAGAAGGATTTTGGTTCTGCGGGTCGAGTGGAAAATTTGAAGACTGTGTTTATAAAAGTGTAAGATTGAGGTGAGGGAAGATGCTGTTGGCTGTGGACGGGAGAATCAATAAACTCGAGCGTATGAGATAGAAAATGTATATGGAGGGCACAGTAAATGCCTTTGGGCCTTTGGGAGGGCTTGTGCAAGGTACAGAGGGCCGCGCCCATAAACTTTAACGGCATAGCAAAATCTCACGATGGCCGTCCGTAAGTAGTAAACTTGATGAATGAACTTTCGAATATCTGGGTAATGCCTGTAAGCTTTGAGAAAACAAGAAAATTTCATCCCGAGGGATTTATTTTTACCTCTTTTTACGAGCTGTAAGCTCAGAGTTTATTCGCCCTTTACTTTTTTTTTTTCGTTGAGTCCCATTATGGAAACAGTCTTCATACCGACAGATACCAGTCAAATCTTGAATGAAAAATAAATTTCGAGAGGAATAGGAAAGATATTTTCAGGGAAACAGAAATATTTCCGTATATACTTGATTGAAATATTTTTTCGTGTTGCATCGGCCGAGGAAATGAACAATAAAAAATAGAATAAATAAATTGATGTATTTGTGGATTTTCAAGAGATTGGATAACTGGAATAATTGAAATAATTGGGAATACTGAGTGGAAATAAAAATAGTAAACAGATTTTGGAAAAGCCACAGAGAAAAGGACCGCCTGTGGTGTCCTACGAGCAATAAAACCTCATCAAATCACGACCTGCCCCCTCGGTTCCCCCACACGCTCGATAAGCCGGTGCATGGCTCAATCTACGGAAGCTTATATAACTGTAATGAGACCGTGGCCAGGCGTCTCATCAATCACTCCACCCCCATTTTGTACCCTCTCCCTTTAGCCACTATACTCAATACTCTATATGTCTCACCATATACTGTAACTGTAGATACGTTATAGATGTGCGAGACCTCGTGTACCATCACTCGTGATCCAGCGACTTAACGTTCTCGGACAATCGTAATATATACTATCATTTTTTTCACCATTTCATTCATCATTTTCGATCGAACTCACGAAGAGTAATCAGCAAAAAATTACTTGAATTACAACTTCCCTCGATTACTCAATCGAATTAAACTGCACAATTATTTTTCAGACACGTCAACAAATTCTTGAATCAACCATATAAAGTTGATTCAAGTTTTTTTTTTATTTCCTGATGGAAAATTGATTTGCCGAAAAAAAAAAATTGTAATTTCGAGTGGAAAGATTTGAGACTCTCAGAATAAAGTTGTTTATGTGACCGTAAAAAATTGGCCACTTAAAATTCAAAGATCGCAATGATTTCATTCGGAGCGAAAATATTTGCGAGAATTCCGAGGGTATTATCTGAAGTATCCTTCAATCTCAAGTTTCGAGGCAGAAAGTCTCGAGTTGTGTATCGACGCGTTTCCAAGTGCGTATCCATGGTGCGCATTATACTATCTGTATAAGACGAAGGACGAGAGGGCTGGAATAAAAAAAAAAAAGAAATGGAAGAAAAAGAGGCGATGGTATTGGGACGGTTATATTTGAGAAGTGGGAGTGAGGGGAGAGTCTCTCGAGGAGAGAAATAACCAGGCGAAGAGGGAGGATCACGCGCGGATGCGAAGGACGCGCGCCGTTTTCCCCAGGAGGAAGAGGTGGAGGAGGATAATATTGATCCCCTCATAGCCCCGCCCCTCCTTTACCCAGCGACGCCATCATTATATTATCCACCATCCCTGCTTTCTCTATCTCTTCCTCTGGAAAAAAAAAATCCCCATGTGCGAAACCCGTACGCGATTCCACCTCTCTTCTCAATTTTTTTACTTTCTCCATTTTACTCAGTCGAGTAACGCTTTTCCCACTATTTCGACTCACTTAGAAATCGAGTCGTCACCTATTTTCCGGTTTTACTCAATTCTGTGATTCTTTTATCCTCCGCGAGTCTCCAATCGACTCACTTTAAATACCTGGGAGGAAACATTTTTTTTTCCACGATTCGGGAATTATCGGGATGGAATATTTCACTGAAAAATCCTGCGATTTGCAAATTGATTTTTCCAGGAGGTTTTTCATGGAAAAATTTAGAGAGAATTGTTTAACGCTATTTACCCTGACGATTTACGATTTTTTTTTAATGGAGGAAAAACGACGCGACGCTGAATTAAAAATCCGGAGTTGGCCAGAAATTTTTTCTTCAATCGCCTGTGAAAAATTCAAGTATCAAATTTTTTTTTTCTGGTTTAAAATCTGGTAAAAATTTCCCTTAACGATTTTTTAATCCTGAATGACGGAAAAGATCGGTAACTCTAAATATTCGTTTCCACGCAGTGACGGGGAGAAAACTGAACAATTTGAGGAGTAACTAGAAAATTTATGATTCCTGTTCTGTTTTCCTCGGAAACTTATCTATCGATTTCCGTTTTCCCCTTTTACCGGAGCTTTTGCTCGTTTTCCTGTGTTAGGGGAATGAGTAGTCGCTGAGGAGAGAGTTTTCCGACATCAGGAGGACGCGCACCAAAGGCGTCTCCATAAATCTCACTGTACCGTTGAGGTGGATCCAGGGAGAAGCCCACCATGTCTTCCTCCCCCTGGGTTTCGTCCTAAGAAAACGCGTTACTGTGGTTCGTGTATAGACATATATGCGTATGACATAAGCCCCAACGAGAGAGAGCATCTAGATCGCGGAGCATTTGCGCACTGCAACATACACCATCGACAAGTAATGTTTCGAGTATGCGCTCTGCATTTCAACTGAGAAAATATTCGCAGTGGATTCACTCGGACATGAAGACAAATTCTTCAGAAAGGTTCCTAACATAAAAAAGATAAATCGATCTCGAAATATCTCGAAATACCTCAAATGACCGGAAGGATGAGACCGTCAGACGAAATCGACACCGTAGCAAAATTTGAAAAATTCGAAAAAAAGCAAATTTTGAAAATTAGAAAAAAATGGAAAATTAAAAAAATTCGAAAAAGGCCAATTTTGAAAATTCGGAAAAAAATGCAAATTTTGCTCACGTAATATTCAGAAAAAACTCGCCAATTATTTCCATCTCCCGTAAATCAATTGAAAAAGCAAGAAGGGTATCTCCTCTCGATTAGTTCCAGTAGGTCAGGTGGACTTGTACAAGGGTATTTCCTAGTGATCCAGAGTGATCCCGCGGGATTTAGATGGGCAGTCGCCCCTTATTCGTAATTGGCCGTGAAAATTTTCGTGGCGCGTGAAAATCGTCAACAACACGAGTTGAAACATAAATCGTCATTTTCTCATAACTACGGGAGAATGTGTACAGAGAAATAGCGAGTATGACTACTTCAAAACGACTGGGTACTCGAGTTTTATGGATTTTTTTTTTTATCGAGTGCACTCTTTTCCTCCGGACAGTGGGACTATGGCCAACAGTGTGGGATTCGGATATTCAATGTTGGCGTACCTGTATGGATATTAAATTAACACCCGTAAGCCCAGCGAGTATTAACAACTTTGCAAAAGATTATACGAGATTATGAGCTCAAGCGAAACACGTGATTTTTAACGCTCATCCCAGCCACCCCCACCTCTCTCATCTCCACCCCCTACTACCCCTTCAATCATACGTTGAATTATTTTGTTTATAAACAGCTCACGAAAATACTCTTTATCTAAAAATATTTGTTCACCTCCATTCAGCAAACTGAAAGAAAATTTTCAACTGGAGTTGACAGATTTTTTCTGGTCTTGAAAAAAAAAAAATCAATAACGCGAATACCGCGAATACCGCGAATCACACGAATAACGCGAATGATTGACGCTTTTCAAACAACTCTCATATTTTTCCCGACAAATGACAAATTTAAATCGGCCATTATGAAATATCGCTAGTAATACCAGTAAATTCCACAGTCTAGCAATAAATATGAATAAACAAATCGAAATGAGGAGCCAAAATACACGTCTCTGGAGAGACAATGGTGACAGCCACTAACCCTGCGAATACGAATGACACGAGTAATCCTGAGTCTCATACTGGTTAGTATGTACCTATACTCGCCATGGTAATTTCCCACGGTTCTGGGCAAACCCCGTACCTTCTAACTAGCCACCTATACACAATTGCTCTCTCTTGATTTACCCATTATACGTTCAGCCACACGTACACATTAAACTGTCTACTCTCAACCAGGCGAAACCTATTTCCGTTCGTACATGGCCTGTCCATATAAGCCACCAAATGTACAGAGTGTGTGGAGGAGAGAGGACTTGTGATAGTGGGTGGCCGTCGAAAACGACGGGGCGCGCGCGCAACCATACTAATCCGTCGATGGATTTATGGTCTTAATCACAGGCGGATTATCTTGGACAGCCGCGCTGCTCTGCCACCAACCGAAACATACGCCTGCCTCTTTGCAGATAACCGCGGCTACCCGAGAGGACATATTAACATTAACTGCATTTACTGACATTTTGGCTAAATCATTCTTCCACTTATCATGCTAATTGACGCGTGGAGAGATCCATTTTTTTTTTTACCCTCATTGCGCGGTATACTGAAAATGTTTTCTGCATGACGTAAATCGTGATACAACTGCGAGAGAGATTTCAGTCTGAAGTTTAGCAATAATCCTTTGAATGTACTGTGGTGGTGGCCAGTGGATAGCTTGCCCTTTCCAGCTCCAATGAAGAATGACCTCCGTTATTGTATGTTACAATCTGCGAACACGTAAAAGCAACCAGAGATTTTCGGCGGGATCTCGGGATGCCACAGAGTTTTGGTACATGGCGTTTGTCCTCACTGCAGAGAGAGCACTCATGCAGTTCTATAAATTCAAACGTGGCTTACTGGTGCAAAACTCGCGCACCCGTTCTATTCTATCCCTCTGGAAACGTTTGAACTATCGCCTGTTTCGTTGGCCAAAAATATTCTGCTTCCTTCTTAATCCCCGAAAGAGATGTCAATTTTTTTATAATCATTTTTAGTTATGGTTTTAGTGAGAATAAACCGCTTGCAGATTGAATTAAGACTCGCTCTCGAGGGCTCCGGCTACGAGAAGGCCGAATTCCACTTTGTTGATTTTGTCATTGATACACATCAATGCCTGATTGTACCATAAAAATCCCGGGGTTTTTATTTCAAAAATTGATACGTCATTTTGTTATTTGAGAATTTAAAGGCGTTAAAAATTTGAATTCAATGGAAGAATATTTATCGAGTGATTGATAAATATCTTGACGTCTTCCTGAAAATTTAGTCTCGTTGTTTCTGAACGGAAAATTTTTGCAATTGTCTCGTTATCGATTCGCTTTCGATAATCGCCAACTGTATCGATATGCATCTGTTCCATCGGCTGAATAATCGAGGTCACTCATATAATTGAAATACGATTATCAATATATTATTGAAAATTTTTGCGACTGATAAAATCAATAAATCAAACTCACCCTGACACGCGCCTCCGAGAGGTTCGTCCACATGGCGATTTCCTCTCTAGTCGCCATATCGGGATATCGATTCCTGGTGAAGGTGGACTCGAGTTCTTGCAATTGTTGGGAGGTAAAATGAGTTCTTTGCCGTCTTTGACGTTTGTTCTTGCCACCATCTTTATCATTCGCATCGGCGATTCCAACAGTCCCCGTTGGCGAGACAATGTCCGTTCGAATTTCCTGTTTCACTTCCGTCGGCGATCGAACCCCTGAAATAAAAATAAATCCAATATTAACAGAGTGAAAATGCCCAGCAATTAAAAAAATTAATAGCCCACGTAAATGATTTAATATTCCCCCAACAAAAATTCGATGATCCGATAACATAAAATTGAATGGCGGGGCGTTTGATCAGTAATCTCTTTCCATATCCGAGAGTTTTCACCGCCGCAATGTTTCAGTATCAGTACGACACGTAGAGTATCACCTGTGTATTTTACCCAGGGGTTTGTCTCGGCCTCCCCCCTTGCTAACATTGACAGCAACATGATTGATTGGTTACTCTCAAAGGGACACCGCTATCACTGCCTCAGAGATATAAAACTCCGATAATATATGTCCCCATATACGCAATAGTCAACTTGAATTTCCTCGAAAAGTCTATGAATTCCGTTCAATTTCACATCATTCTAATTCCATGAGCCATTTCTTGAGCATCAATTATTGATTCGACCCAATTATCCGATTCAACAGTTTCATCCGAGAAATTCTGAGCCATTGACTCCACTCGATTAACAATAAAAAGCGAATCCGAATTAACTATCAATAAAATTTGATGAGTGCACAGAGAAAAAAAAAAGGTGAATGTCTTTTTTTTCTGTGTATTTAATTAAAGGATTAATGATAATATGAGATCATAACCGAGAATTAGTAATTTCGTGGATTTAATCCATTATGGTTTCTCTGGCGAATGGAGAATTCTCAAATGTGCAAGTTTCTCAAGTAGTGCGAACGTGCCGGACTTTGCCGGAAGAAATAGCGAGAAGACTTAAACCCTCATCCCCATGGATTACCCGGGACCAAGTGAAGGTCTGTCCCGATTGTTGTTAACCAGGATATTTCAATTTGTGGGGGGTTTGGTAGACGCCAGACACTAAGTCTTGAGCAAACACGCAGCGAAACCAGTGACGGTTGATCCAACCATTTATTCCGACTGAATAGCATTTTTATTTTCATTCCATCCTCCATACCTTTTCGAATGTCTGTCCTCTGATTGCTGTTTGTTCGATTCCGAGGAGGTGCTGAGGTGAATCCTGATGGTGTCGTTGGTGTAGCCCCTGGAGTACTTGGAGTACTTCCACCTGGTGTATGTGCACTGTGACCCGTAGAGTCCAGACGCGCAAGACTGTTTGTGTCGTCTCGGAAATCATTTGCAGCCCACACTAAAATCAATCAATCATCCACATAATTAATTACTGGTGCCATCGAGTTCACATAATTAATTTTTCCAACGAATCCCAAATCCTTCCTGATTTGCCATTAATTCACTGGTATTATTTATTTATTACTGCGTTCAGGATTATCCATTTCATTTAGTAATTTTGTACTGACATTAATCAATCCTCTTTATTTATCAACCGAGGGTGTAAAAATTAAATATTTCGGAAGCAGAAACACGCAGTGCTGGAGTGAGCGGTTAATCGTTCTAGTCGTTTAGTTTCGTTTAGTTATATTTGGTTTCACACGAGTCGAGTTGGGAAACTAAAGGCGGATTTCACAATTAGTCGTCACATAACTCTGACTGATTTAGGGATACGTTCACACATATGCATGTGCATTGACTCCCTCTTTTCTGAATAATTAATAACTCAAATGACGAGGGAAAAAGGGCGATTACATTAGAAACTTATTACTGCTAAATGGAATACTTTGGTGAATATGAAATTAGAAAATTATTTGTGAATATTTCTTGAGGCTGTCAGTCCTGGGTCACATGTTGAACGACACGACAAAATGCTAACCGAGAACGTCATATCGCTCTGGAGTAAACTCCAGTGTTTGAGCAGCAGTCTTGAATTTTTTTATTGACTGTGTTGGACCCTCTACACTCAGAAAAAATGCTGGATGCCTTGAGGCCCTATCGTCTGAAGATTTCCGCTTGACAAACAGAGTTTATAGCGATTGCATTTTCAGGACGAAAAAAATTCCAGAGGATTACCAATTTTTAAAGAAGACTAGGGAAGAATTTTCGCGGAAATTCATTGGATATTTTTTTCTTGTGGATTAAATTTATGAATTAACTGGATAATTCGTTGAGAAAATGATGAATGCTGTTTGGCAGAAGAATTCCCCGCAGAGTTCTGGGTATTTTCTCTCATCTTTCTCACCCCCGATACCGAATATTTATCGATTATCCCAGTAAACTGATCTAACTGCTGCTCTTCTCGAAAAAGACACCGAAGAAGACGAAGTGACTCAGTTATCCAGTGAAACCAAGAATCTGACGAATGTTTACCAAGAAAATATCCCATGAATCTCGACATTAATTTCCACTCTCCCTCCCTTTGAATCAATTTCAGGGACAATTTTGTACATCAAACGTTGAGGGGGAAAACAGTGAAAGAAAAAGAAAAAGAGAAAAAAAAAAAGAAGAAATGAGATAATAAGGCTGACAGGTTGTAACTCACCAATTTATGACTTTTCCTCAGACTTGAAGTTTATTTTATACAAAGACAAACCGCACGGCTGCTCTGTGACGTGATGAGAGGGAGATGGAGGACCAAGAATGGAGGAAAAAGAGACATGTGAGGGAGATGAACGAATATCTCAGCTGCTCGTGGTGTTTTTTACCCAGTGGATATATTAGCTCCCGCTAATCCCCCGGGATTTTATGGGCGGCTGTGCACGCGAGGACTCTGTCCTTCTTTTATCTCTCATTTTCTCTCAGTTAGGTGAAAAAAAAAAAAAATAATACGAAGAACACCACAATTATTTCTACTTGCAAACTCCGAGACACTCCCATTTCTCAAACTTTTCCAGATGAAGACGGCATTACGATCGAGGTGTTGTAGATATTAGGGTGAGGGTCGAATTGGGGTAATTATGCGCGGTTTAATATACAGTGTGAAAATTTGATAGGTTTCAATGGGTAAACACGTGACGGGATACGAAAAAAGGAGAAAAAAAATAGTGGGTGGTTAGTGGGGCGTATCGTGGTAACTCAATGAGGGTTATGAGTACATGAATTCGTATTAGATGAGGGGTAGGGGTCGATAAAACAGCCGTCAGCTGTGAAAAGTAACGAGTATCTCACGAGATGTTTCGGTGTAAACATTTTTTACAACATCCACCATAATTCCTGAATGTGTGATGAAAATAGTGGCACCTATCCGAGAAGTGATGAACGTTCAATTACAGATTTTAATACATCCATTACTCATCGGTTAATTAATCGAATAGCTCAATCAATTAACGGCCAATTTGAGTTTTTAATTTGAGGTTTAGTTGGAGAGGGTGTCTATATCGGGAAACGATCCGTTTAAAAACGGTAATGTGACGATGAATGATCGTGACATGGGAAATAAGGTTGTAGTATTTAGTCTCTCGTAAAAGAACTCGAAAGATTAAACCCGTCAAAAAATTGAAGAATAGCCGCGTGCCGTAGACACCTGTGTCTTTTTTCACAACCCCTGGATTTTTCAAACACGAGCGTCGGGGAAGTCCTCCGGGCCCTAATCTTTCCGTAATCCTTGGTTTCCTTAGGAAGTCGTTTATTAGTCAGTCTATGGGCGTTACAAGCCATTTGGTTTTGACAAGAGAGAGACTACACACTGCGGGCATTAAAAGCACGTACTTGATCACCCATCCGAGGATGGGGCGATGAGGCGATGAGGCACTCATTCACTCTCAGCACTCATTAAATTGTTGAAATTTTATTGAGACATTTTGAGGACATTGTTATCCAATGTGTTGGCAAATGCACTTTCATTTCCGACAGAGTGTTTGTATTTGTAATTGAATGTGTGTGGCTTTCTCCGTTGGGTGAAATAATGGGGTGATTGTCTGAGCTGGGGACAGACGAGGTGATATACTAATCGGTGGAAAAGGGCGAATATGTTTTAAAGAATTGGGACTGTCTTCGGTTGACGTAATTTATAAGAGTTCACATGTCCCAGTTTACCGAGAACGGATGGATAGCCCGACGGCGCGCGCTCCGTCGTGTACCGTAATACGACACTTGAAAATCCGGGGAAAAAATGGAAAGATGAAGCATTTTCGAAATCTTTATTTAGAGCTTCAGTCCTTTCTACATTATTTGATGTAGGGAGAGGGAAATAGATGCATTTGTTCACGGGGAATATCAGCGAAATTTGTCACTGGTAAAAATAGATGTGATTTTTTGGGATCTGGCGGAGGATAATTGCCTTCATCCTAATTGAGTCATCAGAAAATTAGTACTTTGAGGAGTTGTTGCCGATATCTTATCATTTTTCAAGCTGTATTCTTATATTTATTATTATTTTATTATTTCTGGTAGCCAATCGCAAAGATTCAAATTTAGAAAAATTTTCATGTCAATCTGATTCAGGAAATCTCAGAAATTCCCAAAAAAAAAATCTGGAAAATGAGAAAATATCGGCAATAATTCTTCGAGAATCTGCTAAGACATGGAATGCGGAATTTATTCTCGGATAATGTAATTTTGCTGAATTCCCATGGGAATCTTGAGATAGGGTTGATTGAAATGTTTTCCCAATTTGTTTAGTTTCAACTTGACTCGGTTTTCATGACCCTCGAACCTGTAATACGAGACATGTCACGCACGAACCCCTCAGGGGGGTGAACTTCCGAAAAACTTGGGAAACGAGAAAATCAGTGATGCGAGGGTGACACCGAGAACGCACCGCAACAAGACCAAAATCTTTTCCGGGAAAAATACCAAACGAATTTTCGTTCTCATACTGAAGTCACGCACAGTCCCTTCCTCGAGTAAATGTTGCACAGTTAAAAAGTTATATAGCTGGGGGAAAGAAAAGTGAGTGGTTGAGCGACGGTGAAGGCGTTGGGTAAATCGAAAAGCAGCTGAGATAATGGAAGGGAAATGAGTTCATTTCTATGTTGATCCCGGTTCGACAATCCAGAAGACAGGTCGCGTGGGAGGTGAGACGATTGCCGATCAAGTATTTTGCCCTCTCGAGGTAAATCGAGACGTTAAATGGAGTACTCTGTTGTCAAAACCTCATCGGAGACCGTCGGCATGACAATTGCATTTCCAATCACTCCATAAACTCTTAACCACCGGAATAGCGATACGCAGAAATAAATATCACCTTTTGTACGCCTAAGGCTAATCGTATAATCATTAAATTCCAGGGCTAATATTAGTTGAATGCAATCCCAGGAGGAAAAAATCTAGTGGTTTTCTTCCCCTGATCCTCAATTGAACTCTCGTCCAACTCTGTCATCTTCTGTGGCGCCCAGTGTCCCCGATTTTCCCAAGGGAGGCATGGCTAGCCAAGCAATTTGTCAACACCATTAGGAGAAGGAGTGAAAAAAAAAGCAACGACACAATGGGCCGACTCTATGCGCATCTGCCCCATGTATATCCCCGTCAACCGATAATAAAGGGGTAGTAAATGACTCCAGTAGGGGTTGAAATCCAAAATGCATTCAGAATCACACCGTATGGTCAAAGCCCCGGGTTGCCAAAATATTGGGATAGAAATGCGTCCACGAAATGAACCAACAGATTTTCACCGAAAGGGGAATTCTTTGTTCAAATGGACAAGTGATACCCAATATTTGGAGAATTTTTTTTTTCCACGAATAATTATCCTGATTCGTTATCAATTACTCTGACTCCCAGGATTTGCGACAGAGTAGATTCTCTCGTCGTTGAATTTTGATTAGAATTTTTATCGACGAAATTTAATCTCTCTGAAAAATTCAATTTTTCCGCGGTATTTCACCGACCAAGCAAGAACTTTTAATGTCCTGGCTCTTATCGGTATTTTACGACCTATTTGATGGCCACCCGAAGCTCTAATTAATTAGTAGATAATTGTTGGAGGCAGTACTATTTGGTTGGGATGAAATTATTGTGACACAATTATTTTGGGGGGTGAGAATTGATTTTTGGGGCAGAAAAAAAATATTTTCAGTGGTGAATTTATTTGATATCGTGCTGAAGGCGATGGTGGGGTGCAGGTAGAAATGTCATTGGAATAACATCACCTTTAACCAGTGGTGTCGAGCTCGAGCCCCGGGATAAGTCTACCTTAACCCGATAAGCCAGTGAGTTAATGAATCACAAAACAGGTGGTGGCGCTAGAAGCGGATGGAAGTGATTGCTCCAGAAGAATTGGGAGACACCTTCCCCGGACAGGAAGATTCTTCACGATAATTTAAGATTTATTCGTGAAGAAGAATAACAAACTCTCGTGTCTTTCACTCAAATATCAAATATCTGATTCGCAGATTGATAGATTTATAGAATTTATCATTGAAGATAATCAAATTTTCATTCCCTTTGCAACCCGAGTTTTCTGTCTCACCACCGACAATTATCATCGTTTTAATTAGTTTATGAGCCTTGTCACTCGTGTCGATAAATTATCAGATAAATGGGTAATTAGTGCGACATACGATGACAGCAGATTATTTTCGTACTTGAAAATGCATTAGGATTGAAAAATTCGAGTTACAGAGAATGAAATTGTCGGTGTAATAAAAGTAACACCTCCTTATCTCGAATCTTTATCGTGGCCAATGTCTCGTTCTCATTATGATACCCATTTTGCCGCCACTCATTACCACGAGTACCTCGAAAATCTGGTTAAAGCCCTGAAGCATCACATGACCATCAATAAACAATTCCCCATCCCGCAAATCTAGCGCCAAAAACAACTAACAACGATTGAAGACACCTGAACCCGACGGTGGAATGACGCGTCGCCCGAGCTCAAACATCATAAACCCAAACCAAGATAAAATAGGTTACTCACTGATAAGCGGAACCCAAACTCATTCTCATATTTGCAATTCGCACCTCAAAAGATGAACCCAAAATCCATAAAACGATTCTTCAAGAGATACTTACACTTGAGCTTCTCCAAGGGTTCATGGGACAACTGGTGACTAGGATTATGGAGCATCGATGTGTCATGATGCGAATTCCCGTGTATATCATGATGATGCATGGCATTTTGCAGATGATCTCCATGGAGTCCAGCCATTGATGCTGCAGCAGCGGCATGCTGATAATGCTGAACAGACAAACCAGCAGCTGAACCTGTCACGAGATCCTGAATACACATGTCAGAATTACCACCGCCACCTCCACCGCCGGCGAGTTCGAGGCTCCCCCCGCCCCCGCCGCGCTCCATACTGTAGAAGGTTAACGTCGTGCTGATTGTTGCCTACACCTCAGGTCAACCTCACTGTCCTCACCCAACACCTTATCAGATATGGCACTTCTCTAAGGTGTCATAAGTTCACCAGCAATATATCCAAATATCCCGTGATCACCACGAACAATCGCCCGTACACACCACTAGCAGCACAAAACCAAATTCACAACCGGTATTCGCGATGAACAACAACAACAACAACTAACTCATAACGATTGGCTTCTCTCACAGAGTCTCAGACTCCAACTGATAATAAACCCCGATAAAATTCACCCGACTCCACCACCAACAATTACGTAACTCTCATGTACTCGAGCCAGGTTTAATGTGGATTAAGTCCAGGCCAAGTCACACGCGTTTCACACACTCAGCACCTCTATCACCTTGACTGTGACCACTTTGGTTTGAACCAGTCACCGTCATTACCCGAGTCGACGCACACTGTCTCGAGCCAGCCACACCATCACCAACAGACAAACCTCTGATTGTCAATGATAGTCACACGTTTGGTTGAGCGTTGTTTGGCAACTGGTCTGGATTGATGATTGGAAGACACGTGGTAAACAAAAACTCGTGATACTTCGGTGGTGGATTGGCTGATGAAAAATAAAAGCAAAAAAAAAAAACACAATGCTTTTTTAAAGAGCGGGTTGATGGGGTAGTCAGGGCAGGTAGTGTAGTGACCGCGAGGTAGGTGGGTCGGCTAGGCTTAGCCCAGTTGAGCCTTTTGGACTGGCTGGTTGGCTTAAGTCTCTAAGTCGGGTAAGCCGAGCGGATCTAGTGGTTCTTGGGTTTGGTGCTGGGTTTTGCCGTGCAGTGTTGCCTCTCTTTGCAGCCTTTGCCCAGATACCTTACCTTATGCCGGGGGCTTGCCTGACTGTCTGACTGTGCCTATCCCGTTTACCAGTCCCCAGTCTTCCTCACTTTCAACCATTCCCCCTTCCCACCTCACTCCTGCCGTTTTACCCCCCTAGTTCGCTATACACCCCTCGAAATACCACATCAAAACCCATATACTCACACACGAAGAGCTTCTCAACACTAGCGCCAGTCTCTCACCAACCCCCCGCCTCACTGGCTTCATCTCCCCACCATGCTCCATCGTTTCATCTCCCACCTTGTCTAGTTATCTTTGCCCCACCCACCGCGCTAGTCATCCTCACGCCCACACTCTCAACAATTTTATCAAACATCCCTTCTCTTCGCTTTTTCAATACATTCAATACCGGCCTTTCAAACAATTCATGTGTGGACTCGAGTTTTTTCACACCTTGCCAACTCTATCTCTTCTTTTTTTCTTTGTATTATCAAGTACTGGGGCAACAGGACGTGACTTTGCGGCTGTTTGAGAGATTCCTTCATGCCCAATTTATTCTCTTGAAATTCGAATAATCATGAATTCGAGGTGCTCCTGGTTCCCTTCCTTCTGCTGCTTCAATGCTGCCAATTGACAATTAAGTCAGTTTGACTGATGATGATGATGTTTGAAGACCACTATCGACAAAATGCTGAGATGCCGATCTGCTAAGACCCAAAGCCGTTATATCTCCGAGAAAAATAAACTTGAGAGGCTTCACCGAGAATGCACTGTAACCTGAATGTGTTCGACTGTCATCAGGCCGGGGAAGACAATGTAACATAATAAAAAAGGTAGATGGAGGAGGAAAAGTTGAGAACGAAGTGAGCAACTGGAGATGGCTGAAGCATATAGCTAGAACTTGAGAGTAGTGAAAGGTGATGGTGGGTTGGTAAAGACACTCTGCCTCTAGGGGTAGTACATACGTCAACTTGGTTGGATAGGTAACAGAGGGTTCAATGGGTTGAAGGTGGATGAGAAGAGACGAAGAGACAACGAGGTGAGGGAGACCCTTTGGTAAGAGACAAATGACAATTTGGCCACGCCCATTCGCACAACGGGGGCGTGTGTTTGTGGCTCCTTAGTGTTTTAGTGTTGGTGAAGTGGGTGATAGTGTGAATAAACTCGTGGTGATGGGGAGTTTGGTGGGAGTAGCATCGTTGATTTTTGAGAGGTGAGGAGACAACCCCTCTCGTCAATGCACATCTTCCAGTACTACTCTCAACTATACCAGATATGTGAAATTATGAGGACAAGTGCGGTCGTGAGTACATGATCGTATTGCTATTATAATTCAAGGATTATGTCTCGTTAGATTGACTTCTTGTACTGCTGATTATCATTGGCTCTTCCACTGATCCTGATCGAGGTTAATGAGGAGTGAGAGAAGTCTGTCTGGTCGAATGACCCAGCGATTTTAATTCGCTCCATCGATCATTCATCAATGGGATTGAATTATTAGATCAATGAAGAAATATTTCAGGAGGGGATTGATGATCCCTGATGGAACGCGAGGATAGAATTGGTGAATTGCTAATTAATTATTTTGATGATGAATACGATGAAAAGCAATCTTAAATTCAATAATGGCTGTAGGATAATTGAGTTCCTGTGGATCGCAGAGTTTTGAAAATAATAGAAAATGAGTGACTGTTTAATTGACTGTTTAATTGACTGGGGAATGACAAGGGGCTGTTATTATATACAGCCGCCATTTGCTCAGTATCGGAGGAGCAACATCCATAAAATAAGTTACAGCCATATCTCGTATCATAAAGGGATAAGACGGACATTTATCAGCTATGAAATGGTTCCTCCATTTAACGGTGAAAATCCAAGATTTTCGTCATGAACTCGAGTGGGAAATAATGTACTCGAGTTATTGTTAACTTGTTTCTCATATAAAACACGCATTAATAGATGTCGGCCGTTGAGTACTCAAGATATCGAATTTCTCGAGAAAATTTTCTCGGTTGTTCAAACAGCCGCGTGAATCGGTATCATACACGTTTTATATCAGTTACAGAAGGTTTTTTTGATCTCTCGAAAACATCAATTGATGCCGACTGATATACTCGATGTGTTTTATTAGTGATAGGACAGATGTGTGACACAAACAATCGATTATTCCGTTATTTCTTTCCTTCTCGTGTTGGACAAGCATTTTTTCATGTACTTTGATTACTATCAGCATGATAAGCTGCCTCTCTGCCAACAGACTATCCCTCCAGGTTCATGATCATTTGAATGATTAAACTATTAATGATATTTCTTTTTAGTAAAGATATCCCATTCGCTCATCACCACATAATTGGGATTTAATAGACTTGCCGATTATAATCAGGGATTAATTCAGTCTTTACAAGAACATTCATCCGTTCTTTCTCTACGAATTTTTCTGGAAGCATTTGATTTTATATATCGGTACGAACATCCTCCGATCTTCTCTGGTCTTTCTAAATTCAAAAGACAGCCAAGAGTTTACGATCTCTACATGAGACAATAAAATGAGTAACGTGTTTGAATAAAAAAGCGAGAACCCTTCGTCATACATAAAATTCCATCCTATCAAGTCCTTTTTTTCTCTCAATAGTTTCGTTGCCATCTCTTCGTTCTATTCCCGTTGATTCGATTCTGTGACTTTCGTGTCGAGTTATCGAATTATTTTCGTTTAATTAATTGACATTTCAGGTGTCTGAGTTTTTGGATGATTTTTTTTGATTTTCTGTGTCAACATTATTTTTTTCTCCATCTCCTGTGATAGGGACAGCCCTCATCCTCTACTTCACGTGCGGCCAAGCCGTTCGGTCGTTACGTCGCTCCGTCTTTACAAATTTTATATCATTTTTATGAGGCATAAAGTCGTCGAGAAGCCGACGGTGAGGAAGAGAAAACCTATGAGGATCGCGAGGGGGTTGGAGGTGATGTAAAGAGAGACAGCTGTGAACATTGAGGATATGAAGACGGGGAAAAGAGTGAGATGTACTGATAATACGGGTCACGTGGTCGGGGCGGAGCGCGGATTTTCATCCCCCAACAGAGAGGGCGGTATTTTGAGGGGTATACTGTCTCGGTGGAGATTGTATTGAGCATCATTGCTGAAACCCTCGTATTTGTTTGATTAAAAAAAAGCTTTTACAAGAAATACATTTCACCCGAGGATTCACACTCTCACTTGACAGCGAAAAAATTTTCTCCCAACGCAAGAATATCAAGAAAAAATATCACATTCTTGCAAAACAACCTCTCATCCCAAGAATAAATCTGCTAAATCATGATATTACATAATTTTGCAAATCGCCTTGAGTTTTGAGAATGATGAGGTGACTGCCACCCTTTCATCCCCAATTTTAAAAATCGATCCCATTATTTGAATAAATTGATCTCCACAAGTTAAAACGACCCGGAGGTTACTTTATCCCATTAATGTCAATGGATAAAATACTTAAGGAGTACAGGATTATCCTGAACAATGTTAATGATAGTTTGACAAGATGGAATTTATTTGCAAAACGTTCGGAGGGAATTCAGTATTTTTACCGATTATTCGGAAAGTTTATTTTTTATGAATTTAACATCATGTGAGATGTACAGTTGATGCTCCTCATAGAGTTTGATAAATGAACAGTGGGTTCACCGTTGTCTCCTACCCCTTTCCACGATCCTCTTGGCTTGATTCCACTCCATCAATTTTCAATCACAAAGAAATTCTCCAGGCGTTCCACCGCGTCGTCTCCATAGCTTTCTTCTCAGGTTGGCTGCACATATACATTATGTACATGTGTACATATAACGTCTCTCTTCTGTTATCCTAGTATACAAGGACGAGGGAGGGTGGGTTTTCCATTCGAGTGATACTCCACAAGGATCTTCATATATACGCACGCGCGTAAACCACTCGTTCCTCATGTACGAGTGTTAGAGCGTGTTCTAACGGTGGTAAACGGATTTCTGGACGTGCTTGGAGAATATATGGAGACAAAACACATGACTATGATAAATTTATGGTACGCATTGCGGTAAAACTGAGAAATATACGTTAAATATTCAGTAAAATATTTTTTTTCTCACAAAGAAACATTAGAGAGCTGCTAAAACCACACATTTATCACAACTACCATTTAGCAATCGTCACATTTTTAATGCGGCAAAATAAAATATTTCCTCAATCCAAGGAATATTTAAACATTGATAATAAAATTCGTCAATGATTTTTAAAAGGGCCGAAAAAAATTCTTCTGGGGAATTAATTGACTTCTGAGAAAACAATTCCTGAATTTACGTGACAGGTGAAATGATTATTCTCAGTGCAGCAACAGGGTAAAGTATTTAATAAATAATTCCGAATTGTTTGTTAGCAATTTCTAGCTGAATTTTTATGTGAAGAATTTTCCGGGTCGATTAATTGTCATTTTAATTGAACATTGCGCAATATAAACATGTGCCCGATGTGTCCTACCATCGCAGAATCATGTGCGTATTGTGTTATCATCCCCGCGCTTCCGCGGGTGAAGTGACGTCACCGCCAATGGAGTCGCGGCTACGGGGCGGCGCCTTGAACGCGACCAACATGGCAACCCGCGATGCCACCGCCACCCGATCACCTTATATAAAAAAGAAATCAACAAAAAATGGGCAGTGACGGAGATGAGACCGAATAACTGTATCTGACGATTCGGAGCTTTCGATGACGGAGAAAAATATTCACTCTCTCCTTGTCCAGCCATATCATCCCCCATTTTCGTTTGAATTCAAAACTTACCACGCGCAAAAATCCATAAAATAGATTTTCCGCATATTTACATTTTTTGCGTGAAGTTATCCTATAATTTTTCTATCATTTATTTATTGCTAATATTAAAAGGAGAAAGGAAATTGGTCCCGCGATATTTCCGCAACGTCGTTAGAAAAATTATTAAAATTCAAGGAATCATTCATTATTTTGTTGATTTATTAATTATTTATCGTTACATCGATTTTCCGAAATGCAATAAATGTATTTCATAATGCCCTGTTATTCAACGAGATACGTAATCTCTGGAAGGTAGATAATAATAAGCCAACATTTTATGCTCAACCTATACCTTCCACGGTCGTACATGTACCTTCCCAACGGCAAGTAATTTGTTTTGGGCCGCGTATAGGCCCCTCTAGACATAACGTAGTGCATACCGAGCTTAACTGTGATATCGCAAATTATTTTACCTACACTGAAGAGCGTAACGTTAAGCCCGGTATAAAACAGATGTGGATGTATTACACAAAATTCAGCAAGTGCGGTCCAACCGAATAATATTTATTTAATCACACGACCGCGTTGTCGTAATCAAATAAAAATGAATGGAGTCGTCAAACGTCTTCTCGTGAACTCATTTTTTGAGAATTTGAAATTCCGAAAACGCGAGGGGTGAATCAGGAAGAACTTCATAGCCAATGCAGAGTAAGAAGTTTGTTTTGGAGAATGAAAAAATGAGAGGACGAGGGAAATTGTTAGGAAGGTTTGAAAGAAGCCACGTGCTAGGTGCACCTTGTCATATATCATGACCCTATCCACGATTCTCCTTCGGTCACGGTGAGAAAGAGAGAGATGAGAGAAATGGGGATGCTGAAGAGCGAAGGGGTGACTCCATGAATATTCTCGTGCCTGCCACCCTCTAAAGGAATGATGAACGACACCCTCCACCACCCACTGGCCTTAAAAAACGTACCGTCTCTTTCCCTCCCCCCACCTCCCCCTCAGCGCAATTGTCCTTAACCACCTTGCGTCATGCGAAAGTGAACATCGGTTTCTTAAACTATTACTGGGGTAACGCCTCCCTAAACGGTAATTTATCAAAATTAAGCTCGTTCTCTGAATTTCGAGTCTTCTCAGGGTATCCGTAAATTTTCGAGGTCAGGAGACTATTGTGGGTGGAAAAAAATTTTCCCAATATTTTCTTTTTGTCATTCGAATGATTGAACTAGACCAGAATAAAATATTGAATAATAAATTTAATTGAATCGAAATTGAATATTATTATCCATTAGAGAATAGAAAAATTTAGTGATGCGACTCAAATTTCGGGGAGACATGAATTTGAATCGAGTTGGTACGAAATTTTTGGTATTTTTTGGTTTCAAGTTTTTTTTTTGAGGAATTGAATTTTTTTCGGGGAGAGGGAATTATCGATCTCGATTCATTCTTCCGTCATAATTGCCGTGTATGTTCTGGAAATGATATCGTAGATTATTTCATGGGTTGCCAGGCACTCCATCCAGCTGGAACAATGGGAGTCTTGATCGAAAGATCGGTTGTCATTCAATTCCCACACTTTTGACATTTCAGTCAAGTTCATCCCACTATGCAACAGCGTAAATTTTTTTTAACGCATAATTGCGTATTAACTCTCGATCTTGACATTTAGGGAGATGTCGACTGAGGTGGAAGATAATTGAGGGTGTGACAACATGTGGCTGCACTCCCACGTAAAAAGGGCAACCACTTCTGCCGACAATTTTCACAATTTAAAAAACAATTCCATTGCATTAAAAAAAAATGTCACACGTAATAAAACAGAAATTTTCCACTCGCGTTTAAAAAATTGAACAATAAAAATAGTAGACCGTGTACACGGTCTACTATGGCCTCAAGGATCGAAAATAATGTTAGCTCTGCCTTTAAGAATTTGTTTCTAAGAGCATGAAAATAGAAAGAGATGTAATCCTGTGGATTATGAGTAGCTATAGACGAAAATAAATATGTTTTCCTACAGTTGTCGGATAATAACATTGAGACGAGCCATAGGCGAAGGTGGCGTGTTATTTTAAGCAATCCCACACCGGCCCCATCTCTCTCTTATACAAGGATGATGTAACCAAGTTGCATAGGGTTTTAGGATGAAGGAGGTGGGACCTGGAGCCCTCAAAGGTAATCTCTGGTGTTCCGGAGGAAGAGCGCCTGCATTTTGATCCTTCGGGCTTCTTCCTCGGCACGCGCTTCACTATCTCCAATGTTCCTCCCTATTCCTCAAGCCATTACTCCCTTTCTTTAATAGCTTCTCATCATCAGTCCTCACGCATTCAGACTATAATTAGAATCTTCTGATGGAGTCATTTTTATGGAGATTTAAATATCTCAAAGTTGAAAAGTTATGAGTGAAATAATAATTCCATTCTGCATTTCCTCTAAACGAGCTAGAGATGATTATAAATTTTTTATTTTCCGGTTCAACCGAATTATTTAAATGCCGTAAACAATTGTTATTGTTATTTCGTTGTATGTAATATATTCAGATCCTCTTCGTGCTCTTCAGAATAATTGGATAATTCCCAGATAAATATATTGAATTAAATCTAGAATCACATTCCCAAAGCCTCTAGTTGCGATTTATTCTACAAACTTTAAATAACACCCCCTTACCCCAGGTTCCCACAGTGGCACCCTTTCCACCCCTCGCTATTATAAAACAACAAGAAAAAATCTGTTCAAACACTCAACTGACGAGTACTTCTCTTCAGGAAAGAAAAAAAAACATATAAAATTAAAAAATAATCCGAGGAAAGCCCGAAGAGTGAAAAGGCGAATCTCGGGGAAAATCGCTTTTCGATTTGCACCATCACGTGTCCCGTTTCTTCTGTAGCACCTGAAAAATCGAGAGTAATTGTTTATTTAAAAAAAAAAATAGTAGACCACACGTTGAAGAGTTTTGTGCCGGAGGCAATGAGAAAATGTCCGGTTATGTGTATAAGAAGAACTTTTGTTATTTCCATTCTCTTTCCAACCCTCCAAAGCTCATCAGCACCGAGAAGAGGTGGTCCAATGCTGCTCTGCGCTGATAAATATAACGTAACAACTTCAGTGGAATAGCAACTTCATCCCGAAGGGATCAACGCGTCTTTTCTACGACTCGACTCTGTCTCTTTTTCACCCAACTCCACCCCACCTCGAGCCATTTTCTTTGGTACTGCCTTCTTTCCTTCATACCGAAGTAGATATCTCTCCCCTTGTCGTTGTTTCTTTTAGTTCTGCTCTCTTTTCTATTCAACGAAGGCAAACGCGCAGAAAAACGAGTCGCACTATTGTGGGAGGTATATAACACATGAGAGTAGACGGAGGCCAACCAATCACCCAGTTCATCCAAATGTTAAAGCCATGTCTATTTATCTTCGGAATATAGACTGCTATCTTTGTAAATCCCTTAAAAACAAGAGTGAACTCAATGAGAAGATTGGTTTATTTATTTTTCTCGGTGGAGTTGGTTTACCAATATAAATATTGGGGGTTGGGCTGATGAGTTTGGGGCCAAACAATTTCATTGAATTTTTCATTTTAATCTGCGAATGCCTTTGAATGAAAGAAAAATGGCTATTGTCAGCGGTAAATGTACACCATTGGTTAATTCGCCGTTATCCTACACCGGATCGAATTGCGTTATTTAATCGTCCTCGCAAGTAATTGCCCTCTTTTTCTCGTGGTGGTATTTTAGGTCAAGTGGGTGAGGGCTGCTGTGGGTAACAAAATCTGAAGACCTTCCCTGATTTCGTTAACTTAGAGGGTAAAAGGGCGGTGCGAGAGCTGCGAGGGAAGGAAAATTCGTATATACGGGATTGGGGTCATAAAAAAGTAAATTAAATGAGAATTAAAGACAAATAAAACGCGCTGGGCCAAGTAATTGGTTAGCAAGCTCACTTCCTCAATACTGCATGGCAGAGTTACACTTTCGCTTCTTAATTAAATTTGAGGGAGCAATTAATTGTTATTTATCCGTAGAAAAGTGATTGATGACGAGTTTCCAAAGAATAATTGCACGTGGGATAAATAACGCTTGGAAAATTCAGATAATTTTTGGATAATCAATCAGTAATTAATGACACGAACGGAAAATATGTGAGGGAATGATTTCGGTGGGACGAATATGTAAATGTATGAATTAGAGGAAAATGCAAGGAAAACAGTGAATATTCGTGACATGTTTGAACGAGGAAGGTCTCCCCAACACAATCATGGGAGGATTAAGGCCGTGTATCAGGGTGCACAAAGAAAGGGGCAGAAAGTAAACCAGAAGCGAAAAGAGATGAGTTTACCCATAAGTGGGTGGTGCGCTGGGGCCGAAAATAGGAGGAGACGACTGCTTTTATCCAGCGGGGTGAGCGACAGAAATGATATTCCATGAACGGAGCATATGCGGCTACGATAGAGGGGTAGTTCACCCCTGAATTCTACGCGGGGCGCTGGTTTATTACAAACACGGATTACGAGGTAATGGGAGTGGAAATGGAGATCACTGACTCATGTGTGGCCCCGTGGAATTTTAATTTATCTATTCTAAAAATTGACTGAATGCATTTTTTATTCGGATTTGTCTTATCGACATCCACAAAAAAATTCCACTAAAAATTCGAAATTTTTTATTGACGAGTCATTTAATTTTGTGGAAATTATCAGAATAAATGAGGCGTTTGAAGATTATTTTTTTCATTTAAATTGGGTTTAAACTTGTAATAAAAAATTCAGATTACTGAAATTTCGAGAAATTTCAAATAGTGGAGGGGAGATCCGCCTGATAGCTGCAAGTCTCTCGGGATTTCCCCTCGTGTTAGATGTGATTGGGGTCCAGACTAATTCGTCAACATAATCAGATAATATTGGAGTACACGCTCACAGCGATTGTTTTATTGATAATTCAATAACGTTTACATGCGAAAATATCGTTGACACATTGGAGCCTGTCACTACCATTTCCATCATAAAATATTTGACATTTATGTCAGCTTAAATTTGAGTAGCATTAACACATAATTTTCCGGCTCAATTAATCCTGAAACTATTACCAAATTGAAATAATCTATAAAATTGCGTTGAGAGGGAATTTTATGATGAAGGGATGAAAATAAAATTTCATCGGTGAAGAGCAATTTTTTTTGGTTGAAAGGGTTTTTTTAAATTGATGGAAAAATAGGTATTGAATCGTGAGTTTTATATAATTTTGTAAAATTTATATGCTGTAAAATGTCCCATCAATTTTACGGCTGTACCCTGGATTTGTTAGACCTATATGAGGACCGTCGATAGCTAGCTTTAGACTGCTCGGATGAATCCTCTCGATTGCCATCATTTGTGCCGCATAAGTCACTCGTCTGTGCTCTTTATCCAGGACATCGTCATCCTCATCCCCTATTCTCGGTTTCTTTGATCCACTGCCTTTTCCTGCACCTCGGGCGCCACCCCGAGGTGCCCCTTTTGGTGTCCTTGATGTCGCTGAGACCTTCCCCGAAGAATCTCCGGTTTTTGATTTTATAACTGCAGTGGATGACTTCTGATCATCAAAATAATTGATAAAAACTCAATTGAAACCTGGAATTAATTATTATCGACCGATCCTACTAACTTTCATTCCATTTCGAAGGACTCTCCAAGTCTCCCAGTTCAAGGACTCCGGCTGCATGCTGACGTACATCTTGGGGACCATGGTGTCTTCACTATGAACGTAAGCAGCTGAAAGCGCCAGATCAAGAGCATCATCGGGTACCTGAAATACTAAATTCAATAAAAATCAAGGCGACGACATCGTCTCGATATTTTTTGAATTTACCTGGGGCCTAACGAGTCGGTGATCTCTCCGGATACTTGTCAGTGTCTGATGAGTAAATAATCGCTCGTGGGGTTCCAATTTAGCCGACCAATCCCTGTCTCCCTCGAACCGATTTTTACTGAAGACCGGTCCATCCGAAAGCCAAAATCCCTCGGTGGAGATGTCCGGAATGGGGTAAGGGTTACGTTCCCAGTCTCTGGATGGCATCGATCTACTAGAAAAACGATTTTTTCTGTGCCCTAGAAGAAAAGCATTATTCAAGTAATCAGATTTTGCATTTCTTATAATGGAATCACTCGAAAGAATTTTACTGATTTATCAGTTTCGGTTTATTCGATGTCTCGAGCATCAAGATGCAGCTATTACGGTTTGTAAATGCTGTCAAAGTCATTGGAGTGAAGTAAGTAGTAAAACTCGAGGCCATTGTGATAAGAAATGACAATGTTTGCGTCACGCATGAGATATATCTGGAAATGCGTCGTGTTTCTTTTTTTCTCTTGTCAACATGATTTATGAAGGATCGTTTGTAGTCGAATCATGAGGAGACAATATTTGCTTGGACTGAATCAAAAAATGGAAAAATATTGCCATTGTACCAGGAAGATAAAATATCAGAGAATTGAATAAATAATTCTTATGCTATGTACATAATTTTATCAGAGAGCAAATTCAATTGAGTTATTTCACTCTGAAAAATCGTATTCTATTTGGAGAATATTTCAAAATTCAGGCGAATCAATGACGAGTCATTTATGACTACTACGAAGATCGAGTGGAGATAGATTATCCGTTGGTTCGATTTGCCAATCGATTTATCGATCTTTGAGGTTTTCAAAGGCTTTGCGGTGGCATAAACATTGTTCTATCGAATCCGCGATTTAGTGTTGCACGACGATTTAACTTGGTTGGTGCAGAGGCTGTAAATGCGCCTCGCACCTCGGCATAATTAACACTTTAACCGATATAATATAATGGCTATCACATTCACGCAGTAAACCGTAATGAGATGGCCACGATCGTATATCAAGAGCCGGCATCCGGCTTTAACCCAGTCTCTCTCCAGTTTAGGATTAAAGTGGTTAGAACGGCCACATTCATGTTACGTCAAGTACATCGTTTCCATTAATTCCAACGGAAGTCTCTGCTGTATATCATTCCAACAGTATTCATTCATGATTTTTAGAAATTGCCCAATGCCCATTGGTTACATTGATTTGAAAATTTCAAGAGCTACCGACGTGACCATCGGCTCTCAGGAAATACCCATTTCCTCACTTATCCAAGAATTCGGTTAATGTTACACTCACATTTTCAATAATTATCATTTCATTCAGATTTAAGAATGAAACAATTCTTAATGGATGTCTGTAGTACCCCAGCATTCCCTTCACTCTTGACAGGAATTATCAATGAATCCAGTCAGCGGGGAATATATTTTATTCTGATTTATGTATCGAGAGAAAAAAATGAAGCTGTATTTAACGTCTTTGACCCAGCGGGTGGTAGCCCACGAAAAATCATCGCAGATACAATATTAAAGCCACATGTAATTTATGTTAGGACGGGCGTGCATAATGCTGTTTGTAGAAAAGCGATGGTGTCACGTGTTGACACGTGTCGTTGGGATGGTGGTACCACCTACCCTAGCACCTACTGTCCGATCAGTAACGCGCAATTCTAAATGGCCCACACACATGTAGAATTTAACCCACCGTGGGATACTCACACTGTTGGCTTTGATATTTGCCAATTCAGTGCATTTAATCGGATAACGTGTTTAAGTAGCATCTAATACGATTTTAGGTGTAGCAGTAATAATATTGACAGCTCTATCCAAAAATTGCATTTCAGACCAGAAGTTAATGGTTCTTGAGTTAAAAAAAAAATTAGCACTTAAAGATTTTAATTTGCAATTTTCTGATGTCGAATTTTTGGAAAAATTTATTTGACTTAAATCCGAATTTTGGGGATTTCGAGAAAGGGCCCATTTTTTTTTTTCTGTCAGTTTCCCCGATTTCGGGGAAAATAATTCCTGGCATATGTGAGGAACAGACATATCGAGTAAAAAATGATCTCCGAAATCTTCCGCGTCATTGGTCTCGTTTACAGGGCCCGTCCCCTTTGGAAATAGGGGATAGGGCAGAGGTCGTGCCTCTTTTTTTCGCAATTTGAACACAACCAAAACCCCTGGGGTAGTAGAGATGACACGCGTAATCGCGTAATCGTGGCGCGTGCTAGAGTTTGAATCAGGGGAGCTTTACGTACGTCTACACAGAACTGGGTAACTATGCAGACGCAATGGCACGTGGTGATGCACGCCCTAAATCAACATATAACTGCTTTCGTAGATGGAACTGCTTGAATTAGAAAATCTTTAAATGTGTCTCTTCTATCCAAACAATTGTACAGATTTCATTCCAACAGCCAATTTTAACAAACAACAAAACTTGCCAGGGAGTCGCAATATTTTTTATTTTATCCAAAAATTGTATTTACACGGAAAAAAAAAAATTAATACTGGAATCAAATATAATTTTTATACTCGCGAAAATCAATGTTCCAGTTTTTTTTTTTTTTCGTGCACCTATGGATGAGGAATGAAAAACACCAGGAATTGATACCGATGGAGATCGAACTCGATCGATTGTACTTTTCTTCGGAATTTCCTCGAATAAACAATCAAAGACATAAATCGAAAGTCAATCCTTTCCCCCGCAGAACTCGAATTAGTAAGAAGTTAAAGCGACTTCGATTGTGGCCAGAGTGTATTTGAGTTCAGTGGGAGTGAAGGGCGAATCCTGGGTCCACTGTTCTCGGTTCAACCAGCTAAGCCCTTTTCCCCTTAATCCCACACTATGCCACCGTTGAATTCGTATCTGGTGGGTATATCGGTATTGCCACCGAAAAATCGGTAGCGCATTTAAATGGATATCGTAGTTTTCCCACCACTTTTCCAAACAAAACAGTACAACGAGAGAGGATCCGAGGACCGTAAAGAGATGAAAGACTAGGGGGTTCAGGTCGTATACGTGGACAATGGATGTGGAGGGACGATATTGCCAATATTTGGTTTGATTCTAGTGAGAACGTGCGGACCACTGGTGGTTGTACACGTTCTGACACTGTCCGTGTATATTAGATGACCAGCGAATTACCATCTGAATGCACCCCAGGGTTTGCCCTTTGTCAACCAGCCCTCATCGTACTGACCGCACGTATATTCTCGACGTGAAAAATTCACTTCCCCTCACTCTCTGAAAAAATACTTCATTCCTTCCACATTCACTGGCATTGGCTCCTTAAATTCCCGGTAAAATATTTTTTCCAAATTTTCCAAGAATTTCTGGAAAACTTCTCAGAAAATTTTTCCAAAATTTCTTTCGGAAATTTTTTTTTATAATTTTCTAGGAATTTTTCCAAATATAATTTTTTCTTTTGATTATACTGTTGTTTTCCGATTTTTTTTTGTTTCATAAAAAAAATGTTTTGAAGTTTTCCAGAAATTTTTTGAAAATTTGGAAAAAATATTCCGATTTCAATTTTTTTTACCCGAGTTCACCATATGCTCATTTTCCTTTTGACAAAAAAAAAAAACAAATTTAGTACTCCCCAATTTTTTCGAATGAATTTATTCCACATCGGCTCCTGGCATCATCAGGATTAAAAAAATAATAAAAAAATAGCGCCAGAATTGAGATATTGGTATACCGATTTTTGGAATAGTTCAAATAAACACACGTGTCAATCTCGCGTGTTGCCGTTGCTCTTCAATTCAATCTAACGACTCTTTATTTGAAGGATCGAAATAATTCTTATTCCACATGTAAATACCAATTTATAAGTCGAACTAAGGATTATTGATTTGATTTCCTAATTTGGATTAAAACGCACAGCTGGTTGGCCGGAATCACAAATAATTATTGCTTAATGGAATTGAAATAATTGATGTGCTCTGATGGTGTTATACCACCCCTCGGTGAAAACTAATGTCTTGCACCCAGCGTGACCAATAATCCGAAAGAAATTATACTAAGGGATCTCGTAACCAGTAGAGCGACAGGTGGCCCGTGAAATCAGTACACGCACCCTTGTTGCGGCTCATTACAAAATCTAGTGTATAATAACCAAGGGATGGTGTGATCTCCAAAAAAAAAACTTTATAATGTCCCGTCGCCACCTATTCTCAATACCGATCCCGCAATTGCACCCACTACGATTAATGCCGTCATACCAATATTTTTTATTATCGATTAATTTATTTTCCCTTGCCTCCCCTGAAGTAATTTATTATCTACTTATTTTATTATTTATCTCATATCATCCAATGAAATTCCATACTCTACTAATTCCACGGCTGTTTCAATACCGATAATGAATATGAATTTTTTTTTTTTTTTTTCAATTTCAATGAAATTTGAATAAAAATAAAAATAACGGAGAACTCGTAAAAAATGTCTCAACCCTGAAATTTTGGAAAATACCGATCGTTAGATTTTTTCAGTCTGTACAAACGCGACATGTACATTGTGGCATTTCATATTCTCCCATTTAAATGGTAATCGCTGGGTCCATATAATTGTCTTCGTGGGGAAATAAAGCCCCGGATTTCTAACACACGGGACCAGTGCCTGTACCCACTTGATACCATTGTTCCCATTGTTCCCCATGCAGTGCACTAAAACAACGCAAAGAATTGTAATGCCAGTAATTTCGGAAACTTGACTCCTCTCAACTCGACATACCGAGGTTAATGTTAAAATATTTCTAAAAAAAAGTCTCACCTATTTCCCGTCATTGACACATCGCACCGTTACCCACTGTCTATTGAAAAAAAATACAGATGAAATATATAGAGGGTTGTTATGTGGGGGAGGAAGGCATTGTACACTCATGCATATTCATCAAACGCTAATTAATCATGGCGCCTCTCTCTCACCCCCACTGTCTCATCTCCACCCCTTAAAATATGCCAACTTCGGGATAAACTGTGGACCGATGCAGATTACAAAGTCGATTCGTACCGAACCGAAAAATTTAAATCCTCTCAAAATTCAGGAATCCATTCGAATGGAATATCCCGAATATAATAAATTCATATTACGTACCTCCATGTGAATTCATGACGTTCAAATGTTGATAAATCCTCCGGAATTTACGTTTACGCACGATCAATCTGAATTGTAATTTGTGTAATCCTATTTAGTGGAAAGTTACACTTGCTTTCAGCCGTTGGGGTTTAGGCGCGCTTATAATTAGCTATCGTTTATTTTACATCCCTTTTTTTCCCCCCAGTGATCGGGATGGGGACGAGGGGTGAGGGCATCCAAATGGGGTGCCCCCCGGTGCCGCAAAAGTGGCGGTAGTAGCTCATATAACGCTTCACTGGTAATGTGACGCCATCATCGCCGACCCCAATGTTCATTGATATTGCCTATTTTACAACTGACTCCCTCAACTTTTTTAGGTCCTGATAAAAATCTGTGGCCACCTATCCGGTCATAAATTTATTTATTTCAATATTTCACCGCATCTTTGGATGAATTTTAAAAAAAACTCATTCATTCCCGTAATTATGATATTGAGAAAATTAAATGGAGGGATGGAAGACAGAAATTGTTCTGATTTTTAATTTATAATATTGAGGGGGAATTTTTGCTGTATTTTAAAAGCAATCAATTGGGCGCACCTTTTCAGTGAAAAAGTGATGGATGACGTGGATGGAAAATATTTTGATTCAATGTTTTTCGTTCATATGTAAAGGTTGATGGGTTCGCGCAGCTGAGCAGTGTTTTTTAGGTTGTATAAAAATCAGAATGAGAAACACCCTGGGACCAGATGTGGGGGGTCCAGTTGACACTTTATGGTCCACCCCTGCATCCCGTCAACAACACAGTAGGTGTCGGCAAACCCTCTAAATGCCCCCGAGGGGTTGAATTTTTTTTTCCCCATCATTTTTTCCTCTATCTACATAATACCCATCAACTAATACTGCAAATCGAATCTCTATAATAGCTTAATTCCTCTACCCCGTTAAAACATTACAATTTTCAACTGAAATTTCAATAATCAAGTATTTTGCAGTCACCGCAAAAATAATATAACGTGCATTAAAAAATCTACGAAAAATAATCGTGAATAATTTTCGTTTATGACGTACATTTTCGGGAATGGTTTGTGAATTGTGGAATGAGTGAGAATTAATCGGTAGTTTTACGACTTGAGGGATTAAAAATGCCGCAACAAAAATCATAGCGTCATTTTCGTGAAATAGTTGGACTATAAAAGTCATAGTATTTGGCAGATTGGTGGTTGACAAATGAGGGAATCCCCGATGGTGAGTGGATGCACGTAGAAGACATATGGCCCCATAAAAAAGAGATACAAGAGAACGAAAAAATATATTTTGTCTCTCTCATTCGGTACAACCATCCCAGTGTTCGGATCCAATATTAATGGAGACCAAACACCGCACATTCTGTGTCGTCGTTGTTCCCCAGAGTGTGTACACAACATCGGAAAATGCCATAATGTCTATTCCGATATATAATGTGTGTACACTCCCCCTTTCTCCAACAATGGAATGATCTATGGAATGACTCTGAGTATACGTTTATAGGTGCATATAGATCATTTTGCTTTCTTCCCCTTCTGCCCTTTTTTATGTCTTCCACATTACAGTCCTTCGTTTTTTCCTATCTTTTCAAAGGATAAAAGTCAAATTAGTTTAATATTACCTGTAATTTGTCTTTATACATCGTAATGCTGACTTATTTATATATTTATCCACTGGCGACACCCAAAAACAAGAATAAAACCCATCATTATCTGGATATTACGAGAAATGGCGAGGAAAGGACTTTCAGTTCTGAAACTTGAATGAAATGAAAATAAAAAATTGAAATTCATTAAATTCACAATTTTTCAAAGTAGTTGTAATTTTAAAGTTATTTTCTTTGAAACATAATTCAGTCTTTCGTCTCCATCACGTAAAAAACGTAATATTGAGTTCAATCAAGCCTTCCTCTCCATGCACGAAGTCAAATTGGATTTTGGCGAAAAGCCCTGAGCGAAATGTACACGTGGCGCGTGACTATCTGGAAAAGGGAGACAACGAGGTTTTCGGAACATATTATAGTCACGAGATGATTTGACTGTGGGTAGGAAAACTCAACCTGTGAATATCCGTCTCTCTCCTTCAACTCTGGAGGATCAAAGACGAACCCCACGGTGGTTGGCCGACTGGCCCTGACGTATTAGAAATAAATTGACGTCGACAGCAATTGGATGGTACGAGCAATTCTGCACCTTGCAGGGCTTTGATCCAGTTTACCTGAGGGAACTGCGCCCTTATCCTCCACCCTCTAAACATTCCCAATCATCAACCAATGTTAGAGGGATTTGATAACGGATGTGGCACGTCACTTGTCCATCATTGCGCAATTATTCCTAACTGCATATCTCAACACCTTCAACTACCAAATTTTTATTCATTTGGATTTTATTCATTTGGATCAATCCACTGTTGGATTCACTCAATGATTCATTCTTATTTCATTTTAAAATAAATTTATCAATTCATTTAATCCTATTATATCAACTCGGATCTATAGATTAGATTGAAATTAATTAGAGGAATTTACAGTCATACCTGAAATGAAAATTTCGCTGTTCCGGGAAAAATAATCCGTTTCTGTTGAATCACTTCATTTGTTAAGTCAATATTATCGCGAAAATTCAAAGCTCTTGCGCAAAACGTCGGCATAACAGAGACATCTGTGGTGAATCCTCGGAAAATTTCGGAATCTCCGGTGATATTTACCTTTCGGTGGAATTACACCGCATGATGATAACAGATTGCCAATTCTCTGTTATATCAATAATGAGTGAGCTCCGGTGATAATTGTTTTAATAATCATTTCAATATCGATGAGAATGCGATACAATAATTCGGGTCAGGAACATCTTGCGCAATTCCCAGTGCAAAACAACTTTGGCTTTTGGATAAAATACATCAAACAATCTGCAATTTCATTCTCTTTAACCGTGAAACTTCATAATAATAAACGCGAATTGTAATTTGAAACTAATTTTTACGTAACGATTGAGTATAATTTTCAGAAATGCGTGGGGGAGGGTGTTGTATTAAACATTTATTGAATTTTCATCCACGACTCCATCAGTTTTCATCGACAAGAGATCCCGCAAACCTCGCATTAATTATTATTCTCATTACTCCGAGGTAATTCGAAATAAACAATTCGAGGGGCACATCGGGCGTGAAAAATGATTGTTTTTCAAACCGATTGTTGGTCGGCAATCGAATGGTATTTGTTCCATCGGAGAATTGGATTTCTAGTGATAATTTTCGCTGCTGGTATCGTATGGATCCTGCGGAAAATCCAGCGATGGTATCAAATTCAAAAAAGGTATTGGATATGTCTTGATAAGATTCCTGGACCTCCAGCTTTACCCATCGTCGGGAACACAATAGCACTGAATGTTGATCATGGCGGTGAGTGAAATTTCCCAATTGCCAAAATTTTCCAAGTGATCTTCCATCGATTTCGCGGATTGATTAAAATTCCTGAGATGATCGAAGGAATTTCACTTGTCACTCCAATTTTTTTAGAGCTCTATCAAAGACTAATCGGGATGAGGATGCTCTGGGGTTGTCATGACGGAATTAATAAAGCCTGGTTGGGTCCAAACCCTTACATATTCGTCAGCAAAGCCTCGACTGTTGAAAAAATTCTCAGCAGCAATCGGCACATTGATAAAAGCTTCGATTACAATTTTCTACGTCCTTGGCTTGGAACAGGCTTACTCACCAGCAACGGTAACAATAAATTCGATAATTCGATCCAATCAATACTCAAGATGATAATTATTCAGGGAGTAAATGGCGTCAGCGGCGAAAAATCCTGACGCCGACGTTCCACTTCACGATATTGGAGGACTTCATCGAAGTCTTTGGAGAACAGACTGCTATCTTGGTAAAACAACTGGAATCCGAACTTCACAATGAATCATTCAATATTTCTCCTTACGTGACTCACTGCACTTTGGATATTATCTGTGGTACGACTGCGCCTCATTATTTTGTAATTTTATAGTTATTTAAATAATCAAATTGCAGAAACTGCTATGGGAAGACAAGTTTCTGCTCAGAATAACAGTGACAGCGAGTATGTACGTGCTGTTTATGAGTGAGTTGATGTTTTATTCATGCGAAAAATCTTGATAGATCGCGTTAAATGGAAACAATAAATTCTAGAATTGGAAATATAATACAAACCCGCCAGGCGTCAATATGGTACCATCCGGACTCACTTTTCAGAATTACTCCGCTGTACAAAAAACATCAGGAGTGCATACGTGTTCTACATGCCTTTTCTAGTAAAGTAATTATATTTGCGCAGAGAGTGTAACTTATTGTTAATACTTTTCATACGATGGTATGATTTTTTCGGTAGGTGATATCAGAGAGAAAAGGGGAAATCCTGAATAACACTGAGAATAATAATATCGATGAGGTTAACGGAATGAAAAAAAAACGGCTGGCATTCTTGGATATGTTGATTGAAGCTTCTGAAAATGGAACTATTTTATCAAATGAGGATATTAGAGAGGAAGTCGACACCTTTATGTTTGAAGTGAGACCCAGAATATGTGGGAAGAACAGAAAATTATCGATCAGAACAGACTCGAAGTGATTTCAATTAATTCAATAAATTTTAGGGCCATGACACGACATCATCTGCTATCTGCTGGACGCTTTATCTTCTCGGGTGTCATCCAGAGTATCAAGTAAATAATTACTGATTGATTTTGGGGATTGGGAAAATATAATACTAAATTTTGCAGGAGCGCGTCGTCGAGGAATTAGATCAAGTTTACGGTGAAGGTGATTATCACCGGCGGCCGACACTCAAGGACTTGAAGAGCATGAGGTATTTAGAGAGGTGCATCAAGGAAGCATTACGATTGTATCCAAGTGTTCCACTCCTTGCTCGTCGCATTGCGGAAGACGTGCAGATTGGTATAGAATTAACTGTCCAGATATCATCGGAATGTGTTGGAAAATTACACTTGAAATTTCCAGTGATTTCGATTTTCAGGGAGCTACACGATTCCAGAGGGTACGACGGCGGTGGTCATTGTTCCGATGCTTCACAGAAACCCCGAGGTCTTCTCTAATCCGGAAAAATTCGATCCTGATAGATTCTCCCCGGAGAATTCCAAGGGAAGACATCCCTATGCCTTCATTCCTTTCAGCGCGGGACCGAGAAATTGTATTGGTATATATTTTTTTATTGATCGCAGATGAATCATTTCAGAGAAATTGTTGGATTCATGTCGAGGCTAACTATTTTAAGAATTCGTTGAAACGTGCGATATCATGAATTTTTTTCACGTGACGATAATTTCTTGTTTGAAATTGAAATTTAAATTTTTCATTTATACATATTATATAAAAATAATCACTTTGCAGGGCAAAAATTCGCTCTGTTGGAGGAGAAAGCGGTGATCTCAGGAGTTTTGAGGAAATTTAGAATTGAATCAGCGGAGCGTCGAGAGGACGTCAGTATCACAGCTGAACTAGTAATCAGAGCTAAAAACGGTCTCAACGTCCGTATAAAACCGCGATTATGAGTAAAGCAATTCATTAATCACTGTAAATAATTTTCACCAGCATTATTATTGAAATTATTTATAATAAAAAAACATACGACAACTTACTATTTTGTTGTCATTTTTTTTTTCATTTTCCTAAATCCCAAGTATTCGCGCCGAAATGAAAATCAGCGGAGCAATAAAGTAAAATTTATGCTTGCAAACCTAATAATTTAAATTTCTTTTCGCTTTCAGCGATTTTCTGAATTCAAGGCAACGAGATAAATCGTTCCTGCAACCCTGACAAAATCGTTATCTAGATTTTATTAAAATCGGTTAATTGTGCTGGTGCAAATGAATTACACGAGTTTTCCTTATTATATATATATTATATATATATAAGAAAAAAATATATTTGACTTTTTCTCTGAATGACAAGTGAATTTCCCGCGCATGCGCACTTTTAAATAAATCGTCGTCACAGCTGGTGAATTCTCCCATAAGCTCTCACTCTCGCAGTTGAACGTTGGGACAGTACCACCACAGGAAAAAAAAAATCTCACTCTCACTACAAATGGTCAGTACAGTGCAGTGCACTTGAGAATAATCCAAAGGAAACGTTTCATGCAGTTTGGCACGTCATCTTCGACGTACTCCAAGGAATTCGTGACAAGACGCAAAATCATAATTATCCAAATTGTGCATTGATTAAAAAGAATACCCCAACTGTAAAATTTGATAACTGGGTGATTAAAACTGACGCTCCAGGAAAAAAACATCAAAATGAAGGCGATACTACTCGCCCTCAGTGCATTGTTTGCTGGTAAGTTTTTATTGTCTTATTTTTCATGATAATTAGCAACTATTTCTGGATACATATCAGCGATGAATGAAATGAGAGAATAATTATAAGAGTTTAAAAAATATCATTACAGTTTGTTGAATATCGATATTGGTGCATTATGAGTCTTTAAACTGCATCTGCGTATTATTGTGGTCAGCTAATCAAATTTATTTGCGTCGTAATAACGAATATTTTTGGCCATAAACCCTTTTGAAAAATTATGCATGAGTATTCAGTGAAGAATATCTGATAATTGGTATGCAAAACCGGATTTTCACACGTAATTATAAATTTGTATTGAGTTAGTCACTCTTGGAATGCTGTGAGGTTATTTCTAATGAAATGAATGACTCAGGCACTGGAACTTTTCTCAGTTAAATTATGTGACTGCCATCAGCTTCCTATACTATTTATTTCTTTCAAAATTATTAATTTATTCGTCATTATTTCAATAGATTATTCTGGAATTGATTGCTTGCTCTAAAATAATACGAAATCTTTTGTTATTTTTATTTCTGCTAATCAGCAGTCATGACTCCTTTATGATGTACAGGAAGTCAGAGATAGCGGGTTTTGTTGCTAGATATTGGACCTTGTTCTGTGTATTTGACACTAACGAATGAACTGGTCACTGATATAAAGAAATATGAAGATCCAGCTGTTGTGGAATATAATACCGCTGAGATGATAATGAATACGAGTCGAATAATTGTTCTGTTTTTGCAGTTTCGGCAGCTAGAGGTATTGTCAATGTTGAGGAGCATAGCCCTCGAATGTTGGGAGCCCAACAATGTACATGGGGTCCTGGGTACTGGTGTATGAATATAACGTAAGATTTTTCGCAATTTTCATTTGCAACACGAATAATTAACCCCAGCCGCTCTGGCGAGCAATACCAATAAATCGTTTTTTTTTGTGTGACTCAATATCAACTATTTTTTGCTCATTAACTCGGAGAATTCAATATTTTTGCCTCCAAATTAAACTGAATAATTTCATCATTAAGAAATGCTGCTGGCTGCAATGCAACGAGTCATTGCATCGAACATGTCTGGAGTACCATGCACGTTCCAGAAGATGATGACAGTGTTTGCAAAATTTGTAAAGACATGGTCGGCCAAGCACGCGATCAATTGGAAAGTAATCAAACCCAGGCAGACCTCAAGGCCGTCTTCGAGGGCAGCTGTAGACTCATGATGATCAAACCCATAGTCGATGAGTGCGACAGATTGGTCGATCAGTTCATCCCCGAGCTGGTCGAGACTCTGGCATCCCAGATGAATCCATCAGTCGTCTGCTCGGTTGCCGGTTTGTGTAATTCAGCTCGCATCGATCAACTACTCGTTGAGCACGAGGCCATGCTCAAGAAGGTATTTCCGAGATAACATACATTTCATGAATTATTCATCGACTTTAATGTGGAAATTAACGGTTGAGTGAAGATTAATCAATTGACCTTTTGGCATTACTTTACTCACTCTCCGATAATGAACGAAACGAATGGTAAATCGCTCTTCAGCAATACGCAACTCACGATGAGTCAAAAAAGGAGCCATTATACAACTTAATTATAAATAGACCATTGTTATGAACGCTTTCAATTTATTAGAATGACTCATCATTGAAAGTAACAGTGAATCTAGAAAAAAATTCGGATTAATGATTAATTTCAAATAATTTCTTTGGAATCTTTGGAATGTTCCACAGATTAATGCGAAAGCCGTATCTCTACAAAATGACGAGCTTACCCCCGATGAGTGTTCTCGTTGCTACACAATAGCATCTCATATGGAGAATCAGCTGTCCAACACTCCACGAGATCGAATGGTAAACGAATTGCTCTCCCTGTGCGGTCAATTCAGTTCCTTTTCCGATGCCTGCTCTTCCATAATTCTCGTTAACTTCGAAACGATCTACGATCACCTGAAGAATAATTTCAATGCTGATAACATCTGCCACCTGTCTGGTCAGTGCAGTAGCAAGTACCACAGACATGAGGAAGAGGCAGACAAGGGTCCAGCTGTAGAAATTCGTCCTCTATCCACCGTGGGAGTAGTAGATATTGGTGAAGATCTCCCCTGCAAGCTCTGCGAGCAGTTGGTGGGACATCTCAGAGATCTTTTAGTGGCAAATACTACAGAGTTGGAATTCCAACAGGTTCTCGACGGTCTGTGCAAGCAAACTAAGTCCTTTGCTGATGAGTGCAAATCCCTCGTCGATCAATACTACTCTGAAATTTATGAGTACCTGGTCCACCGTTTAAATAGCAATGCCATATGCCAACTAGGTGGAATTTGTCCAGAGCCAGGTAAAATGCCCATGGATAGGCTCATCATGCCTCTGCTCCCCCTGCACTCAGCAGAAATTGGAATTCGAGTTCTGAACGAGCAAAACGAGAAGAACGTGGAAATCGGTGGTGTCGGACAATCAAGCGCTTATCCTAGAACTGAAGCTGATGAAATGCAACTTCCAATCGAGAGATTCCAACCATTCGCCACTTTATCTCTTCCCAAAATGGACGTCGAAGGGCAGAAGACTTGCGCTTTTTGCGAGTACCTTCTGCATTATTTACAACAGGTAATCACCAGTCCAACGACTGAGGATCAAGTGAGGGAAGTGTTGGAGAAAGTCTGCACGAAGCTACCTCAAAGCGTTGAAGGTACTTGCAACGAATTCGTGGATACCTATGAGGATGCTCTTGTTGCTTTATTAGCCCAAGAGATTGATCCTTCCATTGCTTGTCCCATGCTGCATATCTGTCCATCGCAGGCAGCTATGGAAGCCTGGGAAGCGATTCCCGAAGAAATGACACTAAGATCGAACGTTGAGGAAAAGCCCAGCTGTCCGCTTTGTCTCCTTGCTCTCAGCCAACTGTACAATGTCATCAAGGATAACAAAACTGAGGAGAGCATCCAGAGAGCGTTAGATAAGCTTTGTGATGATCTCCCTAAGGACTTGAATCACCAGTGTGCAAGCTTGGTCAAGGGCTACAGCAAAGAACTTATTGACATGCTTCTGGCTGATCTGACTCCTCAGGAAGTCTGTGTTTACATTAAATTGTGTAACGCACAGAAAAACGTCGGCCCCACTGATCAATTCCCCATGGACAAAGATGGAGAGATCATGACGAACGAAATTCCAAATTTTCCAATTCATAAAGATAAGCATCTGAATGACGGTCAGAAATGCGTTATTTGTGAATATGTCATGCAGTACCTAGAAAAGCAAATGAAGAACAAGTCGACGAAGGATGAAATCGAGAAGGTTGTTCATGGAATTTGTAATTATCTACCGAAGACTGTCTCACAGCAGTGCAATACCTTTGTTAATCAATATGCTGATCTCGTAATTGATCTGTTGGCTCAAGAAGTCAGTCCTAAGGAGATTTGCACAGCTATGGGGCTCTGTCAGGCTGCTCTCAAAAAGATGATGGATTCGATTGCTGAGTGTGCACTGTGTCAGGCCATTATTTCCTCCATTGATAGCATGTTGGTTAATCCTGAAATTGATCAGAAGATTGAAGATATTGTGGGTAAAGTATGCACACTGCTTCCTGGGAGCAAGCAGGGCAAGTGCACCATGATGCTGGAGGTTTATGAGCAGAGCATCATCAATCTCTTGAAGGCTGGCGTTAATACTAGGGAAGTCTGTAAAAAAATTGCACTTTGCTCTAATAGCGATTTTTTCGCTATGTCCAATCCGCATTTCAGGGACCGGAGGGCTGACGATCTGGGGAAGAAGAGGTGCACCTGGGGGGATGAGTATCGGTGCAGTGATATGAGAGCTGCTGAGGAATGTGATGTAAGTTGTTAACAAATTTTTATTGATATTCAGACAAATCTAGATAATTTTTTTTACAGGCTGTCAACCACTGTAAAACGAATGTATGGAAAAGTAACTCTCCCACCAATGATCGTGGGGAATCCACGGAGGAAAAATCAAGATCTTAAAAATTTTTTTTTAATTTTCAAATATTTCATATACAAAACTTCAATTCATAATCAGAACATAAAAATTCAACAGATAATATACTTAATAATGAATAAATTTAAGTGGGAGATGAGCAGTAAAATTCTACGTGGTAGATAATCATACTCGAACCAAAAGAATCATTCAATAGTGCGATGACTAACATTAATTATAAACGAATGTAAGTAGACGTTATTAAAAGCCTTTTTGTCTTATAAAATATTATTTCTGTAACTCATTATATTTCAATACTAGTAGGCAGAAGTTTGAAAGTTCAATGCTCTCAACATGCCTTATGAAAATTTTTTATTTTTCATTTCAATGACTAGCTGGCGGTGAGAGGCGCTGAAATTCGGTACACTGTACAGCAATTGTAATATCAATGAAATGATATATGATATTAAAAAAATAAAATTTTCGAAGTGAAAACGGCCTGACCGACTGAGCAGAATCTCTGCGGAGGTGGGCTCATAAAAAATGTCAATTATACGTCAATATTTCAAATTTGAATCTGTGATTTTATGTATTCTCTAACGAGAGTGCGTGCGCGATTTTTTCTCTTATTTAATTTTGGTGGAAAATAAATTTATTCCCCGGTTTCCGTCCGGTCGGTCCAGCAGTTTCTGAAATATAACAATTTCACGCGGAAACTTTCCATGACTGTCACAAACTGGTCACATCGCAAGTTCAATAATATTTTATTTCTTTCTACCTTTTTTTTTGAATTTTTAAAGAAACAAAAAAAAAATAATCCCTGAAAATATGTATAATAAGCTACATAAATTCAATGAAATAAATGGGCCAAGAAAATGGTAATCGCCAATCCCTCCTAAATTCCTAAGAAATCAACTTATCGGATTTTCGTTGTGGACGAAAAAAACATTAGGGGTTGAGAATGCCATGGGTAAACCCTTTGAAAGTAGGGTAGCATGTTCAATGGGGGTTTGTTGTAGAAATAAAAAAACTGTTACACTGGCATTAGGCAGAAGGGAGACTAAAGGAGACTAAAGGAAGACAACGAAGCAGATACGAAGTATTCGTGAGGGAAGGGACTTTGGCAGGGCCTGAGACAGTAAAAGGGTGGAATGAGGGTGACTGGTACGACGGCTGGACGAACTAGAGGTATGGGGTAAAACTACGATGAGGGCTTAAACCCCCCGGGGTAACCATGAGACGTGCCACGCAAAAGAGGAGGGAAAGGGGTAGGTGGGTAGACCGAACGAATGAACGGTTAGTTGTAAGAGGAAGAGAAAGGGAGAGAGTATTGGAAGAGCCAAGACCACCACCTCACTTCACCTCTTTGCTACGCCACGCCTCGCAAGGCTCCGGATTAGCGATTGTATTGATCCACCCTCACCTAGTAGCCTAGGACCCCTCCTCATCCTCTGACGAGTTCTTCCAAAGGGAGACCAGTATTTTGGGTTGTGAGGGTGACGCAGCCGGACACTGCCACTTCGAAGGTGAATCAATGTAAAATCATGATGAAGGCAACCGGATCTCCACCTCTTCCGCTCCCTCAATATTTCAACCCCATCAACTCAACCCGGGACAAAGTCGATAATTTCAATTATCATCAATTTCACCAAGATAAAAGATCCAAAGATCATCCTTACAGCTAATTAATATTACTGAAGAAATCTCAGTTCGTCAAGGAATGAGAGAAGACTGATTAAAATCACAACTTAGTTTTTAATGGAACAGTAATTACGAGACGTCCGAACATTTATTATTTATCAATTAGCATGAAGGATTGTCGAAATTTAACAAATCAATAGTTTTGATTTTTGGAATTAGCCCGGCCATTTTAGGAGTCCTGAATCAGGAGCAATTGCCAATGGCGTTGGTGGTATTCGACATTCGGTGGAGTAGCAACTCCCTCGAAGAGAGGTTTTCCAAGTTGGTTTATCAGTGTATACCTGTATATCATAGTTTATATATACCAGGAAGAGGAGAGACGGATGAAAGTGGCTTGGTTTGGAAGAGTCGAGGGGTGAAGTGAGAGAGGTAAAACCAGGAGGGAGTAAGCAGTGGCACCACGTATTTACTGGGGCCGAGCCCTTTGGAGGAAAAGCGGGTGGATAGTGGCGCTTCTGGGGCTGGTTATAGTGTCCGTGTGTCTGCGTCTCGTGCTGGCGATTGGGGAGTACGTTGGAGTGCAGTGTGAGAAAAAGGGTGGGAAGAGCCTTTGGGGATGGTATGCGATGGAGAGAGAGGAGGCTGGTCTTCAACGGGTAAATGTACATCGGGTAAGAAGAGGGATGAAGGACCAACGCACGTGTACACACACAGTGATCCCTCTCCTTTGGACGCCATGTCTCCGTGTCTCGTTTAGTCAACGTCGAAGCACTCATAGTCTGCCTGTCCTACCCTTTCATCCTCTCCATACCCTCCAGCTCCTCAGCATCTACCACGGCGCTACCATTTTTCCTTCCAATAGTCTTTTTATTTTAGCTGCACGTCACGAGATAAGGTATCTCCATTTCGTCATTCCAACCCCTCTCCGCCTTCAACGAAATAAGAGAGGTATACATTCTCATTGGTACCCTCTTTACCCTTCCTCTGGGTTAGTCTCACTCTTCCATCGCCTTTTCGTCGTCGACCTGGCTCCGTTAGTGCAGAAGGGTAGTATCGACGTTAACGAGCAGCCATCAGGATTTAGGGAGTTGGTCTTCTCGTTTTCATGTTTCCATCCCGTTATTTTTTCCCTCTTTTCTTCTTCCTCTTCGTGTAGTTCGAGAGATCCTTTCCCCCCGAGTAAAGACGAGATAGGATGGCGTCCGAAAAAAAATGGAGGTTGATAAGACACTTGTTTTTTTTTTGTCGGTGCCAGTGCCTAGGGAAGTTCATCGAGGTAAAAATCGGGGAAAATTTGATTAGAATTTTTTTTTAAATCGAGGGGATTTTCGGATGTATCACCCAGAGAGATTGGAAAAGTTACGGAGGATGTCGTAATGGCACGGGTGAATAGGAATTGCGAATAATTATTATCGAAAATATAATTTTCATGGCGACTCGTGGTCTATAGGTTGTAGCACTATAAAGCATGTCTCAACATGACAGAAAATTATGGGGATGAGGGTCTTACCACTGGGATGGAATCTGTGGGCCAGGATGGCCTTTCCCCTTATCAATTCATAGATATCTCTGTCTCAAGAGACCCGTTAATTACCCGATGCAAAGCGCCGTCCGTCGTGTCCCGAAATAAAAAAAAGCAATACTAAATTGATCTGCCAAAAAAAAATATTCCAATCGACGATAAAAACGGCCAGACAAAATGAAAGGCTCCGGGAAATGTCGACAAAATTTCTGCCACGATAAAAAAAAAAAGTGAAAGGTAAAGTGAACCTCTCAGCCATCAGCGAAAAGAATGCCAAAAGAAATAGTGAAATAGTAGAAGAGATAAATAAACCAATAAAATTAAGTTAGATGAATTTCTAGGGTATGTGCATGGGAAAGAGAGATCTAATACTATTTAGCGTCTCACTCGGTCGTCCAACCGGAGAGTTGGATTTTTGTTGAGAATAGAGGAGGAATGACAGAGAAGTGTCTGGTGGTTTGGGATATCGAGTATAGGATAGAACGAGAGGATGGAGAAGTAAATGATGGTGCTAGGTAGAAAGGGGGCGAGGAGGAGGTGGTGGATTGGGGGATAAAGGGGAGTACGAGGAGGAAATTGAGGGTGGTTTGGGATTGCCCAGTGGTGGGTGGTAAAATTGACGGTGGGTTGGATACAGGTTTACGACTTTGGTGTGTGCTAGTCTGGTGGACTAAGGGGTGGGTAGCTGGAAGGTCGTATAAGCGAGAGAAGGGTAAAATAGGAAGAGGAAGGATTGCGAGGGGTTGGTATGTGTGAGGGAATGCGAGGAGGTACTTTATGGAAGGGAAAAAAGGGTTTGGAGGGTGGGGCGAGGATTGAGGTGGTGGATAGCCGGGGGCTGCTAGACTTCCAAACAGTAAAACCCAGAAAGCGTTAGTACTTGCTGGTATGTGTGTATGTGCATCGTGCTCTGAATGTTGCCTTCCATCCACCTTCTAACCCCCTTTTGAATCCCTCACCTCAGGTCTTGCCTCATACTATCGAGCCTTTCAGGGAAGAGGGTATGGGGGGAGTCGTAGTCCTCTAAACCCTCGTCGTCCATTGGCATTGGCTCTCTTTTTAACCCCCCGTTGTCCCCCTTCAATCCTCAAACCTCTCCCTCGAGCAATGTATCCAGACGTGAGCGAAGGTCGTAATTTTGCAAGTGTCTGCGTGAACTCAACGATTCACTTGCTCGTGTGGTTGTTGGATACCCAGGGGTTTTGTGGAAGAGGGGGTGGAAGGGTGGAAGGGTGGAAGGGTGGAAGGGTGGGAGGGTGCGAGGTTGCATCCGTGTGTTGGTGGATTTTAACACGGAAAAGGGAAGCTAGGTGTGTGGGATTGTGTCAAGGTTTTCCTCACACACTAGTTTTACTGGTGTATCTTTACAGAGATGGGAATAGTGCGTGTGGGTGGTGGGTGGTGGAGATGCTCCGGGGGAGGGAAAGAATATCGCGGATACTGTACTCCATCAATTCCAATGGTGACAGCGGATATTGGTTTTTAGAGGCCGACGGTGGGAGGTCAAAGGGCGAACTCAAAAAACGTTTTCATTATTTGTTTTGGTTGATTGGATGGTTTTACTGAGTGCCTCAGACCAATAGACAATTGCTTCTTGATATTATCATGACTATTTCGCTATAATTTCTCCATCGATTTATTTCGAACTCGTGGAGGTGCACGCTGACGCTTTATTTGAATTTAAAAAAAAAATTTCGATGCCGCTCTGTCGTGGAGATTTCAAGATAAAACAACGCGCTATAAACGGTTTTAATAAAGCCTGTAAACGGCAATCCCCTTTTTCATCACAATTCACATTTTTTTTTTTCATTGAATCCGCCCCGAAACGAGGAGCCACGTGGTTAAAGAGTGATACAGAGCATGAACCACCTGGCACCTGAAAACCCTCATGAATGTAATGATTGTTGTATTTAATATATTATTTAAAAAAGCTTCAAAATTCTAGAAAATCATCATACCAATTTATCATGTTGTGTAATAATGTGTTTCTTCTCGTATCGCCATTAATATACAGCTCCTGAACGACCCGAGAAGGCGCATCACACATTCCCACCCCCTCCCATAACCCATATTACCCCAACAATCGAGTACTTTACAATGGAACAACCCCTTTCACATTGCGCTCCACTGAACTCCAAGAGACGTAGAGGAAAAGAGTGGCTGAGAGTTAGTGTTTGTGAAGCTCCAGGGGTACCGCATTAGATTGTGGATGGGTAGTAAATAGTGAATTGTGTGAGTGGCAATGGACGACCGGTGGCTGATGGCAGACGGGTGGGTTATATGCCGGAGGGTGGTATAAAAGTGGTATGGGTGTGCGTCTAGACCGGTTAGAGACTGCGTCGTCACACAAGCAGTCGTAGCACCGTTTATATCGCTACCGGCTCTGTTTAACGACCGACTATCGGGCCCCGAATGGCAACCTAGGAGGCAGAGGGAGAAAATTTTCCTGCTCTCCGACTCTCAGACCGTTAACTGCCCCCTCCCACCCATCTGGAATTTTCTCCCTTTGGTCTTTGCCATCCCTACTTTTACACCCCTACCCCCCACTCACCCACTCACCCACTCAACCCCCCCACCCACTTTTTACATTTATATTTATTTTGTTGTGATATCTCTATTCTTTGGATGTGCCTTTCTATTGTCCTGTAGTTTGTCATGTCGGGTTCTCATTTCTGGGAAAAAAAAAACCGTTAAAATTTTTTTTCCAATTGTTCTTTGCCAATTGTCGTGGTGAGGTGGCAGGGGGAGGGGTCAATGAGAAAGAAAAATAGAGGGGTGAGGAGGTGAGGATGGGTGGGGGTCGGGGGTGAATATAAATTCCACGGGGAATGTACGCTTGCATTTACGACAGGGAACGAGGCGTTTAGACCAGGTACGAGACACGTTGCGACCCCCCTGGTGCTCGTATTGTTGCTCCATTTAACGAGGGCATCTTCAGGAGACAAGAGAAAACCGGGTGAATGGTGGAGTGGGTGGAGGATGTGGGGTAGTGCTTCGAATGACATATTGCCATTTGAAATTGGTGGATCCACTCGTACGGAGAATGTTTAACTGTTCTTTCTGCGCGGGCAGTATCTACACGATTTTCCGTGAATTCCGGGGGATGAAAATTGTGGAGAAGATGGAACTCCTCGGGTAGACAAACGTCTCATGTGAAACGAGAGGTATGAGATAGGAATAATGGGATTATGGAAATCCACACGCATGCCGGATGAGTAATGCGGTAGTTCTGACGTTTATTAGAATTTATGGGGATTGACGGGGAGGGGGTAATGAGGGAGAGATAAGAAAACATTACCTGATAAGGGACTGACGTAAGTAGTGCGGTGGTATACGGGTTTCCGTTTCAGATATGATTTTTTAAAGATCGCGCGGTTTTGGATCGATGTTGGATTTTTTAAATCGATTTTCTTGGGTCGATCGAATAACCGATCATTTTTTTTTTCGGATCGAACAATCGCATTGAAGGGGAGCACAAGTCTAGGGACAAGTCTAGGGACGTGTAATCGACGTGGGGCAGGTCCGGGCGGTCGATACATCCGTCTGCGATTTTCTCCCCACCGAGATCGAGGTCTGATGTCCATCATCTCCGAACTTAACTACTTCCTACAGTGAAAATCCCACCATCCCTCCGCGTCTTTTCAGTATTAATCCGAAAATCATGTATATTACATCCCGAACCAATCTAGCTCACTAACGTATTAATCATTCGAAGAAAGGAGACACTAATGGAAAATGGTGGAAATATCAACTGAATTTGCGTTGCATGCGATTAATCATTAGCATTACTTCCGTGGCACCGAAAATCTGCGGGGATATAGGAAGAAATGGGGGGAGAGGTCTTTAATAAGCAATAAAATTTGAAATACTTTCTAAAAAGTTTTTTATTTGAGAATGAGTCATGCTCAAGTATTCTGACATTAAAGCAAACTTTATCGTAATCTCAAAATGGTGAATTTTATTGGTAACTACATAATTCCTCCGGGTCACGCTTATGCTCCTCCAGTGGTTTTAAATCCAAAATTAGGGCCTGTTATTCTTGTAATTGTATGAGAATCATTCTGAAGTAAGATCCTCACGCACTCGACATTGGACGTCTGATTACACCGGTTTGCGTTCACCTCTGTGCACGTATGAGTGCTCCAAAGCGAAAAATAAAAGAGGCCCTGAAAGAGAAACACAGGAGGGAGGGGAGAAAATGCAGAAGACGTGAGAGAGTACTGGTTTAATGTTACATACTATCGTAGGGGGTTGATTGTGTGGCGCTGGCAAAAGGAGTAGATTACGCAATTATCTTATGAACGTCGGCGCGTACACGAGTACTTACACCACGTTACGTTGGAGATGATAGCTTCTCCAAGCCACGCATATACCAGTGCAATTCCTCCTATTTTTCTCTTTTTGTATTCATTTTTTTTTGCAGTTTCCCCTGTTTTTTTTTCTCTCTCTCCACTTCGGAACACACCGCGTTTGTGGCCTGAAAAAAAGATTAAAAAAATATATTCTACAAATTGGCAGCATTACGCAATTACCTGCAGACCCTTCCACCCTCTACCCTCTTCCGCCCCTTTCGACCCTTCCACCCCTCATCGACAATTTCACAGAACTTGATATTACGATTCGGCACTTGTCCCTAACGCATATCCCGACAAATTGCCATTTGTCACTTAATTAGGTTCTCAGTAAATGATCTCCAGTCGAATTCTGATATTTGAGTTGGAAAAATAATCGTTTGAATTATTTATTCTCCAGTGGAACTCCAGCTGTCCTTTTCACCCCTGGAAATATTATTTATGCATAATGAACTGAATACTTCATCATAACTGCTCACGACCGAGAATATATACCTGACAGATATACGTCTCCGTTTGTTCATATTAATTATTCAATCGAATTCATCATTCCATAACCTCGGCTGATGAATTATTCCCACCCGACAATATTATATATAGAAATATAGGGTCTTACTGGGCTGTACTATTTCCAGGTAACACCAAAATTTGGTCGATTGTCATGATATATACGAGAGCAAGACAAGACACGGATTAATCCAATATTCAATAATATTAAAAGAATAATAATTGAATAATTAAATTTATTAGATTTCCGGATTTTTCACGAGTTGTAACTTAATGCTTGCCAATTTTAAAAAATATATTTTCGCATTCACGAAATAAACAATAAATCTGGGACAGAATTTTTCAATAATAATTCTCGGTGTTTAATCGTATGTTCTCGTCATTTTTATCAGCTGTCGAACCTTTGGGGCTGATGTGATGATGATGATGGGATCAATGCGATATTATTGTATTAACGCGAATTTATGCGCGAGGGGTGGATTTCCACGTGTATCCCATGATAAAGGCGCATGGGGGAGAGCAAAGCTGTGGAAATGAGTGGAACTTGAAAGGGGGTACGAGGTGAATAGAGTAGGTGCAGAACATACTGCATGCGTGTTAAGGGAGAGATAGAAGTGAGACAGAGTAAACAGAATTTGCATGGAAACAGTGTGCCAGTGGGTCGCGCAGGTCGTGCCGTATTTAACGGGTTTGCGAGGCTATCACCGAAAAGGACTCGTGATTTTCAATAAATCATTATCCAACATGATTATCACTTCTTGGATCATGAGATTGAGTTATTGCCGTGATCCTCTTATTTTCCATTTTTTTTTGTACGAATTTCCGATGAATTTCAAAAAATTGTTAAAATTTGGGATTCTACTTTGGATTACTGCAATTATTTCAAATAAATCATCAGATAAATCGAAATGTAACGATCGGAGATTGGAAGATAAACCAATAGGTGGAATGGGTTAAAGATAATGAAATTAAAATCCATTGATTTTATGAAGAGTATTGGATGATGGGATTAGAAGTGAGAGGCATTTTCTACCTGTGGGTATATTTTGGAGATGATATTTCCTCCCTTTTTTCCTGTTCTCTCAAGTAATCTAAAATGCTATCTAATCAAAAATTTTCCCTCCATCAAATCCCGGAAAACCAATACCCACAAATGAAACTTGATAAATTTGAGGATTGACTTCGCCATTTTTCCCGCAAAAAAGAAAAATGAACACCGATGTTTAATACCTTTTCACCCCAACTTCATGACGCAGCAACAGCAGCGGACACATCAATAATTACCCGAGCCGATGCGTAACGGAAGACGCGCGACTGTACAGATGGCGTTAAGAGTGGAATGTGGTGGGGGGTACTGAGAGACATAGCGAATAGTGCGACATTGGAAGAAGGGAGGTGGCAGAGGGAAAGGGTCAGAGGAAGAGGAGGAAAGAGGAGGAATGAGGAGGAATGAGGAGGAATGAGGAGGAAAGAGGAGGAAAGAGGAGAGAGACTTTCAGGTCAACTGGGGTCAAGTCGCGCCACCAGACGCAACCATCCTCTCACTCATACCCTCTGTCTTCCTCTTTCCCTCTCCTGGCCACGGGGCTCTCTCTTTTTACGTTCATCCCGGATGAGACGAGGCGCACCATCTTCACCCTTGTATTTTACCAGAAACTGCTTGCCGACCATCAACCCTCCACCCTCACCCGTTTTGCGATACTCTTGTACCATCTTATCCCGGTGAGGATCCACACGCATCCACGTCGAACATGTTCGTATGGACATCCAACTATTAAAGTGAATTCGTTTACACTAGGTTCAGAATTTTCGAGTTCACATTCCATGATTATACATATTAATCTTATATTTCGCATTGGGCTTGTGTTGGTATTTGAGAAACAGAACATTTTTCTGATCTCGAATTCTAAAAAAATTTTGGTTTTTTATTTGAGAATTCGTGGATTAATGGGATTATTTCATTAATTACTCCAGTCAAATAAAAATCAATCGTTTTGTTTATTGATTGCGTTATTGATTGAGGTAATTGAATGGTTAATTAGTGAAAATATTGATTACTCTGTACCTTGCAGAAATTCGCGATCAATGCCCTCACGACGAGTGAATTTTCAGGTCGTCCCCTCACGCACTGGGAAACGTCTGGGTTTATGCCCCAAAACCATTTTTCATGTTTTTTTTTTCATTCGCGATTCTGAGGGTTGGAGGATAGAACGTTTTCCACTACTATCAAACCATTCTCTCTCCCAATTTCACCCCACCGCCTCATCCTTTCCTATCCTCCTCTTCGGCTTTTCGAGTTCGTTCACACCGGGAGTGCCGTCCGCCCTATGTCGACGTTAGAGGGAAGTATAAAGTGAGACAACACTAACCGAAGCCGGAGGCACGATAATATTCGGTGAATCGAGAAACGTAAAAACTTTGTCTCTTTCACCATCAAAACGAGCACGAAAGAGTATACAGCGATAATCGGGGATTGTCTTCCGTTCTCGTTCGCTGCCATATTTTTTTGCTCACCAATTTTTTTTTTTTCAGTCCCGAAGCAAATACCTGGAACAACAGACATGAGAAAATTAATTTCAAAGATATTGAAAAAGCACACAGAGGAGCTGGTGGTGCTTTCGCGTATTGAGCCTCTATTTTCCGGTGAGTGAAAATAAAAGGTGAAAAAAGCACGAGTGCGGAAAATGAAATGCGATCTTGGCGCAGTGTACGCCTGTTTGAAAGTATCGATCACCAAATAGCGAATGGTGAGACTAAACGAAAAGCCCATAATGTCCAGTGTAGGTGAACGACACTTTCCAATCCCCAGTTTGGCTATGAGCTAAAACCTCCGACCCATGAATTCTCGAGTGACCACTACGTGGTTGGGTAATATCGCACAATGCGTTATGTCGTTCTAATTAATGCTGTGAGAAAGTGGATCGGTATTTCGGGGTTTGCAGTGAGAGCTCCATGTCGTTTGTTCTGGCTATTTCGGCTATGATATAAAGGGAAAGAGCCAGTGGTCAGCCCCATGGCATATGAGGAAGGGGATGCAAGTGAGAAAGAGAGAAAGGGCTTCGTGAATTCAGAGGCTTCGACAAGGGCCAGAAAATGGGGCAAAGGGAGAGTCGCGGTTTGTCGGGGTATAGACGAAAGCCTGAGGGGGTGGAGAAAAAGGGATGGGGACAGGTCGTTGTCCGAAAACGCACTGCTGTTATTGTCTCCCCGCCCTTTCCCTCTGTTTCTTCTGTCTCATTCTCAAATCCTATTCCCTTCACCACTCCTACACCACAATGTCCACGAATTCGTGAGAAGGGTGGATTTTTCCAAAGGGTTATTCCTACAATTGGGAAAATGGGAATATTCCATTATTTTTTTTTATTCAAAGTCCTCGATCCCGGTCAGGTCATTCATCATTTTTATTACATATTCATTAATTTTCATTTTTTATTGAATTTCGGGCGTTTGTCCATTCATTTTTTTATCCTTCTCGCGGTTTATATTCAATTAATGAAGAATAAAGTCGGAATGGAGTCAAAGTCTATTCTCTTTCAGACAAAAAACGGTAAATGGGATACGCGAAGTCGAGTAACTACAGTGAGTACATGTGCAACGCTTGTTGCTCCTACTCGTGCCAACGTGTTATGATTATTATTCTAAACTTTGTCGTTTATATACCTGTTTGGGGTTCGGTGAACCGCTACTGCTTCGCGTACACTACCGCATTACGAAAGTGCACTCGTTCGTACAACTCACTGTTTGGGGGGGAATGGGGGGTGATGATAAAAAAAAACCTGTTTTAATAATTGTCGATAAACTCTCCCTCTGTTTGCGGGTGATACGTTCTGTCACCGATTATACCACCACTGTTTTTACGTTGGACAAATAGATAATACACGTGGGTATTAATTCTTCAAACGCCGACTGACGTACACTAACAACTTTTCTATTCACCCTATGATTCTCTTTTTATTACCCACCTCTTCTGTGGCTGCCGAACTTCACAGGGAATTTTATTAAAACGTGACAACTTTTGAAATTTACGGAGAAAATAAAATTTTTTGAAATTCTTTGGTGGAATCTGCAAAAAATTGATGTTTCGGAAATTGTTTGGAAATTTTTATAATTCAATGGTTAAATATTTTTTTCGATATTTCAGGGCAGGAAAGAAATACAAAAAGTTGTTGATTATTGTTTAAAGTGGGAAATGTAATTATTTATTAATCGAAAAATTGTTAACGGAGAACGTGACGGTCGCGTCATCCGGCGACGGTTCACCGAATTTCTCTGATGGGGTAAAACAGGGTTTATTGATTTAAATGGAATAAATAAGATTCGGATAATTTTTAACGGTGGAGTTGATGATTAAGATAATGATCTATGACTGCAGGCCATGACCCATTCAGATTATAATCTGTCTCTGAGGAAGAGGGTGTTCCTGGAGTCGGGGGTGCATTCCTGTCGGGTGTATCAATTCCATATAGTCCATCGGCATGACATGCCCATGACCACTAGATATTTAGATCACGCACCAAGCCCTTCCTAAACATTTTGTAACCACTTCCTCGAGGAAAAAACGTGATCCGGAAAACTGACGAATGTCCATGAAAAGCCGATAGGTCGCGACGACCACTGGCTATCGCTTCAATTTAGTCTAGATTTCCCAAATAAAATCCAATACTTCCTATAACAAAGAAGAATGTTTTTTCAACTCAATTTTTCATAAAAAAAAAGTGAAGACTCACGTTATTTCCAAACTTTAAAAACTAGAGCTAAAAACAATCGCCAATATGACGATAAATCAAATACCCTCAATGACTTTATTCCCCTTCGCGTTGGAGTGCTTGAAAGACTTTAGCATCGCTAACAAAATGAAACAACGTCATATTTCCGAGTTCCGACAAGTTGTAATTATTCAGTACGTCGTTGTGCTCAATAAATCGACAGGTAACTGAAGGCAGCACGTCATCTCGATGGGAAAGTGAGATGGATTGGTTCGGCAAAGTGTGAGAAAACCCTCCTATCTGTTGAAAGCACCAACGAGACACGTCTGGTTTACTTGTGAAGGGTTTGGTCGGTAATATAGCACTTTGCATTGTTACCTAGACGAGTCACTGGCACGTAAACGATCCGGTAGGAAGAACCCACCATTTACGACTAGTCTACGTGTCAATCCATACCAGCTTTTACGAGCACTGCGTAAATTCGCGTTCTATCCACCACCGAAACAACCCCGTGGTACCCCCCATATCCCCTTCTCTCACCCCCTTCACTCTGCAATATACGCCAACAACAACAAAATGCATTAGAGTTTACGAGAGAGGTGAGTTTCGTCGACGATGCAGACGGTGGCCAGACGGTGGTACCTGGCCGATCGTTTCGTTCCCTTTATGTTATCCACCCACTCCTAACACCCCCGCATACAACCCCTTTTCTAATAAAAACGATTTTATGATCGACACTGCCGTCGCTCGAGACCTTGTCTTTGACCCTAACCATTCAAATTCAATATTTTACGATTGAAATTATAAAATTACCCCTCATTTCTCAGATTCATCGAATCATCCGGCACAAAATTCATTTCAATTTTTTATATTTACAGATCTAGTTATTAGAATTATTCATTGCATTACTCACCCCTTTCTCGTACTACAAAACAAGAAAAAAAATATATTAGTATATATGATATTGCTCTCTAGAGTTGAGTTTAAATCTGGGCCTCATATTATAAGCATTCACTCCTCAGTTTCCATCAAGTTTTCGTACCCTAAAGTGCCTCTTGACTCGAACATAATCCCTCTAATTAGTGGATTGTCTGAAAATTGAGTAGAGAATGATAAATAAAATTGGGAAAAATGAGGATTACCCTTTCCATGCGTGCATGACCCCACGATCACGTACACGCGTCATGGATATGTACTGGAAATGGGTATTGGGAGGGGAGGGAGGAGAATAATAGAAGACCCAGGGGCATGATTCGACTCTGCACATATCCGCGTTACTGTAATACCACCTAAGGCTAGCCTGGTCCATACCTGTGTTGTACTTACGTGGAGAGTCCACGCGGGGGATATAATTGCGAGGGTATATCAGTAGACGGATGATAAACCCGTGGATAAGAGTGAGATAGAAAGGGTACAGAGAGGAGATGTTCTCGCCGGGTCAGCATGAGGGTCACGTCTGGAATTCAGAGCAAACTATCCTCCTACCCTTCCTGTCCTCTCTCACTACCACAAACTCCCTTTTCCCTTGACCCATCCTGTTTCATCCAGCGTCGTGTCCGCCTGCAACACTCGCCTGTTTACCTGCCCTTCCACTTTTTATTT